GGTTGGAATCAAACAAGTTTTTGAAAGAATCTGATCTGAACAGAGGTATCTAAATAGTCAAGGGTAAAGCTGAAAGCCGGTTATGGGCGAAAAAAATTACATGGAACCGATCAAAAATGAGAGAAGAAAGGTGCTTTCTGAAAAATGAATCGAAGTACGGCTCGAAAAGCATAAAAAGGTTAGGTCGGAAAGTTATATAACGATTCGGAAAAGGATGGAGCGCTAGACTTCATATTCTCGGTCTCTTAGGATGCGAGAAACGAAAACCGATTACCATGAACATCTACATAAAATACAGACATTTGGTTCGGCGAATCATAAAAACTTTTGGTTCTGGTAAGCATGAGGTGGTTCGTCTAATCATTGGTTCGCCTAAGCATTGGTTCGGATTTTGGTTCGGAAAATCATGGTTCGGAAAATAATCGGCCTAAAATACAGACATTTGGTTCGGCGAATCATAAAAACTTTTGGTTCTGGTAAGCATGAGGTGGTTCGTCTAATCATTGGTTCGCCTAAGCATTGGTTCGGATTTTTGGTTCGGAAAAATCATGGTTCGGAAAATAATCGGCCTATATTGGTAATGCTTTGAGAAAAATTTAAATTAAAAATGTCATTTGATAGTTTCTAGTTCAGTCATCAAGTTGAGATTGTCCTATGTCACCTCGTTCGGGACAAATGAAATTATCGGTTCTTCTTAAGTGATCACTTAGCAGAAAGGAAGCTCAAGTGATCATTTAAAGACAGCCAATTGGTTCTTTCAAATCTCCAAAAATCTGAAATTTCAGATTTTAACTTCAAACTATGAAATTAAATAGCTTGTTTGCCTCGGAATGGCAGAGTGGTCACTATAGGGGTTAGGAATAAAAAATCCATTGTGACTCACAAAATAGGGGTCCCTAGAGGGAAAACCTCTTTGTTGTCCTCACAGAAGCTTAGAGTAAAGCTCAAGTGGTCCCTTTAGTGGTGTTTTGAATTTTGGTTCTGATTTGAAACTTGTAAAGACGTATAGGAACTATTAGCATGCTCCCTCAGTGTGGCCACTAACTAAGACCGCTAAAGTGGCCACTTCTTTATTGCCCCTGTAGAAGGAGGTAAGGCTCTTGAGAGGAACCAAAGAGAGCCCCTCTAGTGACCACTCTGCCGTTCCCAAGTGTGTCGTATGCTTTTGCTTGAATCGCTTTGAATGGCTTTCTCAGCTCGGCCGTTCCAACTGTCCCAGGCGATCGCCAAACACGCAGTCTTCATCTTCGGCGCCTCCTGGCCAAGTTTATTCGAGCTTTTTTTGTTGCTTAGCATTGCTCAGCTTTGCTTTTTATGGTTTTAGTTGAGGTGAAAATGGAGCTTCGAACAACCAATGCAAAAATACGGAAGAAAATTCGAAAATTTGTTGAAATTTCAAGATGATCCTGTGGTCCTATTTTTGTTTTTAGTGATGATTTTCCCTTGAAAAATCAAAAATTCTAGGGGAAAATGAGTTTTCTCTTCAAATTGGGAGAAGTCAGGTCTAAAATTTTCGGATTTCAACGGAAAAATATAGGAAAACTATAGTCCATTCCCCGCGACTTGAAATTTTTCGAGTGTCTGCGTCTCTCTGTTCCGCCAGGGCAGAGAAACATGAAAAGATCACGCCAACATGAGAGGGTCACGAGAAACGAGGAGGGCGCAGAGAGCAGAGAAATTCCTTTTCAAGTAGCGCAGAATAGACTATAACTCATTGCGTATTTCGAAGCTCGATTCCCCTTCCCCTAACTTCTCTATCCATCCATCCAACTCCCTCTGCAGTTCGCGACGAATCTTCCGAATCTGAAAGCGAGTTCGACGACGACATGATCGAGGAGGACGAGGAGGACCTCAGCGAGGAGCGCGCCGACCAAGTCTACGTAGGCCCCAAAGACACCCCCGAGATCACCGCACCTAATGCTAATCAGGCTTCAGGATAAACGGACGATCTCCTCCGGATCGTCGAAACGCGACGAGGAGATCACCCATTCGAGGTCCCGGAGACGGCAACGGCGCTGAAATTTATTCTTTTTTCTTCTAGGACGGGTCAAAGTTCTTTCGGAATTTCTGAGTATCCTCTGCCAAACGGTCCTTTTTCTTCATTATGGACTTTTTTGACCTAATTTTTGCTAAGGTGTGCGGCAATCGATCAGTTTTAGTGAAACTTAAAGCTATAGGAAAATTTTTTGAAAAGTGATCTTTTTCTAATAAAAAAATTGTAGAATTTTTCAAAAATTGTATAAATCCACATTTCGATTGTTAAATCAAGGAAGAATTTCTATATAAAAAGTCAATTGTTTGCGACGAATTTTTAAAGTTTTTGGTCGCATTTGGAATGGCTCGACGCGTCGCGGTCGCGCTACAGCCATTCCCAATGCGACCAAGATTTCAATTTAATATTAAAGATTTTTCAATAAAGTATAGAGAATCGAACCTGCAATCCGTTTCATTAAACCTTGAAGTTCAGAAAAAAATTTAATAGGATTTTTTCAAAAAAAAATATCTACATTTGTACTGTGAAATCAAGAAAAAGAGGTTCTATATGAAAAAAATATATTTTTTTGGTCGCATTTGGAATGGCTTGACGCGTTGCGGTCGCGCTCCGGTCATTTCATGTTCGACCAAATTTTTGAATCATTTTTGTTTTGTTGCGAATTTCAGCATTGAAAGGTTTTTATCTTTTAAATTTCGAACGAAAAGTTTAATTTTTTTTGGTTTTTGGTTTCCAAATCGAAAATTTTTGGTTTGCCGCACATCTATCTTTATCCTGTCATTTTTTTGCCGATTTTTTTTCCAACTTCCTCCTAAACGTTTTGGGTATCCTCAAGGGTAATAGTTCTTCAAAATATATTCCTTGTCTCGCATTTTTTCAAATCTTTCGTGCTTTTGTGATATTTCGAACAATTCTCACTGTATCTCTCACTTTTATTCATTTGATTTTTTCCTATTAAAACTGTGAATCTTATTAAAGTGACTTAAAGTATTGCACTTGGGATTATATGGGCAGAGATGTACAAATAGTGCGTTCACGTCTAGCGATCGAGGCTTCTGATTGGCTGGACACGCCCCTTTTGAGACATGCCAAAGGCAATCAGAAGAGGGATCAGAAGCTAGAGGAGGGCACAGAGGAGAGGATCATTCGGTCTTGAAAAGGTAGCAGTTGAGGTGGTTCTGGGAATGGAGACAGTAGTTGGTGGTGGAAGTGACGAAGGAGAAGGTGCTCTTGGAGCAGATGACCGTGTAGTGGCCTCCCAGTTGCTTCTCCGCAGCTTGCACCAGACGAAGTTTGACGCGTTTCGCGTCTCCGTCCATGTTCTGGAAGGTTTTCAAATAGTAGCATCTTTTATTATATTTTTCGAGCTTGAATCTGATTACATAACACTTCATAATAAAGCTCTGACACCTCTGCGCTCTCTTTCCTCTTACAGAATATGAAATTTCGAGTAAAGAAAGGAGTGTCAGATATAGAAAACACGGTACAGAAAAGTCAGATTGGATCGAATTATTGCGACACGGCACGCCAGAGTGGTCCCTAAAGGGTTTAGTGGAAAAAAGCCAATATAGGGGCAAAATGGTGCTGTCTAGAAGGGTAAGATTAGGTGGTATTTAGTAGAAAGACTATAGGGCCACTAGCACGCTCCCTAGAGTGACCACTTATTCAAGGCTTAGTGAAGGAGAGGGAAGACCTTCAAGGGCCCTTAAGTTGTCCCTCTAAGGGCTACTCTGGCATGACGGTTTTAAATTTAGAAACGGACTCTATGGAGTACATCAAAACGAGAGAGTCGCCAAGGGAGAAGAGAACGCTGAGAAGTCAGATAAATTCATTTTTTCGAGTGGAGAAAATTTTAAATTCCCGAAAACTCACCTTCTGCATGATTTCAAGGAGACGCGAGTCATTGCAGGTCTCTTCCTTGATTTCCGTGTCTTCATCCGAGTTCAAGGAGACTTCTGAAAAATTCGAATTTTAGATGATAAGTTTGGGAACATTTTTCAACGGTAACTGTATGGGGTTGCAAAACTTCGAACCTTTAATGTCAGATTTGAAGCAGCTCTGATCAAACCAGAGAAATCAGGAAAATTATTCTAGAAACTGGAGTGAGTCCAGGCTAGTTCAAACCTAATAATCTGAAGATTGAAAATCTAAAAGAACTTTAAAAAATGAACTTTTTAAGTAAAGCTCAAAGGCTGAAAAAACCTGGCTTACTTCTACCCTACTGTGGAAAAAGTTTAAAGGCCACTCTTGGGCTTTTTTTAAAAATTAGTGGCCCTTTGGAAGTGAAATTGATACTACTAAACATTTTTCTGCCCACCAAGACGCAAAATAGTGGCTTTAGTGGCCATTTTGCGTATTTTCCAAGTAGTCCTCAAGGTCCCTCTTAAGTGGCTCCTGGAGTTGAATTCAACAAGCGCTAATAAATTTTAAGCCTAATTAAACATACTCTGTTGTTTTTGAGAATCTAAACAAAGTGTCAAGCATTAAATTTCAAGTTCAAAAAACAATTTTTTTTTCTACCGTAAAACCAAAAAATCATGAACTTTGATCAAACCAACCCTTTTGATTTTTGAGTTCCAGTTCGAACTATTACAAAGTTCTAGTGAGTCAAAAAGTTCGAGTTTAAAAAAAAAGCTGAGTCAAAAAAAGATCTGAAAAGACGAACCTCGCTTCTTCCTGCCGCAGGCGCAGGTAGGACAACATGGCGAAGGCAGCTGCGGGAGCTGGATCTGTGGCAGTTGGATCTGAGGTAGGCACAGAGGGGGTGGCGGTGGCAGACACAATGGCGGCGGGGGACATCCGCAACCTCCATTGAAGAAAGTCGCCGTGGCAGAAGCGGCCAGGAGAAGCAGGACCGTCAAAGGCACAACCATTTCGTCGTCTTCGCTCCGGCTTCGTCTTGTCCTCTTTTATCGGTGTCCCGGGGGCTGTTCTCGAGAGATCTTGCCCGGCCGCCATAAGCTGGCCGATTAAATACCTTTCGGAACGTGTTCGACATCGCACTTTCGCCTCGCTATGCTTCGGGATTTCACCAATTTATTTCGGGGCGGAAAAAAAAAACCCCGTATTGGTTGCGCCGCTTTCGATGTTTGATTGATTCTAATCATTACGTTTCGATTGATCTGCCTTTCGAACTTAGCCGAAATAATTGGAAAACATGTTGTTTCCGAAGAAGGATTGATTAGAGGGAAAGTTATTCTGAAGAAAGTAATTGGAGAAGATGGAAGTTTACACAATTGCCCTATTGTAAGTCGTAACTATGGAATGTTTCGAAGTTTCTTGTTCTCGTTTCTTAGATTTCTCTGTTCAGATATTTTTCAAAATAGCGAAAGAGTTATAGAATTGACTAAAAAAATTAAATCTAACTAGTTTATTCATTCTTAACACACGTTCTCCGAGAGAATCGATGAACTGTAAAAAAAGTAGGCACAAAAAATTCATGTTGCTCTTTTTGAGCTCATATTTTCATCACACCAACTACAAATGTATACAAAACTTCTAACAAAGTTTTGTCGAGCTCCGCCCCTTTTGAAGATTACTGTAGCCGAAATACGAAAAAAAAAATCTGACTTTCTCCGTGGTCCAAATCGAATGAAACTTTATTCAAACAAAAGCTAGTGACAAAATGAACGTTTTTTGTATAGTGACTTTTTTTGAAAAATTTTTTTCGCCCTGAAAAAAATTGATTTTTTTATTGGAAATCGTGAATTCCTTTAGTTTTTTTGAGGTTTTTTTAGACAAGAAGAACCCCCCCCATATTTCATTTTTAAACGAAGCGTCAGGTTTCTCTACTTTAGAAAAAATAGTCCATATGTTCCCGCTTCAAGTGATCCAGTTGACCTCCAACTCGAAATCGGCCAAACCTTCAAAAATCTCGAACTTTTTTCAGAGTAGGAATTTGAGGTAGAGTAAGTTTTTTTTGACATAATTTTGAGTTACTTTATATTTCATACTGATATCTTCGGACTCCTTCCCGAAAAAAATTTTAATGCTCATTTTTCTGAATTTTCGAAATTTGTGTTTTTTGCCCTATTTTCGCTATTGCTCATCTTCTGAAAAAATGTACGAAGTTATACAAAGGATTTTCAAGATGACTTTTTAAGATTTCCAGTCTCCGGATGAAGTTTTGATAAAACTTTGCTACAGTGATCCCTAGAGCCTCTGAACTCCAGAACAAGAAAAAAACACTTCTCAAATTCGATTTTTTTTTCCCGATACATGAAGCTTCAAATTTTGAAAAATACAGAAATTATGACCATAAATGGCCATTTCAAGCTTCTGAAGCGTCTTAATTCGAAAAAAAAAAACAGACCTTCCTTTTTTTTTCTGCTATCAGGAAGTCTTAGGGTCCACTTTAGCAAAGTTTCATCAAATGTTCCAATGATAAAAATCGAGGATAGAAAAACTAGATTTTTTTAAAATGTAGTTGGAACTTTCTGCATCTTAAAAAATTTAAAAGTCCATGAATCCCCGCCAAAATCCTTATCGAAAATTGGAAAAACACTTCTAGGTTCCACATAGTCCATTCACTACGACCTGAAAGTTTCTGCCTGTCTGCCTCTCTCTAATCCCTCATCAGCGAGGTCAGAGAAACGTCAAAAATAGCACGTCAACATGAGAGGGTCACCGAGAGATGAGGAGGGCACAGAGAAGTTCCTTTCAAGTTTCGAAAAACGAACTATGGCCTTCCTTTCATTTTTCTTTACTTTCCAAGGTCCAAATCGAGTCAATAGTTTATCGAGCTTAGAGCTTCTTGAGAATAAATCGTGATATTCCATAAATACACTCAAATAGAAAGTGAATCGTTGGGTTTACCAGTTATAAAATTAATTGAGGTCAGGTTAGTTTACACATTTTCGAGGTAAAGTCAATCCGTAAGTTTTAAGGCACAATTTCTCGGTTTCAAGGCCTGATTTCGCGTAGTTTGTTGTCCAGTTCGGCCACAGATTTTCTGGAAAAATGACGTTTTTTGAAATGATTCAAGTTTCTTCTTTTTCAGAGAGGATCTTTGGAAGCTCTCAAATCTGGGAAATTTTTTAAAAATCCGTTCATTTCTTCATATTTAGGAATGTGTCTCTATCTGAAACTTGCTCCTACAGTGTTTTTAAGGAAAAAAGAAAATTTCGGTGGTCTTTTAAAAGTCGGAGAAAATCTTAGTTGCTTGCGCGAACTTCAAGAAGCTCAGCTCCTACAGCTTGAAAAAAAAATTTGGCTTCTTTACAAAAAAGGAAAAGGTTTTTTTGGGATTCAAGATGTTTCAGTGTTCATCTCAGGAAACTTACAAAAACTTTTCAAAGCTGGAATATTTTAACCTTCCTTTTCAAATTTCCTTTTTACTAAGATCCCCAAAACCCTACAGCATTCTCCTCTTGATCTCCTCGCTGCTTTCCCAAATCTTGGGACTTTCAGGAAGCGTAGACTGAGTTCCCGTTGATCTAGCCGACAAAGGCCGACTTACAGGAGCCCGCAGAATTTCTCGAGGGATAGCTTCTCGGACGTTTTCAACTGATATCTAAACTCATCAATGATCAATTTATAATCTCATATCTACAAGTACCGTAATCATAGGCACTTCTACAGTATACGAAGACATTTGAGAAACGTCGGTAATCTCAAAAGTTGACATGAAAATGTCGTTGACGGGAAGGCTGATTGTCACGAATCCGAGAGGCTAAAAACTAGAAAAATGTACCTTTTAATTGAAGTATTTCTGATCTGAAACTGTACTTGCGAAAAATAATATTTATGTGACGAGGCCAGGTTTGCAAAAAAGGTTTCGGGAAGTTGCTGAGACTTGAAAATTCATAAATTTCTTGAACTCCAAAAAAAAAATGGTAAGGACTGGATGTGCAAAAAAGCTTCTAGTTTTGGAAATGATAATTTTCTGAGAGGTGTTCAGGGCTGATTGGAACTACGAGACTGAAAACTACTAATGAAACCCTTAAAAACAGGATAATCATCTAGAAAAAAGATAACTTTACGAATCTTCAGAAAATTTTCAATTCTGACACTTTTTCTTTAGCATATGCCCACCATAGTTTGACTAAAAGGCATTAAACGAAAAAAAAAGAAGATTTTTTGAGAGTCTCAGGATGCTTTAAGCCTCACCAGTTTTTCTGCAAAACATTTATTTTCGCATTTACCTACTGAATCTGTTTTTCATGTTTTTTTCTTTACCTTGTCTTCATTATGGCCTCGATGCATGATTTTAACGACCAAATTGCGTCTTTCGGCACTCATCGCGAATTTGGCGGTCCATTCCCAGTTGGGCTGTCGCGTCGCTTCGCAAACTTCCGACCGAAGTTCGCCTTCTCGTCCCCGGACCGAGACGAAAGCGCTTGGGCTCACGATTGCTCCACTAAACTTCGATTTCGGAAAAATTGAAAAAGAAGCTGTTGGAAAGTGACTTTAAGGAGCCCTCATCTAGACCTTCATAGAAGGCTTGAGCAAACTTTCGGGAACTCTAAACTTGACACTGAAGAAACTACCCTAAGGTATTACTTATTATATTATATGCGATTGAATCTCATGATTTTTGCTGCGTTGTTATTGCCAAAGATCGGTATCAGAAAACATGAACATTTTTTGGATCCATGCCAATTTCAGTTTTCGTTCCACGAGGCGCAGATTCCACAGAAAGCAAGTTTTTCAGTGGTTTTCGAGATAAGAAAAATAATTTCTTGAGACTTCATCGCAACAAAACTTGAAGCGATGAGCTCTCCTAATATCTTATTGAAAAGAAAGCAATTTCTGGCCAGATTCTTTTTGGATGTATTGAAAAAAGATTCTGAAGGTCTCAACCTGCACAACTTTCTAGTTTTTGAGAAGATTCACCTTAAAAACTTTTTAAATAGGCCCTCGTGGCATTTCGAGCCCTTATTTCTCAAAAATTAGATTTTTTACGGCCAAAAAAATCAAAAATATTCAAGACTTCTGAATTTCCCATCTAGAGCGTTTCAACCTTTTTCTACCCCCTCAGATCCAATATTTCTTTATTTCTATTCCTGACTGACCTCTCATCCCGAACCGGCGGCAGACCCGTCGCATAATGTACCGTCAATTGCAGGGAGCACCTTCCGGCATGCGGAATTTCTTCGTTGTAACTCGAAGCTCGGGAAATTGGGACTCTTGGGCGAGTCTGAGAAGGAAATTCTCATTTTTTACCTACTAAATTCGTCATAGTCGAACTTTCAACCAAGCTCTTTATTTTTCAATATCCTCGAATATTTGAGCATTTTGCAACATTGTAGAGCTCACTTTGAGAAATTTCGAATTAAAGCCTCATATTTGAAAGATTGTTTTGTGAAAAATATTTTTCCAAAGCTCAACATTTTAAAAATACATTACAAAAAACATCTTTTTCAACTTCAATACTTGACAGCCTAGTTTGGAGTTATGAGGAAAGCCTAACATTTTAAAGCTTGGTTTTTGAAAAATAAGTTCGAAGTTCATTTTTTGAAAGGTTGGTTTATGAAGGTTTTAGTTCAAAATCGATATTTGAAAGCTGTATCAAAATTTTCTATTTCGAATCTCAATTTTCGTAAGCTTGGTTTCTGAATTTTTGGGTTGTTGATCAATTTTGAAACGCCTTTTTCTAAAAAAAAAGTTTAAAGGCATAGGGGCAGTAAAAAATGGGGTTTCAGGTGAAAGCAGTATCTTATATAGTTTTTCTTTGCGAATCGAATGGTGTACTCAAAACAATTAAAGATGTGACAACTTTAGAAGAAAAACGCGATTTTTCTTTCACGCCTTTATTTTTGAAAAAAGCTTTGGATCGGGATACGGACAAATGTTTACAGTAGCCGTGCACGCGATGTTGCGGACGTCTCATTAGACTCGCATTTTGTGAGAAATAACCGGATTTCTGCTTCAAATTAAGGGTTTCTTTTCTGAAAAAAACGTTTAGTCAATCAAAAAACACACCATTATAAAGAAAACACAAAATTGCGCTCTCCCAATGGAAACCTGTGTAAAATCATCATTTTTCACGAAAAACGCTTTTTTGCGATCAAAGTTTGCAAACTATACATGAATAGAAAGCTTTTGTGACGAAAAGAACTTTGGTGACAACAGAAAAATTGAAAATTGAAAGAAACGAAGAAAAAAGCGAAAATCCGGGAGATGGCGAAGCCTGCTGTCCATAGAGCAACTTTACTGCAAAGCGCCCTTTTTGCGGGAACTCAAACTTTTCTCTCACCGACTTTGAATTATTTTTTCTCCAAAACTATGAAGTTCGGTACGTTTTCAAGTTTACCGTTCGATTCGCAATGAAAAACTCTACAAAGTACTGCTTTGAACTGAAACACCGTTTTTTACTGCCCCTATGCCTTTAAAGCTGAATATTTGGAAGGTCGGTTTAAAAAAGATTTTTTTGAAGCTCAATACTTGAATAATTTTTTAGGAAAGGATCAATTTGCGTTCGAAATATTGGTTCGTGAACATTACCTTTTTAATAGTTTGGCTCGGTTGATTGTTCGTTTAAGACGACTATGAAACGTACCATATCCGGTCGGGCCAAGTCGTTCTCATTCCTGGCGAAAACCGAGTCAGAACCCTCTGAGGACGCAGAATGGTTCCTCTCGCCAATATTCAAGGAAGATTCTCGAGAAATCGGTCGGTAAGCGGCCATTGGTCGTGTTTCAGGCGATGGGACTGAGAAGAGAATTTTTTATTTTCTATTTTGAACTTTCAAAGGCATTCAGATAGAGAAATTGAAGATTGAAATATAAATAATCCAAAGGTGTTTATTTAAAGTCGTAGTCATATTTTTTCGTGTAATGCTCGTTTTTTATCAAGTAATCTCTTTACAAAAAAAAGCTGTCTCAACCAAAATAACAAAATAAACGATAAATTGGTTATTATTTATCGAGAACTTGAAACGTATTGTAGAGATCAAATAATCAATCAATTTCTCGTTTTTCTAGATGCAGAAAAAAATATTCTCTTTTTTTCTTGTTCAAAGCGAAGTTCGAAACAATCATACTCATAAAAAGCCTAGTTATGACCTTTTTTCAAGTTTTTTTTTTCGAAAATTCGACAGTTTATCACAGTTTTTCGGTTGTAGAATTACACAGTAAAAGTCGAAAAACCCGAAATTTCTTTTAAAAAAAAACTGGCTCGATTTTTCTAAACCGAGATTGTAAATCCTACTAAATCTTACTTTTTTCTTGACTCATATTTTCTCAAAAAAATTCTCCATTTTTTTGCAACGCTTGGCCGTACGCTTCTACAATTGAAAATTTTTTAAACTAAGAAAAAATTCAGTCTTTCATTAAAATCTGACCAGTAAACATACACGTGCAGTTAGAATAAAATGTATTTTCGTTTTTTTTTCCAGGATTTCGCCAGAATTTTTAAAATTTCCGGAGTTTTCTTCAACAGTTCCGGTTCACTAACACGAATATATCAATCCTAAAAAAATGTTTTATATCAATCAAGTTACATTTTTTTCAAAACCCTTCTTATTTTCACCTCTACAAAGCTTCATTATTGTCGAAACACTCAAAACTTTCAAACTTTTTAAGAAACAATTTTTTTTTAGTAAAAAAACCTAAACTGAACTCGATTCTATACCTTTTTCTATAAAAATCAGCTGATTTCTGTATTTTTTTTTCTCTCTGAACTCTTAAAACTTCTTTTCAAACTAACTTCGAGGCCGAGCCAACGGCGGGGAAGGCCTTCTGGACATTCCTCTGGAAATCGGTGACGGAGACCGATTTCCTTCAGACCTGGCACTGTGGGCTCGACATCTGGACGAGCTTCTCGACCGGGTTTTCGTGGGTCCTCTGAGAAAAACCCCCCTTTCTCTTCAGAACCTTTCAAAAATACCTCTGCTGAACGACAAAAGTCGTGTCGAGAGCTGGGCTTCTCATGGATTCCAGCTTTTCCATCAAAGTTTTGACCCTTGAGCCCAGATCGATACGGATCTTAAGGATCTACTCGTTATTTCGCTTTAATTTTCGTACAAACCAGAGCGGTTCCTTCAAAATCCTGGCCAATAACGGCGAAATCACGACAAATTATGAAGGGTGGCACTAAAAGCTCTCTGAGTGGAATATTGCATTTGGCAAGTGGGCGGGTCTGGAAAAAAGGTACAAGTATGTACAGGTAAATGCAGGAGGATCCATACGGAAACAAAAAAAAATCATGAATTCTTTTTTAATTAATAAAATATTTCAAGATGTCAAAAATAGGCAGATATTTCAACTTTCGATACATAAGAATCTTAGAGACGCCTGAGTGATCCCTAGAGGGGTTAAGGAAAAAAGTCACTATATTCGACCAAAAAGGAGACTCTAGTGAGCTCAAATTTAGGTTGTCTCTAAAAGAATTCAAGGTCTAACCCTAACATGCCCCTAAAGCTTGAATGGCCCCTCTAGGAACGGGGGGCGGGGGGGTGGAACTGAGGAGCTGTTCATAGAACTGGAAAAAACTTCAGGGGCCACTTAAGAGGTTCCTCCTCAAGGACTACTTGGAAATGCCAGTAAGGTGGTCCCTAAAACACTTGAATGACCACTAATTCGACTACTACAGGAACAAATAAAGACGCCAAAACCCTATGTGGTCACTTGAAACTTTCGCAGTTTTTAAATACACCTTTTTTTTTAATCCTACCGTTATCTTCCCACCAATTCGACTACTACAGGGACAACTAAAGACGCCAAAACCCTAAAGTGGTCACTCAAAATTTTCCCGCTTTCTTACCCCAAATTTACTCTTTTTTTTAAAATCCCACCGTTATCTTCCCAGCAACTTCCAATTGAATCAGAAGATGAACGACGAGTTTCGATTTTTCCCAAAACGGAATGATGTCCTCGTGCATTGAGAGCAGTACTATCCTCTAGAAATAATCGATAATTTGTTCTAGTCAAAAACCAACCTTGTGTCGGAATTCAATGTTGTTGGATGTAGATGCCTTGTGAGGCAGTCGGACCGTGGCTTTCAGCGATTTCGATACAGTTTCAAGACATGGGAAGGCGTATTCGAGGAAGAATCTAGGAATGGTAATTTGACAAGACAAAATTATTTAATTTTTCGGTAAAATCATCCAGAAAGCTTGTAAACCAGTTTCCGGAAATCATACAGACCCTTTTTTTTATTGTATTAACCCGATAATCTCAAAAACTAACAAAACTAAAATGGAAACATTTTTTGAAACCGGAACAAAATAATCCATTTCAAGAAGAAAATCTCAACCGAATGACCCAAATAGAGTTGAAAAAGCTAAAATATCTATATCTGTATTAATTATGGTTTCGAATTGAAAATATTTCTGGAAAATACAAAGTGGTCTCTATAGGGACAATCTTAGGAATCCTTGAAGGTTCCGCTCTAGGGAGCACCTTACTTCTTCCTATAGGTACTGCTGGAGCTTTAGGGGCTTAAACCCATAGAAGGGTCTCTTTTTTTTGTCTCCTATACCTGGGAAAAGCTGAAGTGGTCCTATAGGGATAAAAAAAACTCCCTACAGAGGTATACTAAAGGACCCCCTTCTATAGGATCCATTAAATCTCGAACCCCTTTAGGACCCCCTTCAGCTTTTCCCAGAAATACTTTTCAATGAAAATAATATTATCAATATTATCATTTTCACCCCAAGAGCTGTCCACGGTTCTCCAAACGTTCAATCATCGAATTCGGGACATGTGTGACGATATTGTCGATTTGAAGACGCAAAAACGACAATTCTTTGAGAACGCGGCTCAGTTGCACCTCCGTGAATGGATCATCTGTAAAAATATCTCATTTTTCTCATTTTCTTGATAATATTTCTCACCACTATCATAGGAGCTCCCTCTGAGCAACGGAAACGGCTTTCTTTTGGATTTCATCCTCAGAAACGCATTCAGGGCCTTCCAAACTTGAAAAAATGAATTATTATATTTTTGACACAATAAAAAACAATAAAAACTTTGAAGGTTTTTCAAAAAGGACACAAAAAGGCCTGAGAATTGACAAAAAAACCTTTTTTTGGTTGATTATAAAAATTTTTTTTCGAATATTCATTAAAATTTCTCTTTGAAGGTAAAAGCGCCTTTTAAAAAAATGATCCCAAACAGATCATTATTTCAAAAAAATGGAAGAAAAAAACTCTTTCTGTGCTTTTTTTCCTATACAAACTGGACTTCGAAATGGAAAAAAAGACAAAAATGAAAATTTCAAAAGAAAACTAACCAAAAGCTTCTGGCAATATTAATAAACCTATTAATAAATCAAAAAAAGCGAAAAAAAAAGATACGACAAGTGTCTTCCAACACTACGAAACTACAAAAAAAAGCTTAAAAATCAAAATAATTTATGAAGCGAAAAAAAAAACCATATAAACAAACACAAGTCGTTATTTCAATCACAGGAAAATTACTCACAAAAAAAAACATTCTCTATACAAATTAATGGCATTTATTATTCAAGACAACGGCGAGGGGCAGGGCAAATCAATCGATTTTGTACTGAATGAAGTACATTTTTGAGCAAAAAGGTCAGTTTTTTAATTGGAAAAGAATAAATTATGAGGTTTCATCTTCGTCGGACGTCTCATCGGCATCTTTCAATTCGGACGACGGAACTTTGCAGATTGGCGAAGCTTCATCAGCCTCGGTCTTAAGATTTTATTTGAAAAAACAATTTCAAAAATGAGGAAAAAATCAAAATGGAACTAAATTTCCTCTATAGTTGTCTGGAGTATAGACAGATCATCTATATTTGTAACCGAGTAAAATAAAACAAAGAAATTATTCGAAAAATAAACAGCTCTCTTTTCCCAAACTAGTGCGCTCTACCGACAAACTGAAATTATATTTTTACCGGAATTATTTTTATTTATTTTTGAAATTATCGATGAACCGAAAAAAAGAAGTTTTTTTATTAATTTGAATATTTACGAAAACCGTAAAGTTCGGTTATTTTTAATGCTCAAGATCCAAATTTCGCGTTTTTTTCTTTCGATTTAAAAATTCCTTCCATTTTCAAATCTTAACTTCAAACTCCACTATTCCAGTTCTAAAAAAAGAATTCCTCGATTTTTTTAACCTCATGGGTACAAATTTGACGCAATTTTAAGGAAAATATTTATACCCAAGCCAATTTTTAAAAAAACTATTTTTTCAAGATCCAATCTCCCTTAATCATGTACCTTTCACCTTACAACTTTTTCATACCTTCGTAAAATCACCAGGGATGCTTCATAATCTTTCCTTCCTAATTAGGCTTATAATAAAATCCAGTGAAAATCCCATAATTTATTACCCCCAAACTCACCCGAAAGCGTCCCTCGTGCCAATTATCCGTGATGACGTTTGGTAAGATGCTAAAGTCGACGAAATTTTGAGCGCCATTATTATAAACATTCTGGAACACGGGGAACTTGATTAAATGGCTCGAAATGGCGTTTCAAACATTATCTTGCCCCTCTGCGTGCCGTCATATCGGCTCTCTGTGAGACTCGACCGTCCCGAAGACGTCTTCGGCGTTGTAGCCTTCGACCAACGGCGCCAGGTCATCCGAATCCGAGTCGTCTGGCGTCCAGACGTCGTTGGCTGGAGAGAGTAAAAATGGAACGTTGGCTAGAGAAATATAGAGAATATTTGATTAAAAAAAAGGTCAAAATGATAGATTTGCTAGAAAAAGTCGAACTGGAAGGTTGGTTAGACAAGTTAAAGTGAAAGGGGGCCAGAAAAAAGACAACTTTGATCGGTTAGAAAAAATCAAAGTGGAAAAATGTCTAGAAAAAGTTAAAATGAAAGATTGGCTAAGAAAAATCAAGTTAAAAAAGGTTGGATGAGAAAGTTATAATATTATATAAAGTTCAGAGTGAAAAGTCGACCAGAAAAATAAAAGGCTCATTTTGATTGCATAGAAACGTCAAAATGGAAATCAGGCTTTAAAAAAAGTCAAAATAAAAGATTGAACAACAAATTTTTTTGGCATAAATAAATTAAAAAAATGGCTGAATGAATCAAAATGAATAGGAGGACTTAATAAGAGATTCATTTTTTTCTATTAAATCGCAAAAAAATTTCAAAAAAATTTCAAAAATCTGAAAATAATTTTTTTCAAAAAAATTACAATGCTTCAGGTTTCAAATCGCATACAGAGTTTCTCATTAATTTTTTTCGTTAATTCAAACCTTTTTTTCTAATTTTTTTCTAAAGATCTAAAGATCGATAACCATATTCAATGCCATTCTTCCATTCTGATCTGAACTATTTTTCGACCCTTTTTTTTTCGCACGAACTTCGAAAATTCAATAAAATTAGAGCTTTAGTTCATGAAACGCTCAGAATTTCGATTTTTTTCAAATTTCTAAATAACAGTTATTAATAAATAATGGTAAAAAAAGCTTTTCCTACCTTCCATGTCGGAAACCGCTTCGAGCCGATCTTCTTCGACGAAAAATGACGAGGCGAGATAAAACGCGCCACAAGCAACTAACAAGAATGTCGGCAAAAACAGGGCGGTTTGTAGGCCTTTGAACAGCTCAAATTGAGAATCTCCGGTACCTAAGATGAAAAAGTTAGAAACTCAAAATTGCTGGCTTTTTAATCATTAGTTGAGAAATCATATTTGGCCTTCATAATGGCTTTCCACCGTAAAAAGATAGATATCTCATAACAGCGGTGTACCATTAAGAACGAAAACAAAGTCAAAAAACGTGGCTTTTCTTCCATATTTTTTTTTATGAAACTCACCCCGAATCGCATCAGAAACGATTCCAACGACGTAGGGCGAAGTCGCGTCTCCGAAAAGATGGGCGATGAGAGTTTGGACCGCAATCGCAGTGGCTCTTCGGTTCGCCACGACCACGTACTTCAAAGGCACAATATTGGTTTTTGAAAAACGATATAATTAATTTGCCTTCAGCTCCTATTAGCCACATAAAACCGCGCAGAGAAAAACGATATCGCGAAAATGCTGCATTTCCGCGCCGTCAGTCTTGCAATTTCCTTGGCGCGATATCGCTATTCCTCGGCGCGATCTCGCATTTTTTAATCTTCCAACGTAGAAAAACAAGCTTGCTGGCGGTTGACGATATCGCAAAAATGCTACATTTTTGCCGCGTCAGTCTTGCATTTCTCTTAACGCGATAACGCATTTTTTTTTCTGTAGTAAGCTTGGGAAAAGCGAGAAAACTGCGATATCGCAATAAGTAAAATGGCAAAAAGGCGGTTCATTCGCGAGACTGTCTACTTAGCGCCAGCGACATCGCTTTTCTCTCGCGCTAGGTAGTTAAATTTAATGCTATGGTCGCACTTGGAATGGCTCGAATACATGGAATAGGTACTTCAAACGGGGGTCAAACCTTTTTTTTTTTTGAAACTTATTTTTCGGATTTTTTCAAGCAATTCATTCTTTTTCAAAACAAAAAATTGTATGTTTAACCGGTGGTTTTAGAAAACGACCGATATGATAAAAATCGCGTTCTTTTTGGGGGAAATTTTACAAGTAACTATTACGGCAAATGGCACTTGTGCTCAGAGCGACCAAAAAACCAACGTCAAAACACACAAAAAGTACCGTATCTCAAAACGTTTCTACAGTAAACTAATATGGTATGTACTGAAAAAGTTCATGAAATCGCATTACCTATCGATTGATATACAACTTGCTGATAAAAAACTCATCAATTCTTAGATACGCAGGCGGCCACCCACCTACCGTAACCCGGTTACAGTAAAAGGGAATGGGTCAAAAAGTTGCGTCCGCATTTCTAATGATGAGTTATCACACTGGATGAAGTTTCATGGAAATTAAAAAACAAGTTTTTTTTTGTGACTCCTGTTTTTGAGAATTACAGAGATTTCTATTTGCCTACAGTTCATAACTCCTTTTTTATTATTGAAATCTTGAGGGCTGGCGGTGAACTAAAAGCGCCTCCGACCAGAAACGACTTACGCGCAGGCGCACAGTCAAGCTTTTAGCAAGCTTATTAGGTGTAAACATGACTTATAATCAACATTTCCAGTGCGACCAAGGCTTTCCAAGCCACAGAAAATGAATTTTCCGTTGCTCACCATCAAAATATCCATGTTCACAGCCCAATTGAGGCACATCGAGGTGATCGCGACGAAAATCAAGATCCAGGTGGCAGTAATCGAACGATCGGCGACGACGAGGGCAGAAAAGAGGAAAGGGAGTGCGATCAAGGCCCCGTATCCGCAGACAAGCGCGTCTGCTCTGTGGGAAGCGTGGCCGGCGAAGATGCCTTTACCGTCTCGCCACATCTACAAATAAGAAAAAGTCCATGTTTCACCGATAAGATTCTTTTTGTCCAACAAAATGAGAAAATATTCACCTGTGCTACGAATGAGCCCAAAACGACGCCAATAATACCGGCAGCGCAGGTAATCAGACCGAAAACGAGTTGAAGGCTGAAAAATTGGACTCAAACACTTTTTGAACGGAAATGAAAGCCCAAAAAGTGTCATTCACGGCTAACTTGGGGGCGTGGCTTGTCTGCGATTTCCACCAAACAGGCACTGTCTAATTATTATCGTGTCAAGACCCTTTTTCAATGTTTTAAGCCAGTCGTGAATCAACTATAACTCGGATCTTTTCTGTTACATCCCGGTTGAACTTTTGATGAAACTTCGCTGAAGTTAGGACCTCCTGATTATGGATCAGGAAAAATTATAGCAATAGAAATTTTTTTGATTCAAAAAGTCCGAAATTGCACTTTTTTTGTCATTATTTGCGTATGTTATGAACTTTGAGGCTTCATATATTTTTGAAGAGGGCCGGCGGAAACGTTTCCTAGTAAAGTAGAAATCGAAGAAGCGCAATTTTTTTAAACAGAAAAAAATATAATATTAAAATCTTATCGAAATTAGCACGTTTAATAGCACTACACAAGTTCAAAAAAACTGAATTATTAGTCAAATTTCACAAAAAAATTTCAAGTGAACCTATTTTTCTTTTTTTGGCGGTTTTTGAAAAGATTGAAAAAAATTCACGTTTTTAAAAAAATCTGACTTCTCCTTTCAACGTAATACTTTTTCAAAAAAATCGATATTTTTTTACTTCAAAAAAAGTCTGATGATTTTAATTATCTAGAAATTTGAATGACTGAGCATATTGAATCTCAAAATCGTGAAAAAAATCTGTATTTTTTTCGGATGAAGTCCTAAAAATTTTTAAATTCCCATCATGAGTATAAGAACAAAAATTCTTTATTTCATCTTTTTAAAGCCCTGTATTCTTAAAAAAAGAAAAAGAAAACCTGGCTTGTTCATCCAAAGGAACGACTTTCAAGCCATGTATAATTGCATAGCCGTGGCCGACGAGGGACGGGGTCCACCAGCTCAAAGCTCCGACGGCAAATATCCCGGCAGTACTTCCCAACGTCGTCAGATGGTACGTTCTACTGAAAAGTCATCCGATATCTCAATCTCCTGGAAACTCAACTATTCCTGTTCTTGATACTACAGTCTGTTCAGATTTTTAATGTCAAGTACAATGACGTCATTCAAAAACACTCTGTGGGTGGCTCGCTATTTGATTGGTTTGTCACGCCTTCAGGGGCATAGTTTGGGCGACGACTTGACATTCAACATCTGGACAAACTATAAGCATACACATGGGATGAGCATGACTGGTGACAGCCGAGCACAAATTTTTCGATCTCTTCCAACAAAGGAAAAAAAATCGGTTCTGCCAATCAATTGAACCTTGAAAAATGAGCCGTCATTAATTTTTGTATCTTATTTTCGTTGTTATTTTCGAATTCAGAACCATTGAATCAATCCAGTTCGACCCTTTAATGTCTACCAGTGGGTGAACAGGCTTCAGAGAGTGAATTTGTAGCCGATTTTTGCCGTTTTACGGTTTTTGCCTACCCCCCCTTTTCTCATTTTTTTTTGCCAAGTCTCCTCCACTTTTTCAGGTCTTGCCGAGACTATCCTATGTATCACTATGAACAAAAAAAATTTTTCTTTTTTTCAAAAATCAATCTAAAAACCTCCAACAACATCTTCACTGGTCCCCATAACAATAAACCAACATTTTGGTCAGGTATCGAAGATCCTCAAGAAGGGAGGTCGGTCCAGTATGGGTTCTGGCGCCTTCGGAGCCTCCACGGACCGGCTCCTCGAGCACGAAAACAATCATCGACAGGCAAATTATTCCGATCAAGGGCGTGAATCTTAAAAAATTTCCTCATTTTTGAAATTTCCTGAACATAAGAGCTCTCAAAAATGAATAATTGAATTTTCAGCAAAATTTTTATTTTTTTAAACAACTTTCTGAGGGCTCTAGTAAATATATATGAAAAGAAAGCTGAGAAAAAATAGCCATTTGGATGAGAATTCTATAGAAATCAAGAAAAAAGAGGCGTTGGCCTGAAAAAATCTGGTTTTTTATGGGCCACTTTTCTACACTTTTTTTTTTCTAATTAAGGGCTATTCAATGCCAGCTTTCATTATTCATTACAGAATTTCCTATTTCAAACCTGATTCCCCATTGCCAGGAATCGAACAACAGAGCGATATGGGATCCGCAGATGAAGCCGAGGCCACTAAATAAATAATAAAACTCATCTTCCATAAGAAAAAGTCGTTTAGCTTTGAACTCTGGAAGTCTCCGAAAAATTTCCTCAAATATTTTTTTATTTTTTTGATTGTGAACTGTCTGAAAACTTTCTGAAATTCTTTTTACTTTTCCGTTGTAAATTTACTGAAAATTGTGCAGAGGAGTCTTCAATCAACCAGAGAAAGATTGAGATGAATTTTTTTCTTTGAAGAAAATCCCCAACCCCAAAAAAAAATGAATTTCCCTATAAACAATCCCTCGGTGTACTGGGGAAAGATTTTGAGAACTCTAAGTTAAATAAAACTTTCACAAAATTAATTTTAAAAAAATGTATGCATATGAAAGGTCAGATTGAATTTTAAAATCTCAAAATCAAAATTTTTCTCAAATCTGCACTTTACAACTTCTAAAAAAACTCTTCTTACGTCGGCTGAGCCGAACCCGGAGATGCAGCCTACTTCTCAAAAAAATGCGGCATATTTCAGTAAATTAAAAAAAAATTTTCGCGCGTGAAAGGTCCAGCCGATGTATGGAACTCTTCTAGAACATTAAAGGATATTTTTCTCGGAAAAACTCCATAATTCAAAACAAAACCACTCTTTTTCAAGCACCTTCCAACAGGTATGGCGAAGTAAAAGATCATGAGGACTCGACTTCTGGCCGATCCGGTGAAGGTATCGGCGATGATCGTCGGGGCGACCGTTGAATACGAAGCTTCGCCGATGCCGACGACGCCGCGAAGCAGCAAAAATAGCATGTAATGCTGGAAAAATCGCGAAATTCGAAAATTTATCAAAATATACTTCTCACTTGCTACAAATCCGTCAAGAAAAAATACCAAAAAAAAATTTTGCTCACCTTTTTCTTGTTTTGACCTAAATCTTTTTAAAACTTTTTAATACCCCTTTTTTTGAAAACTTGAAAATCATTAAAATTTGAGAAAAAAAGGCTAAAAAAATTTAAAGCAAAAGTTCTGCGAATTTCAGAAAAAAATGTTTCCTACGACAGTCAAGAAACTATTTTAAGTAATTATATATATTAAAATATTTTGGAGCCTTCAACGCTAAAAGTTACGACAAAAATTTCGAAAAATCTCCCTTTTTTTTTTTGAAATTCCTAACCTGAGGTCCCACAAAGGAGGACAACATGACCGCGACGATCCAAACGGCCAATCCGACGATCATCAGCAATTTCCGGTTGTACCTGTCGCCCAGGTATCCGAAAAGCGGGGCGAAAATCATGTAGAAGACTATGAAAACCGTCTGAAAAATCGAATTCTAAACAGAAAACTCTGGTTTTGCACCTGAAGCATTCCGGATTGCTTGTCGTTCATCGAAAAATATGTGGTCAGACGGTCCAAAACGCCAACAATCGTGTAGCGATCCATGTAGTTGAGAAGATTCACGAGGAGGAGCACAAAAACGGACAAATAATCTCGTCGGAAAATTCGCAACACTGAAAAAAGGGACTTTATTTCTCCCAAGGAAGGTCATTTCAAAAGGATTTTTCTTAAAATTGGCCAGGTTTTCCTTGAATACACCAGAAGAAGATTCTGAGAGTCCCAACTTTCAACAAAATGCTAGTTCTCAAGAAAAGACGCCTCAAAAGACAGAGAAAACACTCAAAATCCGTTTAAACTTCTTATTTTGAGACTTGGGCCCCTAATTTCACGAAAACCGAAAAGTTTTGCAGGTTGAGTTATTTTTTTTGATTTTTAGAATCTTATTCTGGTACATCAAGAAGTATTCTGGCCGATTTTCAGGAAACTTCCAATAGCAAAGTAAAATAACCTTTTTCGTGAATTTATGAGCAAAAAAAAATCTTTTTTATTGGTTGAAGGACATGATAAAGCCACGAAACTACTATTGTTTGTTATTTATTAAACTTCCTAATGGAACTTTTTTTGAAAGTGAAATATAATCTTCCTCATAGAAATCCCATCGAGAACATCAGAAATTCGCAAGGCATTTTTGAGATTCATTATCAACAAGAAGCACAAAAATGGAAAAAAATCTCGTCGGGTAATAATGAAAAAGTGGACTTCCTGGCAAAAAAAAATGGTTCGAATTTCTGGTAAGGATTTTTCTGAAAACTGGCCACAATTTCATTTGATCGTTTCCGTACTTCTTCTAGTGAATCTCATTAATTAAATCTCAAAAATTCCTCGAACTCCTACATAATATTTCATGTTTCAGTTTCAGAAATTTCCCAATGTGATCTCAAAAGATTCTGAAAGTCTCAACCTGCAGAATTTTCTAATTTCCAAGAAAAGACACCTCAAAGACAAAGGAATCCATGAAATCTGTTAAAATAGACCACTTTGGGATTTTTGAGACCTCATTTTCAAAAAAACTGAAAAATTTTTTTGCAAATTGAAACTTTTAAGATTTTTTTTTCCGGTAGATCAAAGAATGTTCTGGCCGAGTTTGGGAAATTCCAAACTTCAAAAAAAGTTGTCTTGTTCGTGAATTATTAAACAAGAAGGAACTTTTTTTTTCAAATGTATTCGAGCAAACCCTAAGTTTAAGTAAGCACAATTACTTTTTTCAAAACTCAATTTCCTAATGAAAGTGTTTTGAAACGGAAACATGGTTTTTCTCGAAGAAATTCGACAGTTCACCATTTGAGCGAGATTGAAATCATCGAGAAAAATTCAGAAATTGACAAAAAAATGGTCGAAAAAAATCTCGTCGACAATGAAAAAGGCGACTTCTTTTTTTATTATTATAAAGCAATTTCAAAAAAACCTCTAGGTGGTGGTGGCGGCGATTCACTTATTCGGTCTGGCGGCATTTTTTTGGTACCTTAAAAAAACCTGAATCAGTTTTTCCAAGAAAAACAATATTAAAGGGTGAAACTCAGAGATTAAAGTCTTTAAATCTTTGAAAAAGTTTATGAATAGGTGAAAAAGGTATTTCATATCCAAAAAAAGCCATTAAAATTATCAAACAAAAAAATTAAGAAAAAAAGTTCAAATAAATATTCGGGTTGAATCCGCAAAGTAAGATGTAAATATCAAACGGCCAAGAACCGTTGAAAATCGAAAAAAACAACACATTTCAAAACAAAAAGACACTGATTTATGATCATCATGAATATAATATTCACAGACACGAGCAATAAATTTACAAGTAATTTTTTCAAAATTAATTATAGTTCAGTTAGAAACGAATGAAGCCATTCTCACTGTGTAGAGCCGTCGGTTTTTTCTCTGCAAAAAAACTTTTTTTATCGTAGTTCAAAGAAAAAAATCTTAAATTTTTTTGAAAAAGGGAAAATTTCATCAAACCGGTCGCAAATGATTTTTTTGGTTTCTGTCGTGAAGAAAAAAACCTAATTTATTTAATCAGATCTTTTTTTCATAGGCTTCAGTGGCTCAGGTGTGAAGAAAATACTTTCAAAACCATGTTTTTTCTTGTTTTCTGTGTGAAATCTGCACCAGAAACATGAACATAAAAAAAGTGATCAGCCCATTTTTTTAGCCTAAATAAAAAAGGCCTTTCGAAAAAGTGTGAACTTGAAGGCTATATTTCCTTACGATAGTGGATTTTTTTTTCCGGGTTCATTTTTGACTTCTTGTTTGTGTTTTGAAGAAAAAACCCTAATATCATTAATTATTACTTTTTCATAGGCTTCAGTGGGCTAAATGTGAAGGAAATTCCTTTAAAATAAACTTTTTTTTCGTGTTATCAGTGAAATATCTACATTTAAAAATCCCAAAAGTCATTTTTTCGTGGTTCGAAAAAACAGAAACGTGCAAGTTCGTCGAAAAACGGGGAATTTTAATAAATCGCACTAAGCTTTTTTTCAGGATCTCTGAGCGCTTATCTTGTTTTTCTCTGTGGAGCAAGCATAGAAAAATCTATTTTTCATTAATTTTTAAAAAGTATTTTTTTAGCAAATAAAGCTCCTTCAAACACGAAAAATCAAGTTTCTACGGGTTCTCTGTGAAAAATATACGCGGTGAACATTGGAAAAAATCCATGAAAACGGTAAGATTTTTTCCCGAACACAAAAAGTACCGTATCTCAAAAAAATTCCACAGTAACCTAATATGGTATGTACTGAAAAAGTTCAAAAAATCGCCTTACCTATCGATTAATATACAACTTGCCCATAAAAGACTCATCGATTGTTAGATGTGCAGGTGGACACCCACCTACCGTAACCCGGCTACGGTAAGAGGGAATGGCTCAAAAAGTTCATCACATTGGATGAAGCTTCATCAAAATCGAAAAATAATTTTTTTTTTTTTGGGATTACTGATTTTGAGAATTACGGAGACAGCGTGTTGAGCTTCAAAAACTGATCAGGAGACTCCTTTTGTCAAGAAAAACTACTTTTAAAAAAAGACAAACTCGTGAAAATGTGTTCATTACTGATGAAACGCATGTCGTCGTTCCCGACAAACGGATATTTCTTCAGCGGATACCAACGCGTCGTTTGGAAAGCCCGGTCCGGATTCAGCCTTTTCACTATAGTGATCGCTTTAGTGGCAGGGATTCCAGTGGTCATGTTCCTTGGAAATCTCATTATTTTCTCCTTAAAATATGGGAAAACCATTCCATTTGCACGCGGAACAGGTGAAACTCATTCCTGGTCACATTTTCCTCGGAATTTTCTTGGTGCAAAGCCAAGCCTGGCTTAGGGCCTGAAAAATAAGGTAGGCTTAAGTTTAAAAAAAAAATCGTACTAACCGCAACAAACTTGGATCTCGCAAACGGCAAAAATGACAAATTTGCAGATGCTTGAGAATTTTTCCTTGTACACGTCCAAAATATCAACCTAGAAAAGTTTTCGGATAATACAGTACCGCCTGAAAAAATGCGGAAAACATTTTTTGGTCACAACTTTCTTGTAGAAGTTCGATATTTTTAAAAATCTATAAAACTTTTTGAAAACAAACTCAACCCTCGGGCAATGGTGGAGAATGGCCGCTAAAAGGAATAGGCTCAAAAAGGTGGCAGAAAGGCAGCAAAAAGAGTCCCTTTATCAGTCCTTCCACTTTTTCTAGAAATTTAAAGGCTGAAGAAATGGTGCAGAAAGGGAGAGACAGCAAAAATGGTGCATAAGGCCTGAGAAAATGGAGCAAAAAGGCGGCAAAAAAGGAACCTTTGTCACCCCAAAAGGAACATTTCTATGGAGCCTTTTTCCACCCTTTCCGACTTTGCCTTGACAGAGTTTACAATGTGTTTCACAGTCATAATTACTCCAGAAAATTTCAGAAACATCAAACTTTAAACAAAGAAGTTGTGATCGAAAAACCGTTTTTTATTAAACCTTTTCTAAACTGTACGATGATAAATAGAAAGGAGAAAACCATTAAATCATGAAAGACGAATTCTGAACTTCTTGAAGATTTTTTTAAAAATATATTCAAAAAAAGGTTTTGAAGGTTCAAAAGTCTTGCATCATCAAGATTTGAGGTGAAAATGTCCAGAATATCGACATAAATATTTTTCTTAAAATAAAAAAAAGATAGAGTAAGAAGATAAGAATGGTTTAAACATATGGGCAATTTCAAAAAAAGGTATATTTAATTCAAAAAATTTCACTGAAGTATTAGAGGAGCTTCACATTATCATAATAACACTGAAAAATGTTATTCTCTTCGAAAAATCATCAAATTTTCCCTAAACCTTCAAGAAAAAAGTAAAGATTTTTTAACAGGCTAACTAACGAGGTAAAACAGAATATCTTGAAGCTTCGAAAAGTCTGCATTTTTAGAAAATCCTAAAGTAAAGGCCCTAACAAATTTAGGAAGAAATGAGAAAAATATCCTGAAAATCACGAAATTATCAGAAACGAACCTCATAATCAGTGCATCCCAGGTATTTCGAACCCTTTAATCTGTCAATCTTCCTAATATTCTTCGGGATCAAACTGTCGATGATCGCGTCGAAATTCAACGTAAGAGTCGTCAAAAATAAGCCCTTCTTGTCCTCTTCTTTCAGTTTCGACCTCTCTGAATTTTATTTCAAGATCTCTTTACTTGTGAAGAACTAACTGGTGATTTCCTGCAAATGAAGGTCTTTTTTAGCTAAACGCGGATTGGCGGAAGAGGCCCAGATAATCTCCCCGACGTTCGTAGAAACGTTTGGGACACTCGTTTCGAAAAGTTCGTCGAAGGAGTTTCCTTCCACGACTTTCCAAGTCTTCAAAGATTATGTATTTCACGACAGGAACAAAAGTGGAAAAAATTACTGAGAAATCATTTTTTTAATAAAGAAGAGCTTTAAACTTTACAATTTAAAAAGAACCAACCCGAACAATGAAATATCCCCCAGGGACTTTAGAATAATCAGGTATGAACTTCGACACGCGAGCTGCAACCAACGAAGTGCAATTGTTAAAAACGAAACCTTCTTCAGAGATACGGAAAAAACTTCTAAACGGAAAAAATTGATTCAGAATGGCCAAGTAATTACACTTTTTATTATCCGTTGCTCGCCAAATGCAGGTGGCAATGAACTGGAAAGAAAGCAGCACCTTTTCCTCAGGTAGAACCATTTCGATGTGAACTTCATGATTTGTATTTTCTAGACTCGTTTCGCAGCATCTTAATCGGTTTCTTGAGATTTTCGAAACTCCCTTTTCGACTACCTTTTCATGGAATGCAACAGGAAGAAGTGGGAGTTGTTCGGCTCGTAAACTCGCATAAAAGGAATATCTTCTCTCGTTTTGGAATGAGCTTCCATGGCCTGAAATACCCGGAAAACTGTTATTTTCAAATAATTCTTACTAAAGCTGCGATTGAACCGTCCAAAGTGAAGAACAGAGCTCTGATCTCCTCTCTGTACAACGACAAGGCTATCAGATAGACTCCGTTGCGAGACATTCCCAAGAACCCGCATTTCTCATTCTTCAAAATTCTTCCCATCATACTGAAAATGAAGCATTAGAATTCTAGAAAATGAAGGCTTATTACTAGTGATAGTTCCGAAAGCTACCAGGCCCTTTCTGGTTATGAAACTTGAAAGTAGTATGCGCTATACTCCTACAAGGCTTGGGAAATGAAGTTCGTATTCCGATCTGAAATAGTAAAACAATATTGAAGATTATTATTCCTAAAAACTTCTCTTTTCCATAAACGATCATAAATAGAAGCTTTTTTGAGCCGATTGGAAGTTCCTGGAGAATCTGAATGGTTCGAGCCATTGTGCTTAGAATAAGTAGGCGCGGAATCATCCGAATTCTCCTCACTGCTACTGGACGCTCCCCTCTCCTCATTAATAGTCTCAAAATATTCCTCCTCATCAAGAAAAAAGGGGTTCATACCTAAATGAATTTTTTTCAAACAAGAAAAATTTTTTTAATGAATGATAGCATCAATGTATCAATGTAATAGCAAACTCAGAAACACTCCAAACTTTCAATAATAAAAAGATACAACTTTTTCCGCTTGGAAATTAAAGTAATAAATAAACACTTTATTAATTTATTAAACAACAGGCAATAAAAATAATGAAGTGATCAGACAAAGAATACTTCGAGGCCCTTCAAAAAAAATACGTACTATAACATAAAAAAATTCGGAGATTGAAAGCTAAAAAGTTTATAAAATAGAAAGAGAAAAGAAAAACAAAAAAATGAAAAAGTGAAAAAACATAAATTAGAAAAAAACCAAAAAGTGTGCTCCATCGCACTTTTCAAATTTCGCGCCGTCAAGTACGGTAGAACGCGACGCGGAACCAGCCATGGCGCGCTTTCCATTTTTTTTTCCTCTCCTTTTTTGTTTGTTTGTTTGTGTGTGAATCGTTGTTTTATTTTATCGAATTTTTTAATTAAAGGAAATGCCACGCGACGATACGCGCATCTACGTGGGGAATCTTCCTGCTGATGTTAGAGAACGAGATGTTGAAGACATCTTCAGCAAATATGGAAAAATCAAGTTTGTCGACGTTAAAGGAGGTCGAGGCCCATGTTTCGCGTTCGTCGAGTTTGATGATTCCAGGTTAGTTTTTATCAGTTAACTTTTTGTATTAGAAGCTTGATTTCTATTTTTTTTTTCTAACTGATCTTTTTCATTAAACTTGTTTTTTCAGAGACGCAGATGACGCTGTGAGAGGGCGGGATGGATACGATTTCGATGGACACAGACTTCGCGTTGAATTCACGCGAGGAGTTGGTCCTCGTGGTCCTGGAGGTCGTCCATTAAATCCGGCTTACGGCGGCTCTCGAGACTTTGGAGGCAGCCGTCGTGGCGGCGGTCCTCCGGCTCGTCGTACGAATTATCGAGTTATCATTGAAGGCCTGCCGCCAACAGGATCTTGGCAAGATTTGAAGGTATTTATATTTCAATCTTTAAGAAATAATTTTTGTTATTCAGGACCATATGAGAGAAGCTGGAGATGTTTGCTATGCGGATGTTGCTCGCGATGGAACTGGTGTCGTAGAATTCACCCGTTATGACGATGTTAAATATGCTGTTAACAAGCTCGACGATACAAAGTTCAGATCCCATGAGGTTTTTTCTTTTTTCTTTCACCTATTTATGTTTTTTTTCAGGGAGAAACTGCATATATTCGCATTCGCGAGGATACCTCTGGCGGAGGAGGTGGTCGTGGTCGCAGTAGGTCGCGTTCGCCAAGAGATCGTCGTGTTTCTCCTCGTTATTCTCCACGTCGTTCGAGAAGTCGCTCTGCGAGTCGTTCTCGCTCGCGATCTCGTTCGCGCTCCCGCTCTGCGTCCCGTTAAGGAAACATTGGACTATCATGAGGAACAGACCAGAGACGGTACCTTTTTTGAATCCATTGAATGTTGTGTTTTTTTTTTTTGTTTGACTTCTACTATCAATATGGTTACGACCTATTTATTTTTGCTTTGTCCCCAAAAGTTAACTGCGGTGGCTCATTATATTCTTTTTTTTTCTCTATCTGTATTTGTTTTGTTGGAGTTTGACCATGAATAAACTTGCGAAATTGCAGCCTCCACTCTGCAATGCATTTGGAGGAGGAGGAGGGATTCTTACAATTAGGACCGTTACAAACGATCAATCAAACAACGTCCTCAACAGGATAATCAACAATGGAAGCGATTTGGAATCATGGAACCCTGTAATCGTGGTTAATTTTCTTTTTACGAATTTCTCTCCGCGTTCGAGATGACTGAGAAATAGGGAAGGAGAAGGAAGTGATGAAAGAAGAAATATCGCGAAGTTTTTCAATTAAAAAAATTAAAATACGTCTTTCTTATCTGAAAGTCTTCTTTTTCCGAAGGATGCTCAAACATCAAAAAAAGCTCGGTTCCTGTTCATCGACCCAGGTAAGAAGCGTAAGTTGTTGTTTTTTTATTATTTTTTTATTATATTATTCACCAAATTCATGATGAATAAAGTTTTTCTACTTTCGATTTTTTTGATTATGCATTTCAAAAAGAAGATGTGTTGTTGATTCAAGCTACAACGCTTTTTATTCTGAAAAGTCGCTAAATTTTTAAATAATTAATTTTTATTTTTTTAAACTATCTTCAAAAAAACGTTGTAAAAAGCGTGCCTTTGATGCAAAAACGGAAAGTCGACTCACTCAGAGTATTCAGAATTTTTCCTTTATTCCATAATTATAATATTATAAGTCTAGGCCATTTTCGAAGTAATTTCTGTGAAGTGCAAAGTTATCTCTGACTCTCCAAAATTTAGTTATCTTTCTCTGACGACTATTTTGCATTTCGCGATTACTTTGAACACGGCATTATAATTTCTCAACAGCCTTGGAAGTTTTTCGAATTTGCGCTTCTTTTTAAACTCATTTTTGAAAATATAAACGTTGACGGGAAGATAAGAGAAATGATTACATGGCTGAGTTCAATGGGGAACTATTTCAAAAGAAAGCGACGCCGGGACTAGTCGTCTGAAGAATGGGTAAGCCTTGCTACGGAACTATTCGGGCCAAGGATACGTGTCATCTTTTAACTCCGGTGGCTCATTGACCTGGGTAGGAGCTCTTAGAAACAAGAGAGGTTATCTTTTAAACCCCAAAGGCTTCTAGGAAGAGTCCTGTACGCGCCATCTCTCCCCTAGGTGGCCTGTCGCAGTGGTTAGAGGGCCCGTATAATTATTGACTTTTTTATTAGGAGGTTCGAACCCTCTCGAGTGCAAATTTTCTTTGCATTTTCCTAGATCTAAGAAGAATTCACTCCCTTCGAGAAAAAGAATATCTGCACTCGACAGGGATCGAACCCAAAAAAGTTACATCAGGATACTGGACCTCAAACCACTGCGCCAGGCTACGGTTAGAGAAAGGTTCAGGGGCGTATAGGACTCTTCTTGGATTTCTTCGAGGAGATTTTTCTCGGAAGCCTCTGGGATTTAGCACATAATCTATCTTGTTTTTTAGAGCTCTTACCGAGGTGTATAGGGTCGCCAAAATTTCAACCCGATCGCGTGTTAGAGCTCTTTTTTGTCTACCAGTGAATGTATCCTTTTTGTTGATGATTTTGTTATTTAATGTGGTCGTTAAATGATATTCGATAAAATAGATATACTGAACGTTGTTCTTACATGAGAAATCGCAATAATAGAAGCCTCAGTGGTATTCCTGTATAGCGAAAATTCCTGAACCCGAAGGGGCGGGACGAGCCAGGACGAATTTAGAAGGTCTGCGCAACGCCAGCCACGTTTTTGCGCAACGCAACAACCTTTTTTTTAGGGCAAATGCGTAGGCAATGCTTTCCGCAGCTCACTTTGCGCGCGTTCCGCAGAAACCAGCAATGCGCTCCGCATCGTTTCCTGGGAGAGTGCGCGTTGTTCCCTAGTTGACAAATTTGATAAATTCATGAATAAAATTCCTTTTAGTTACGTTTTTCAGTGCATTCTCAAGACAATAGCGTGAGGGGAAAGACGTAAAAGCTTAAAGCAGTTATATAGCCCATTCGTAGACAGCTGGTTTCAAGCATGAAAGAAAGGGCGCACTATTTTTCAAATAAAGAAAGTACGAACGGTTGTCGACTTCTGCTTTTTTCTAATTTAAAGCCAGCGATCATCAAAGAAAGTGCGCCTATTTTCATTTATACATCCCTTGAAAATTAGCTTTGCTTGGCTAGATTTTCAAAACTTCTTCTTTTATATTGGAACTTTCAGATTGGTTGCCAAGTCGGATCAAAAATTATGTTTTCGTGTTGCTCATGTTGATGTGGACCTGTGAATCAGCAGTTGCTGGAGGTCCTATATTCATTTTTTTTTTCTGTTGATTTTGTCCGCTACGATAATCTACAATTTTTTCAAAGGTGCTAAACTACAGCAAGAAAATTTGGATTGTTCGAATTTTATCCAAAAAAAAAAGTGGAAACTTTTTTATATCTTTTTTGAAACCTTGTTCGGATTAATAAAGAAGCGCAGCTAACTGTGAAAATTTTGAATTGATGGAAGTTTTCGGTTCATGTTTCAAACGAAACGACTTCAGGGAATTGCTGCGAAAGACCTATATGGAGCTATCCCTCCGGTGACGCTGTGCCACCCGAATGCGTAAACCTCGAATGTTCTGTGGCCTCGGTGTACCTCGAAGGAACGAGTCCCTCAAAAACAGAGGCCGGGGATTTTCTGAGGAAGGCCAAGACGATAGGGACTCTCTCTATTATCAGAGCGAAGAAAACTTTCGACATACTCTTTTTGGAGCAAGTGATCCACAAGGGAAATGGTTTGTAAATTAATTTTTATCATATCCTGTTCACGGCTGCTTTGGGACGCATGAACTTTCTAACCTTCAAATTAGAGCTTTCATGCCCTAGGCATTCACTGCTAGTTTCAGGAATCTTCTCAGTTTGGTTCAGCAACTAAAGCCTAATATTCAATGAAAATCATAACATAAAAGGACAACGCGTATATTGAAAAAAGATTTAATAGGGAAAACAACTGCTCACATAGCGGAACTCACGACATTTATTCAAGAAATTTTATATACGGAGAGATAAAGTCTCACGAACTGATTGCAACCATTGCAGTGAAAATTATGAAGTGTATTTTTTTGATTAAAGCTGAATGATTTGACAATTCGACATACCCATCTCGCTTTTCAAGTCGGGAAGGATTGACTATGAAAAATCTTCAAAATCAGGGTGTGAATATTTTTGTTGCAGGACCGGCTATATACCTTGAAAACGCCAAATTGACCGATACATCGTTCACAAACCTCCATAATATCGTAATAGATGATGTTTCGCCCTTCTGCAAGAATCGAGACCTAATCGTCATCAATGGGACTCTTGACCAAACTGTTCGAGACCATCTGGTAGCTCTACAGGACAAGGTAAAGGCAGAACAAAGAAAATGTCCCATTTATCTTCTTTTTTTTTTTCGAACTCCAAAAATATGCAACAAAAAAAAAGCCCTTTCTGACTATTTTTCAGCGATTCCAAATAAAGTAATTGGTTCGGCCAGCGTGAAAAGGCTATAAAACAGCCCCATTTCAAATAACGGAGTTGTTTCAAATTTAGTTTATGTTTAAACATACTCTTGCGAGATAAACTTGTTATATTACAAGGTGCTGTATTTATTGCAAAATATTGTGAATTTTTCGGTCTTAGTAATGTAAATTAAAGTAAAAGTAATGTGAAAGGTCTTAGTAAATTCATCAAAAATTTAGTCTGAAAGAAAAGTTTCCTGTTTGGTTTCTGCAAGGTGCTGTTTTTATTGCAATTTCATGGGGAAACAATTTAGGAGGAAATCGGAAAGAACTGTAACATTTTTTACGCAAACTAAAATAAATGTTTTCGTCTTCCGATGTACCAGGCCAAAATAGCGTTTTTCTATTGAGCAGAAAAAAATGCGATAAATCACGCCTTTTCAAGGCGGATGGTTCAAAATTGGAGTCTTGGCTGTAAAATGGACATTTGAGTACTGTACTTTTAACATTGAATCTTTTGACCGATCGCTGGTCACCTTAGCTCTACTTGTGTTGAGTAATACCCACAGGGAAGTCCTTTGTCGAATGAATTTTCCTTCAGATGCTAAAGAATTGCGCCACGTTGACCACGACAGCCACTGGAAATAGTGTATTGACCTCGACTCCGAGCGTCAACGCGACGAAGCAGAAGCCGTCGAGCGTTTCACCTCAGACCTGCGCCGCTCAGGCTGTTTGCCCCAAGGCCGAAGCCAAAGCTTGTCCTTCGAACTGTGAGTATTCGAGTGAGAGGGCCATGTTAGCGGAGTTGGGCCGAGTTACTTACAAGGCTAGTGAAGCAGTCCGAGTTTTGAAGTTTCGCTAAAACTCATCTGACAAGCAAGTTCACTTTACTTTGCGGATGGGAGTTTTCGGAAAATGATCATCTAACTTTTTGATGTACGAGATGGAGAGTCTCAACCTTCAAAACTTTCAATTTTTAGCTTTCTTACTTTCAAGTAATTATAAAAACGCCCAAAATTTTTTGGAGTTGGTTATTTTTCATCAACTGCGGCCAGAGACATTGCAAATCGAGGATTTTTGTAAATTTGGGTTGATGGATCTAGTGACCCTGAGGTTGGAGACCTTTAATAATAATTTACTGAAAATAAAATATTTCTGCAATTTGGAAAAAAATCGAGCAGTTGAAATTCTATGAAACAGCCAAAAAGCAACAAAAATTTTTTATATCAGGAAATGCTCCTGAATTATTTTCAGCTAGTTCATTTTTATTCTCAAATCTTGGAAATTTTCACGTCCATGTTCGGTTTTGAATCTTCCAGACACGTTGATCATCACTGGCATAGTTATTCTGGCGATTCTTGTCTTGGCCCTTGTCGTCGTTCTGATTTTCGCATCGAGGATGGCATCTGCGAAAAAGAATCACGACCTAATTCTCGCTGCGATGGGTACTTGGAATTTCTTTTTTCGGAAGTTGTGGTTGCACGCTTTTTCTGACTTTGTAGCTTGAAAACCCTTTTTCTATCAGGTCATTTTTCGCGTTGCAGATGTTTTAATGACTAAAAATGCATGTTTTCGAAAGTTTTAAGAAGTTTTACCATGAGAAAGTGCTTCAGAAAGTCGACGTGATTCTTGATCTTGAAAACGAATACCAAAAAATAAAATCTAATGTTTTTTCTTGGTTTTTTCCTGCGTTGGAAAGGTGCTAAATAGTTTGAGAATCTGAGATCTCGAGCAGTTTTGAGGAATTCGAGAAGTTTGAAGAACTGTATAGCGTTAGAAAGTTGGTGTAGTCAATCCTTCCCGACTTGAAAGGCGAGAGTCGGAGAAGTGGGCGGGACCCGTAGCGTGCCCGGTTCTTGGCAAGAGTTCATCTCATTTGTGTACAAAAATTAGTAGAATAGATACCAAAAGAGCGGTGACCGAACTTTTCAAATTGTAGTGGTTGAATTGAGTTTTTCGCCACGGTAAGCGTCCCGCCCTCTTCTCCGCCTCCCTCGCCTTCCAAGTCTGGATGGATTGACTATATATACAAATTCACGCCTAATCAGGATTTTTTTTCTTTTGATAACATCATGTAAATTTCAACTATTCTCTTGGCCGCAAAACGGAAGTTGAATTTCAAGCTCGATCTGTGTTTTCAGGATCATACGCTACACAAGTGCTGAATAGTTTTGTTCTTTTGGAGTCTAAAAAGAGATACACGAATTCGTCAGTTTCTCATCAACCCTGCTTTTTTTTTCTTATGGAATGGATTTCAGTTGAAGCGATCTCTATGGATGCGGATCCGAATGAGGTCATACCACTCGGTGAGTGAAAAATCAATTATCGGTATTCAAAACCTTCAAACTTAAGCTCGAGAGGTCAAAGCATGGGAGATCATTTGCTCTACACGCACCGCCAAGTTTGAGAAAAAAATCAGCTTTTGGACCCCGTTGCCGACTTTTTCGATCCCCGAAAACCGCTCAAAACCCCTCAAAGCAGTTCCTATTTGCGCCCCTCGCGGTTTGACTGTGGAATATGCCGAGGCTCTCGAGAAGTTCGAAGAAGTCAAAAAGACACACAATACGGGCAAAGAGTTTGTGCCACCGAAAGACACGAATTTGCTGTCGGACGCCAGTCGGAACAATCCAGCCATGTCCAAAGAAATCGAAGTTTATCCCTATTTGTGCACAGTGAAGCCGTATAAGACAGTTGAAAAAGATCCCAAAACGAAGAAAACCTCACGGCCGGAAGAATCGAAAGAGCGTAAGAAGGCCGGAGGAGATAAAAATCAAAATACTGCCGCAACAAAAGAGAAAAAGCCGGAAGGCGCGAAGAAAGTTGAGCCGTCTAAGGTCGAACAGAAGACTGTTCCTCAACAGGATTCTACAGCTACTCAAACGGCCACTCCAACTACTCAGAAGACTGCTACAGCTCCTCAACAGGCTGCTACAGCTCCTCAACAGGCTGCTCCAACTACTCAGAAGGCTGCTCCACCTACTCGAGCGCTTCCTTTTGTTCTTGTCGTGCCTCCCCCGGAAATCCAGGTTGAAACAGTCGAGCGCGCAAAATGCAAGCCTTTGGCCCTGTCTAAACCGGCTCCTGACGTTTTGCCAGAGATCAAGTTCGACTCAAAAATTTTGAGTATGGTTTTTCTTTTAAGCGAAAAAGCCTGATAGCTTTTTAGATTAAAAAAAAGCCTCAATATAGGAAATATTACTTTTCTTTTTCTTCCCAATGGTTAACTCATCTGAATAGCTCTACAAGCCTCTATTGCTTTTACTTCAAGGGATAGTTAAAAAAATTAATTTTTTTAAATAATCTCACGTTCCGTGTTGTTTATCAAGTCTCGTTTTGAGCCAGAAATAAATTAACCGTAGTCTTCACAACAGATACATAATTTTCAATATGAGTCAGATATTGAAGATACTTCAATACTCTTAAAGATCGCAATCTTTGCAGAAGACTCATTCGTCATTTTTCGAATTGATGTGTGAAAAACTTCAAGAATTATTACGTGGTCCACGCTAACGGTAAGAATAAAAAGAAGGTGCTATGAACCGAAAAAAATGGCGTCTTTTTCGATTCTTGAATTTTTATCACAAGGGATCTTTCCTATTTTTTTCTTTTTTTCCAGTTCTTCGTGTTGAGCGTCCTTATACAAGCTATGAAACTTGTTCAAAAATAAAATGGCAGCAACTGAAAGAAAAAAATCAAAATAGAATAAATCCAGGAAAACGTCGCCATCGGGAAGCTTCCTATCAAGAATAAATTTGGAAAAGTTGCCTTCGTGGAATTTGCTAGTTTTTGATTAGTATCATCAAACAGTGAAAGATAAAACGGTTTTTTACAGTGTTAAAACTCCTGAATGACACCTCCGACCATTCCGGTCTCAATGTCGAAAAGACGGTCATGGGTAATGCGGTTTGGGACTCTAAAATCTTCAAAAAGTCGAAACATACGCCTCTTGAATTCCCCGGGCCTGATGAGAGTAAAAAGACTGAGTCCATCATGGGATGCACAGATGACTTATCTTGTAAGTTTTCGTATTTCAATCCCGAATTCCGTCCTTCTCAGTGTATCACAACGTTTTGATGGAGCTTCGTGCGAAATGCGACGCCCAGGACCGAGAATTGCTTTGAACTTCTCGAAGCGGAAGAAAAAAAGACCGGGCAATGCTGATGCACGGCGGCGGAAAGAACTACTACGCGTTTTTCGACAGTCAGTTTTCAAAAATCTTTTTTTGAAAGAATGTGGAAACATGAGTTTTGTCGTTTCGTATAGCTTTTCAGCGCGTTCTCAAATATGCACTGAAAACTGCCCAAAAGGAATTTTTTGAGCAAAAACTGGATTGCGAAAGATTGGATCACACATGGTCGCTTATCGTAATGAAGTGTTCGAAGTGATTCCGCGAAATCCAAAAATCGCTCCGACTCTCCCAATTTTTTTGTTTTCATTTTTCTTTCTCTGGCGGCTATTTTTTTAACTTTGAAAAAAAATTAATATTCATGAAGACGAAATTTCCTGGTCAAATTTTTTTAAAAAAATTAGCCTAATCGGAATGAAGGGGAATTCTTTGGAAATACAGAGAATTTTTTTAATCGGATGAAAGTTAAAAAAATGATTACTTTGCTGAGAAGTTTTTGGCGGAAGTTCAATAGCATTTCCAAACCAAATTTGAATTCGAGAACGATTGTTCAGCTACAGAAAAAAAACTAGAAGATGGCGTGAATATCTCAAGCATCCTATGTTACTGTGATCTTTGCGCTTTTCAGAATTCGCAATGGTCGAAGGAGCCGTCCTTCCGAAAGAAACGTTCGCAGCGGCAAAGAAGCGAATCCTCAGTTGACTTTTTCAACGTTATCCGAATGTTAATTCGACTATTTCAGCTGAGGCGGAGCGTCTTGATAAGATTGGGAAGCTGTCGGTAGATCGTGATTTGCGTCTTTTTCCCGCGAAACCCCTCGTCGAGAAGAAAGGGTCTTTTGAGAACATACCGGAGCTGACTCGTCAGAAAAATGCTGAAAAGGAGTTGCAGAAACAGGATAAATAGCACCGCACGACCGATTTTTAGTTTCTTCTGTCTAATAAAATTTCAAAAAGATTCTTTCCACAATATATTTGTGAAGACGTTTTTCGACGACCTAATGATCAGTGCACGGAGTTTATACGGGAAAGCCGGTGACTCCTCCGGTGTGACATGGAGGTCTCGACCGAAGAATAAGCCGTCGTGGTGAAGCGATGAATGATTCATCATTTATATCTATTCTGCCCAGCCGCAATCCGTGATGGAATTCCACGACGAACACTTTCTCTACTGTTTCGCAGTTATCACTGCGTTTCAAATCGGTTGAGGCGCGTGGAAGGGAGTGTGGCCTATATCGCGCAAATCTACGCGAGTCTCGCGGCTCCGACTGTGGATTTACAGGTAATTAGATAAATAACGTTTTTTGATTTTTTTTTTTTTTCGAATCGAAAATCCTTTCTACATGATTTATTTAGCAACAGAATAGTTCCTTCATACGCTTGCACATTTTTAACGCGTAAAAACCTTCGTTTCATTTTCTACGACCATTGAGAAAATACAGAGATTTTAACGTTTTGCAATTGCAAAAATAGGATCGGGAAGCCTCCTAAAAAATCAAAACTTATTTGAGCATTGCATAACGCTGAATGAGTTTCCTTTTGAAGTTTCGGTAGTGATAGCTTTTACAAAAGCGTAAAATTAAAGATTTAATGCTCTTTGTGAATTGATCAATTTGATTCTGCCGGCCCGTCGACCTCTCGGCTCCCGGCCACTTCCCAAGCCCGTCCCGGCCCGGCCCTAGGAGGTCTTAAGCAAAAAGGGCCGGCCCAAAAAGCTCAGATTTACTTCAAGTCGTATTTTTCGTTTTTAAAAAGAGAAGTGGTGTTTTCGCTTATTTTTTCTCATACAGTTACATTGAAAACTAATATTCAAAAAGTAAAAATAATTTCTTGGTGAAAAATTGTTTTTCAATGAAATCAAATATTTTTTCAAAGCCCGGCCTGACGAACAAGCCTGGTTACCGCCAAAGTATAGCTGCTCAGCAGGCTTGTGCGAGGGCCGGCTTGTCACCCTCCCGGCCCCCCGACCATTTCGTAAGCCCGGCCCGGCCCGGCCTTAGAGGGGCATCAAGAAAAAATGGCCCGCCCGGCCCTAGCGCGCAATTTTTTTCTAGTCGAATATCAAGTTTTTTTACGACAAAAAATATGTTTTTGCTCATTTTTTCACTTAAAGTTTAACAATAACTATGATTTCAGAAGTAAAAGTCACATTTCGGTGAAAATTTGCAAATAAAATTTTAAGTTTTTTTTTGAAGCCCGGCCCGGCCTGAGCCCACGCGGGCTTTTTCCTGAAAATAGGGCCCAAAGCCCGGGCCGGGCCGCTCGGCCTGACGCACAAGCCTGCTGCTCAGCCAAGTTTTGCAATGGTGCGCACATTCCCGTCAGGCCGCTTTTGCAATGTGGGCGCGCTCCCAGACTTTTACCCTGCTTGAAACGCCGCGGTTATTCTTTTTTTCATGGGTTCAACTTTGGCAGCGACCCGCTAATTTGTCCCCTTTTTTCGCGTTGATTTCACATGACTTTGAAAAACTTTTTCCATGAAAATTTTTAAGATCTAGTAAATTTTTGCGAGAAATTTTGAATCCATACCTTTTTTTAACTTTATTTTTTTCAGTTTTTTTCCAAGCATTTACGTCCTTCAATAAGAAGTTGCTAATTAGCTTTTTGAGTATAATTTTTTCACATCGCAAAAAGTTGTCGAACAGCTTAAAATAAATACGGCATGTTTTATATTTTTCACTGAAGCGTATCTAAAAGAGGGAAATTGAATGAAGTTTGAAAATGAGGTTTCAGAAACTTTGATTTTTTGCATTAGGCGCAGACTTGTTCTGCGCCATTTGGGTTTAGGAGGAAAAAAAAAATGAGCGTTATGGTAGAATTTCCTCTAAATCAAATATGCGTAAAACACGATTTTTAGGATTTTTTGAAAAAAAAAACTGAATAGCGTCATAATTAATTTTTTTATTTTTAAACTATCTTCAAAAAACGTTGTGAAAAGTGCGTCTTTTATGTGAAAAACGAGTGGATCTAAGCAGTAAACAGAAAAACGGAAAGTCGACTCACTCAGAGTATTCAGAATTTTTCCGTGATTCCATAATTTAAATATTATAAGTCTAGGCCATTTTCGAAGTAATTTCTGTGAAGTGCAAAGTTATCTCTGACTCTCCAAAATTTAGTGATCTTTTCACTGACGACTATTTTGCATTTCGCGATTACTTTGAACACGGCATTATAATTTCTCAACAGCCTTGAAAGTTTTTCGAATTTGCGCTTCTTTTTAAACTCATTTTTGAAAATATAAACGTTGACGGGAAGATAAGAGAAATGATTACATGGCTGAGTTCAATGGGGAACTATTTCAAAAGAAAGCGACGCCGGGACTAGTCGTCTGAAGAATGGGTAAGCCTTGCTACGGAACTACTCGGGCCCAAGGATACGTGTCATCTTGTAACTCCGGTGGCTCATTGACCTGGGTAAGAGCTCTTAGAAACAAGAGAGGTTATCTTTTAAACCCCAAAGGCTTCTAGGAAGAGTCCTGTACGCGCCATCTCTCCCCTAGGTGGCCTGGCGCAGTGATTAGAGGGCCCGTCTAATTATTGACTTTTTTATTAGGAGGTTCGAACCCTGTCGAGTGCAAATTTTCTTTGCATTTTCCTAGATCTAAGAAGAATTCACTCCCTTCGAGAAAAAGAATATCTGCACTCGACAGGGATCGAACCCAAAAAAGTTATATCAGGATACTGGCCCTCAAGCCACTGCGCCAGGCTACGGTTAGAGAAAGGTTCAGGGGCGTATAGGACTCTTCTTGGATTTCTTCGAGGAGATTTTTCTCGGAAGCCTCTGGGATTTAGCACATTATCTATCTTGTTCCTGAGAGCTCTTACCGAGGTGTATAGGTGACCAAACTTTCAACTCGATCCGCGTGTTAGAGTGCGCGTAGTTTCCTAATTGACAAATTTGATAAATTCATAAAAAAATTTCTTTTGGTTACGTTTTTCAGTGCATTCTTAAGACAATAGCGTGAGGGAAAATACGTAAAAGGTTAAAACAGTTATTCGGTGACAGCTGGCTCCAAGCATGAGAGAAGGTTGAACACTTTTTAAATTTCGTACAGTAAATCGCGCATTATTCTTCAAATCTGGAAAGTACGGACGGTTGTCGACTTCTGCTTCTTTCTAAATCAGAGCCAGCGTAAACCGTTTCACTTTTCTTTTTGGACAGAAGAAAGCTTTTATTCGAAGCTTCAATTTATAATTCTTGATTATTTTATAATTGATAGACAGTCTTTCTTAGGGTGAAAAATGTCTTTCTTAGAGAAATTAGCTTTGACTGGCTGTAATTTCAAAACTATTCCTTTTTTTATATCGGAAATTTCAGATTGGTTGTCAAGTCGGATCAAAAATTATGTTTTCGTGTTGCTCATGTTGATGTGGACCTGTGAATCAGCAGTTGCTGGAGGTCCTATATTCTTTTTTTTTGTTGATTTTGTCTTCGCTACGATAATCTACAAGTTTTTCAAAGGTGCTAAACTACAGCAGGAAAATTTGGATATCCAAAAAAAAAGAGCGGAAACTTTTTAATATCTTTTTTGAAACCTTGCTGGGATTAAGGAAGGAGCACAACTCACTGTAAAAAATTCGAATTGATGGAAGTTTTCGGTTCATGTTCCAAAGGAAACGTCTTCAGGGAATTGCTGCGAGAGACCTATATGGAGCTATGCCTCCGGTGACGCTGTGCCACCCGAATGCAAAACCCTCAGATGTTCTGTGGCGTCGGTGTACCTCGAAGGAACGGATGCCTTAAATACAGAGGCCGCGCATTTCCTGGAAAAGGCCAAGAAGATAGGGACTCTCTCTATTGTCAGAGCGAAGAAAAATTTCGACATGAATTTTTGGAGCAAGTGATCCACAAGGGAAATGGTTTGTAAATTAATTTTTATCATATCCAGCTCACGGATGCTTTGAAACCTATAGTTTCTTTATTTCTGCGTCTTTTCGAAAAATGACGTGTGAAAATTTTCTTCTGTCACACATGTTAAGATCTCCTGATTCCAAAACACGAATGAAACTTTTCACATGAGATTTATAGTCTGTTCAGATTTCGACTAATACTTTTCCGACTTTTTTCTCGATAAATTATTCGTTTTGAATCGTCCTTTGAAAAGTAGGTAGTTCATCCATGATTAAAACACGAATAAATATGAAAAAAAAAAATGTTAATAGATGTTTTACAAATCAAAAAGTTTAAGAAAAAAAAGTCGGAAAATTCCCTAGCGATATGAAAAACTCGGAAAAGTCGCCGTTCAAAATTTCGCTGGTTTTTTTTCATACCACCAATACTTCTGTTGCAGGTCCGGCTATTTACCTCGAAAACGCCAAAATTACCGATACATCGTTCACAAAACTCAATAGTATCGTAATAAAGGATGTTTCGCCCTTCTGCAAGAATCGAGACCTAATCGTCATCAATGGGACTCTTGACCAAACTGTTCGAGACCGTCTGGTAGCTCTACAGGACAAGGTATAGATAGAACAAAGAAAATGCCCCTTTTTTTCTTCAAAACTTCAAAAAGATGCAGAAAAAGCCCTTTCTGACTATTTTTCAGCGATTCCAAATAAAGTAATTGGTTCGGCCAGCGTGAAAAGGCTATAAAACAGCCCCATTTCAAATAACGGAGTTGTTTTAAATTTAGTTTTTTTTTAAACATACTCTTTCGAGATCAACATGTTACAAGGTGCTGTATTTATTGCAAAATATTGTGAATTTTTCGGTCTTAGTAATACATGATTCATCAAAAATTTAGTCTGAAAAAAAAGTTTCTGCAAGGTGCTGTTTTTATTGCAATTTCATGGGGAAAAAAGTTGGGAGGAAATCGTAAAGAATTGTAAAATTTTTCACGCAAACTAAAAAGAATGTTTTCGTCTTCCGATGTACCAGGCCAAAATAGCGTTTTCCTATTGAGCAGAATAGAAATGCGATAAATCACGCCTTTTCAAGGCGGGTGGTTCAAAGTTGAAGTCTTGGCTGTAAAATGGACATTTGAGTACTGTACTTTTAACATTGAATCTTTTGACCGATCGCTGGTCACCTTAGCTCTACTTGTGTTGAGTAATACCCACAGGGAAGTCCTTTGTCGAATGAATTTTCCTTCAGATGCTAAAGAATTGCGCCACGTTGACCACGACAGCCACTGGAAATAGTGTATTGACCTCGACTCCGAGCGTCAACGCGACGAAGCAGAAGCCGTCGAGCGTTTCACCTCAGACCTGCGCCGCTCAGGCTGTTTGCCCCAAGGCCGAAGCCAAAGCTTGTCCTTCGAACTGTGAGTATTCGAGTGAGAGGGCCATGTTGGCGGAGTTGAGCCGAGTTACTTACAAGGCTAGTGAAGCAGTCCGAGTTTTGAAATTTCGCTAAAACTCATCTGACAAGAAAGTTCACTTTACTTTGCGGTTGGGAGTTTTCGGAAAATGATCATCTAACTTTTTGATGTACGAGATCGAGAGTCTCAACCTTCAAAACTTTCAATTTTTAGCTTTCTTACTTTTAAGTAATTATAAAGATGCCCAAAAGTTTTTTTGGAGTAGGTTATTTTTCATCAACTGCGGCCAGAGACATTGCAAATCGAAGATTTTTGTAAATTTGGGTTGATGGACCTAGTGACCCTGAGGTTAGAGACCTTTAATAATAATTTACTGAAAATAAAATATTTCTGCAATTTAAAAAAACGAGCAGTTGAAGTTCTATGAAACAGCCAAAAAGCAACAAAAATTTTTTATATCAGGGAATGCTCCTGAATTATTTTCAGCTAGTTCATTTTTTTCACGTCCATGTTCGGTTTTGAATTTTCCAGACACGTTGGTCATCACTGGCATAGTTATTCTGGCGATTCTTGTCTTGGCCCTTGTCGTCGTTTTGATTTTCGCATCCAGGATGGCATCTGCGAAAAAGAATCACGACCTAATTCTCGCTGCGATGGGTACTTGGAATTTCTTTTTTCGGAAGTTGTGGTTGCACGCTTTTTCTGACTTTGTAGCTTGAAAACCCTTTTTCTATCAGGTCATTTTTCGCGTTGCAGATGTTTTAATGACTAAAAATGCATGTTTTCGAAAGTTTTAAGAAGTTTTACCATGAGAAAGTGCTTCAGAAAGTCGAAATGATTCTTGATCTTGAAAATGAATACCAAAAAATAAAATCTAATGTTTTTTCTTGGTTTTTTCCTGCGTTGGAAAGGTGCTGAATAGTTTGAGAATCTGAGATCTCGAGCAGTTTTGACGAATTCGAGAAGTTTGAAGAATTGTATAGCGTTAGAAAGTTGGTGTAGTCAATCCTTCCCGACTTGAAAGGCGAGAGTCGGAGAAGTGGGCGGGACCCGTAGCGTGCCCGGTTCTTGGCAAGAGTTCATCTCATTTGTGTACAAAAATTAGTAGAATAGATACCAAAAGAGCGGTGACCGAACTTTTCAAATTGTAGTGGTTGAATTGAGTTTTTCGCCACGGTAAGCGTCCCGCCTCCCTCGCCTTCCAAGTCTGGATGGATTGACTATATATACAAATTCACGCCTAATCAGGATTTTTTTTCTTTTGATAAGATCATGTAAATTTCAACTATTCTCTTGGCCGCAAAACGGAAGTTGAATTTCAAGCTCGATCTGTGTTTTCAGGATCATACGCTACACAAGTGCTGAATAGTTTTGTTCTTTTGGAGTCTAAAAGAGATACACGAATTCGTCAGTTTCTCATCAACCCTGCTTTTTTTTTCTTATGAAATGGATTTCAGTTGAAGCGATCTCTATGGATGCGGATCCGAATGAGGTCATACCACTCGGTGAGTGAAAAAAAAAATCAATTATCAGTAATCAAAACCTTCAAACTTAAGCTCGAGAGGTCAAAGCATGGGAGATCATTTGCTCTACACGCACCGCCAAGTTTGAGAAAAATCAGCTTTTGGACCCCGTTGCCGACTTTTCGATCCCCGAAAACCGCTCAAAACCCCTCAAAGCAGTTCCTATTTGCGCCCCTCGCGGTTTGACTGTGGAATATGCCGAGGCTCTCGAGAAGTTCGAAGAAGTCAAAAAGACACACAATACGGGCAAAGAGTTTGTGCCACCGAAAGACACGAATTTGCTGTCGGACGCCAGTCGGAACAATCCAGCCATGTCCAAAGAAATCGAAGTTTATCCCTATTTGTGCACAGTGAAGCCGTATAAGACAGTTGAAAAAGATCCCAAAACGAAGAAAACCTCACGGCCGGAAGAATCGAAAGAGCGTAAGAAGGCCGGAGGAGATAAAAATCAAAATACTGCCGCAACAAAAGAGAAAAAGCCGGAAGGCGCGAAGAAAGTTGAGCCGTCTAAGGTCGAACAGAAGACTGTTCCTCAACAGGCTGCTCCAACTACTCAGAAGGCTGCTCCACCTACTCGAGCGCTTCCTTTTGTTCTTGTCGTGCCTCCCCCGGAAATCCAGGTTGAAACAGTCGAGCGCGCAAAATGCAAGCCTTTGGCCCTGTCTAAACCGGCTCCTGACGTTTTGCCAGAGATCAAGTTCGACTCAAAAATTTTGAGTATGGTTTTTTTTAACCGAAATTTTTTTTCTCAATGGTTCACTCAGCTGAATACTATTCAGATGAGTGAACCATTGGGAAGAAAAATTCAGTGAATAGCTCTACAAGCCTCTATTGCTTTACTTCAAGGGATAGTTAAAAAATTAATTTTTTTAAATAATCTCACGTTCCGTGTTGTTTATCAAGTCTCGTTTTGAGCCAGAAATAAATTAACCGTAGTCTTCACAACAGATACATAATTTTCAATATGAGTCAGATATTGAAGATACTTCAATACTCTTAAAGATCGCAATCTTTGCAGAAGACTCATTCGTCATTTTCGAATTGATGTGTGAAAACTTCAAGAATTATTACGTGGTCCACGCTAACGGTAAGAATAAAAGAAGGTGCTATGAACCGAAAAATGGCGTCTTTTTCGATTCTTGAATTTTATCACAAGGGATCTTTCCTATTTTTTTCTTTTTCCAGTTCTTCGTGTTGAGCGTCCTTATACAAGCTATGAAACTTGTTCAAAATAAAATGGCAGCAACTGAAAGAAAAAAATCAAAATAGAATAAATCCAGGAAAACGTCGCCATCGGGAAGCTTCCTATCAAGAATAAATTTGGAAAAGTTGCCTTCGTGGAATTTGCTAGTTTTTGATTAGTATCATCAAACAGTGAAAGATAAAACGGTTTTTTACAGTGTTAAAACTCCTGAATGACACCTCCGACCATTCCGGTCTCAATGTCGAAAAGACGGTCATGGGTAATGCGGTTTGGGACTCTAAAATCTTCAAAAAGTCGAAACATACGCCTCTTGAATTCCCCGGGCCTGATGAGAGTAAAAAGACTGAGTCCATCATGGGATGCACAGATGACTTATCTTGTAAGTTTTCGTATTTCAATCCCGAATTCCGTCCTTCTCAGTGTATCACAACGTTTTGATGGAGCTTCGTGCGAAATGCGACGCCCAGGACCGAGAATTGCTTGAACTTCTCGAAGCGGAAGAAAAAGACCGGGCAATGCTGATGCACGGCGGCGGAAAGAACTACTACGCGTTTTTCGACAGTCAGTTTTCAAAAATCTTTTTTTGAAAGAATGTGGAAACATGAGTTTTGTCGTTTCGTATAGCTTTTCAGCGCGTTCTCAAATATGCACTGAAAACTGCCCAAAAGGAATTTTTCGAGCAAAAACTGGATTGCGAAAGATTGGATCACACACAGTCGCTTATCGTAATGAAGTGTTCGAAGTGATTCCGCGAAATCCAAAATCGCTCCGACTCCCAATTTTTGTTTTCATTTTCTTTCTCTGGCGGCTATTTTTAACTTTGAAAAAAATTAATATTCATGAAGACGAAATTTCCTGGTCAAATTTTTAAAAAAATTAGCCTAATCGGAATGAAGGGGAATTCTATGGAAATACAGAAAATTTTTTAATCGGATGAAAGTTAAAAAATGATTACTTTGCTGAGAAGTTTTTGGCGGAAGTTCAATAGCATTTTCAAACCAAATTTGAATTTACTTTGAGTAGAACGTTCCGTTTGGTTTTGAAGGGAACGATTGTTCAGCTACAGAAAAAAAAAACTAGAAGAATGCGTGAATATCTCAAGCATCCTATGTTCCTGTGATCGTTGCGCTTTTCAGAATTCGCAATGGTCGAAGGAGCCGTCCTTCCGAAAGAAACGTTCGCAGCGGCAAAGAAGCGAATCCTCAGTTGACTTTTTCAACGTTATCCGAATGTTAATTCGACTATTTCAGCTGAGGCGGAGCGTCTTGATAAGATTGGGAAGCTGTCGGTAGATCGTGATTTGCGTCTTTTTTTCCCGCGAAACCCCTCGTCGAGAAGAAAGGGTCTTTTTGAGAACATACCGGAGCTGACTCGTCAGAAAAAAATGCTGAAAAAGGAGTTGCAGAAACAGGATAAATAGCACCGCACGACCGATTTTTTTAGTTTCTTCTGTCTAATAAAATTTCAAAAAGATTCTTTCCACAATATATTTGTGAAGACGTTTTTCGACGACCTAATGATCAGTGCACGGAGTTTATACGGGAAAGCCGGTGACTCCTCCGGTGTGACATGGAGGTCTCGACCGAAGAATAAGCCGTCGTGGTGAAGCGATGAATGATTCATCATTTATATCTATTCTGCCCAGCCGCAATCCGTGATGGAATTCCACGACGAACACTTTCTCTACTGTTTCGCAGTTATCACGGCGTTTCAAATCGGTTGAGGCGCGTGGAAGGGAGTGTGGCCTATATCGCGCAAATCTACGCGAGTCTCGCGGCTCCGACTGTGGATTTACAGGTAATTAGATAAATAACGTTTTTTTGATCGAATCGAAAATCCTTTCTACATGATTTATTTAGCAACAGAATAGTTCCTTCATACGCTTGCACATTTTTTTAACGCGTAAAAAAACCTTCGTTTCATTTTTCTACGACCATTGAGAAAAATACAGAGATTTTTAACGTTTTGCAATTGCAAAAAAATAGGATCAGGGAAGCCTCCTAAAAAAATCAAAACTTATTTGAGCATTGCATAACGCTGAATGAGTTTCCTTTTTGAAGTTTCGGTAGTGATAGCTTTTACAAAAAGCGTAAAATTAAAAGATTTAATGCTCTTTGTGAATTGATCAATTTGATTCTGCCGGCCCGTCGACCTCTCGGCTCCCGGCCACTTCCCAAGCCCGTCCCGGCCCGGCCCTAGGAGGTCTTAAGCAAAAAGGGCCGGCCCAAAAAGCTCAGATTTACTTCAAGTCGTATTTTTCGTTTTTAAAAAGAGAAGTGGTGTTTTCGCTTATTTTTTCTCATACAGTTACATTGAAAACTAATATTCAAAAAGTAAAAATAATTTCTTGGTGAAAAATTGTTTTTCAATGAAATCAAATATTTTTTCAAAGCCCGGCCTGACGAACAAGCCTGGTTACCGCCAAAGTATAGCTGCTCAGCAGGCTTGTGCGAGGGCCGGCTTGTCACCCTCCCGGCCCCCCGACCATTTTCGTAAGCCCGGCCCGGCCCGGCCTTAGAGGGCATCAAGAAAAAAATGGCCCGCCCGGCCCTAGCGCGCAATTTTTTTCTAGTCGAATATCAAGTTTTTTTACGACAAAAAAATATGTTTTTTTGCTCATTTTTTTCACTTAAAGTTTAACAATAACTATGATTTCAGAAGTAAAAGTCACATTTCGGTGAAAAATTTGCAAATAAAATTTTTAAGTTTTTTGAAGCCCGGCCCGGCCTGAGCCCACGCGGGCTTTTTCCTGAAAATAGGGCCCAAAGCCCGGGCCGGGCCGCTCGGCCTGACGCACAAGCCTGCTGCTCAGCCAAGTTTTGCAATGGTGCGCACATTCCCGTCAGGCCGCTTTTGCAATGTGGGCGCGCTCCCAGACTTTTACCCTGCTTGAAACGCCGCGGTTATTCTTTTTTTCATGGGTTCAACTTTGGCAGCGACCCGCTAATTTGTCCCCTTTTTTCGCGTTGATTTCACATGACTTTGAAAAACTTTTTCCATGAAAATTTTTAAGATCTAGTAAATTTTTGCGAGAAATTTTGAATCCATACCTTTTTAACTTTATTTTTTCAGTTTTTCCAAGCATTTACGTCCTTCAATAAGAAGTTGCTAATTAGCTTTTGAGTATAATTTTTTTTTTCACATCGCAAAAGTTGTCGAACAGCTTAAAATAAATACGGCATGTTTTATATTTTCACTGAAGCGTATCTAAAAGAGGGAAATTGAATGAAGTTTGAAAATGAGGTTTCAGAAACTTTGATTTTTTGCATTAGGCGCAGACTTGTTCTGCGCCATTTGGGTTTAGGAGGAAAAAAAAAATGAGCGTTATGGTAGAATTTCCTCTAAATCAAATATGCGTAAAACACGATTTTTAGGATTTTTTGAAAAAAAAACTGAATAGCATCATTCGAGCCGTTTTCGAGATACGGTAGCTCAAATGAATACGGTAGAACCCTTCGAAAATCTATACCTCGACAAAATTTCAACGAAACTCAGCAAAACTATGAAACCTCCCCCGTTCACCCGAAGAGGGCGTGGCTTTGCGGTAGTCATAGGTTCGATCCCCACGCTGGGCAAGATTTTTTTTAAAATTTTTTCTTTCTCTAAAATGTTTTCTGAGTGCTCTTTTTTGAGTTTTGAAGAAGGGAAACACGAAAATGCTTCGTTTAGAATTTTAATAAATACCTGCACTTATTTTTGTCAAAAAAATTTTTCATAAAACTTTTCGCCATTTTCCATGTGTATGAGCATGAGTTGAAGTGTGAGGTTTTTGGTCAGGGCAAGATTTATGAACCTAAATTTTATTAGCAAAAATAAAAATCGAAGATTGTGAGGCAATAAAGATTTCATTTGTGAACAAGAGAATAAAATGGGGCCGTTAGAAAAAAAAAATGATGAGATGAGCCCAAATAACTAAGCAGCCAAATCCTCTTGGGTGGGGCAAAAATCTTCCAATACCTCCTGAAAGTTGACTTTTGAAATACTGTTGGAAAAAGAAGAAACACCTCTCTGCGGAGTTTGCGGCGTCTGGTACGCTTTCTCGCGTTATCCTCGTTATGCTGAATTTTTTTCATCGTTCAAGGTTTTTCGAAAGAATTGAGTAATTTGTTCTTAGAACTACAGTACTTCTGTGTTTTCATGCTTACAGAGTTTAACTTTTTGAGTGGAAAGAAACATTTCGCAACTCACAGTATAGTCTTCTTTCTCTTCGGCAACCGTTGTCTCCATCGCTTCGTTTTTCTAAAGATTAGTTATTGAAAAATAAGAAAAGAAAAAGAAAACTACCACTCCTTTCAACACATTTTGGAGGAACTCTACAATCTGCAAAAGATTCTCCATTGTTTCTCAGAATCCTGATTTGAAAACAACTTCATATGCATTCGGCCTTTCGGCGAGAGCGTAGGCCCAAATACGGTCTTCGGTGAACCTTAACAACGAATCCGGCGTTCGGCTCGGCATCTTATTCGTGAGACCGTGTAAAATCTTCAAACGAAAAAAAGATATTCGCAAGTGAAAAATTCATGATGAAAACGGTTGGAAAAAATTGACGTATGTCAGTCCCAAACTCAATGACTCGAATGAAAAACAACCAACACGTTCGCGGATTTCCGGCGATGTTAAATTCTCATAGGGCATCGATCCTCCGCTGAAGATTTCGAATAGTAGGTTCTTAATATCAAACTTTTTTAGGGAAACAACTCTGAGAGCAACTCCGTATGTGTAACAATCGCTCTTGGGGACGAACACGAAGTATATTAAACTTTCCGGAGCGACATATCTCGTTGGGAGTCTTTCAGCCTTCCGCATGCGGAAAAAACGGCCTCTGACACAGAGGCCGAAGTCAGCCAGTTTAACCTGAAAATTAAGATTTTTCTTTTTTTTTTTCTGAGATTCGAAATGAAACCTTTCCTTTCTTTGTCAACAAGCAGTTTCGTGCTGCGATGTCACGGTGAATTAAGTTTTGGCTATGAATGTATGCGAGGCCTTGAGCCGCATCCAACGCAAATCGGACGAGATGACGAACGCTTGTACATTCGAAATTCTCCAGCAAAAAAAGGTCCAAAGCGCCGCCTGTGATAGAAATATTCACAGAAAAATTATCTCCATGTTTTTAAAGGTGAACAGAAAGCTCCGTAATACCGCCTTCGCGTCTTTTGATCAGCATTTATTGACTGATACTTTTTCTATTTTCTTGAGTCAAAGCGAAATTAAAGCCCGTTCAGATTTTGAATGTCAATCAGCAATCTCCGCCCCCTACAACGCTCTGTGAATGGCCTTCTTTCTGATTGGTTTGATCTATACGCAGGGGTGGAGTTTGAGCGATAACATGACACTCAAATTCTGATCAGACTTAGTAGGCTTCGAACAAAATTGAAAGGCTCGAGAAAAGCGAAAAAGGAATCTTTTTGCGCCCGTGTTTTGCTCTTCAGACTCTACCCGTTCAGACCAAGCTTTTACTGTTTTTATTGTTCTATTTTAGTAAATAACGAGGAGCCCAGAGAGGACAGGAGAGGACATACTGTTTAGATAACTGAAAAAAGACAGACTTTTTTTTAAACTTACAGGGCATGTACTCAAATAATAACATCAAGGGATGACTGTCGAGGCACCAGCCATAAATTTGAATAACGTTCGGATGATTCAAATTAAGCATACACCTCCCCTCTTCGATGAGTTTTTGACTGAGTTCAGCAGTGTTAGTCAGTCCAAGTTTGACCTGAAAAAAAGAAATGTATTTTTTTCAATCGCTTCTTCAAATCAAGTGAGATCACTATTTTCAGAATTCAAACTGACAGCTTTAACGACGGCTCGTTTGTTCAGGAGTCCTGGGCGACTGATTGCCGCCAACGAAACGTCGCCGAAGGCGCCGGCTCCAAGCTGGAAATTTGAGTTTACTTCAAAAAAAGTTGAAAAAATGATAAAAGTATAATTGTTCCCATTTAAAACAAATTGAGCTCTTGCCTTCTTTATGCGTTCAATATAATGTGGTTTGAACTGAAAGATCCTGCGAGGGACGGCGTAGCGGAGCTGAGCGGCTAGTTTTGACTGGAATTGGTTCATTTTTCCGAGCTTTAAACTTTCTCTTTTTCACCTTTTCCCCATGAAACACATAGAAACTAAGGAGATCCTCGACGGATTCGAAGCAGTAGTCGTCTTCAATGGAGAAAAAACCGCGTTTGTCTTTCTCAACGACGTGGGTCCTTACGCGGATCACAGGATTAGAATCTTTTATGGCTAAAAGTTTGAAATTTTAAACTTGGAGAAGTAATTTTTTGACCAATGAAATCTTGATAAACTTTCAACTGACCCTCATCTGGCATTCCTGGCCTTCTCCACTGTTTATCATGCCTCAGGGGCTCTCCAGAGCAAATCAAGATATTTGTCTTGTCTTTAACTGAACTTCGAAGAAATTTCAAAAACCGTGTTCTTGGAAAAAGAAACCGTCCTCAAGTCGAATTAAATACTGGCCATCGTGTCTAATAGCACTACGAGCTTCAAAATCTCCTATGTATCTGAATAGAATCGTTGAAAAAATGTGAAAGCGAAAAAGAAGCGGACCCTTGGTATCCCGGCCAATATTTCAGGTATTCCGCCGGATGCTTGGGGAGATCAGTCTCAGCAGCCTGATAAGCCCCAAATATCTCGTGGATCTGAGATGCTGAAGAAAAAATGCGGAAATCGAGTGTTATTATTCCGAAACTGAACCATTCTCTCGAGCAATCTTTCTTGGCGCAGCAAATTCCGTCGGTCCCTCAGTCAACGTAACGTCTGAAGGAAAAGCGTCCGATTTTTCCAAGCCAGCCTCGATTCTTTCTGAAAATCATTGAAACTCCAAATTTATAGTAAATCAACAAATGTTTGTTTTTCATTCGAAAAGATGCATCACCTCGAGAGGAAGCCTCTCTTGGATCTCCTCATATATATTCATAACTCAAAACCTATTGTCGGCTTCTCCTTCTCCTTCTTGCCAGCATCGCCTCGACTAAACAACATTCGCCACATGAAATTAACCAGAGTCATGATGAAAACACGCTTCCTTTCTTATATTCTTTCTATGATTAATTTTAAAAAGTTTATTTTTTGAAATGGTTTTTTTGATGCTCACTAGATAGATTTTTCTTCTTTTTTTGAAGAAAAAAAGAAACGAATAAAGAGCTCAAGTCGATCCTCAACAGGGTTGCACGAGACTCGATCTCGTCTCGCTCTCGTCTCGAGATGAAATTCGTACTTCTCGATCACTTTTCGATTTTTCGAGACGAACTTCATCTCGTCTCGAAAATTCCGAAACTCGAGAAATTCTGAGATGAAAACAGTATATATTGAGAGCAGAAAAGGCTAAGGTTTGACGTGAGATGTGATCTAAATGCACTTTTTTCATTTTCTGCGTACATTTTCGAAAAATTCACAAGAAATCTCTCAATTCTTTTGATTTTCCAAAATATTATTCAACCTTCTTTTTTTAAATCATTTTTAAACGATTTTTTTTTTGTACGAAAATGTAGGCACTGTGGAAGAAAAACACAATTAGAACATTCAAAGATGCGGATTCACTATTGAAAATGAAGTTTTTGCAAACCCCAGCAAGCCTTGAAAAAATTGGACTTATTTGAGAAATCCGTCTTCAGTGAGTAAAAGTTGTATTTTCTGTAAAATTCATCTATTAATATCAAAACTGGCCGTGTTCATCTTATCAAATAGGAAAAATGGTTGAAAATGGTCTTGTATGACTAGCGGAGACGGCGCAGGGGAAACTGGGCGGCCCCCAGCAGGTCTGAGCTGATGTCTCTTGTAAACGTAATTTTTTCAAACTTGGGTTTTGGGACAATGAGTGGCTTACTTTGTCACGTTGTATAGGAAAAACATAGTTCCCTCTATAAAAAGGTTATTCGTCAGAATTCTTTCAAAAAACAATTTAGATAGTAGAACAACAGCCTTCTTAATAAATGTCCAATCCTTTTTGGTCTTTTAGAAGTGCTTTTTTTCTCACAGAGAATTATTTTTTTTTTTTCGATTTCGTCTCGAAGTTCCTCGAAAATTTCTCGATCTTGTCTCGAATTTCGAGAAGGGCTTGTTTCTCGTCTCGATTTCGTCTCGGTTTCAAAAAATTACTTTTTGTGCAACCCTGATTCTCAGGACTGTTTGCTAGCCACTTTTCGGTATTGAGCTTTGAATTCCATAGCGATCGATATAAAAAGGTGCTTTTCTTGTGTTGTGTTTCAGGCTTGACGGCCAGGGCCAGGTTCCGAATAAAATGTTCTATCCTCACTTAAAATTATCACCGAAAAGTTTTTTTTATTCGTTAAATCAAAGTGTCTGTTGATAGCTATGTGAGAAAAAGAGACGCGATATTTTTAGGAAAACAGTCTGATGTTTGACTTGGACACATTTTTCGCCGGCCATTTTTGCTTGAGACCTTTCTAAAGCCGGGCTGGGCTTGAGAAATGGCCGGGAGGCCAATAGGCTGACGGAACGGCCCTCGCACAAGCCTGCTTCCCGGGAATTTCTCTGGATCCCAGAGGACCCGCCCACAGAAACCTTTGATTGTAAATGGAGCGCACTTTCCTCGACGGTGTCGTGGCAAAGTTTTGAATCGCAAATAAAGTTCGAGTGTAGTTTTTAAATTTAATTTCAATTTTCTTTTGTACATCTATTCCTTTTAATGTTTATCTGATGTTCGTTTAAAATCCAGATTTCAGGGTGAAACCTACTGTCCGGATGGACTTTATTAGGTATCTAATACCAAAGCGAAAAAGTAGTGCGTTAGTTTTGACAGCTGTATTTTTGTTTTTCTTTGCCATTTATCAATTTTTCAATGATGCTCCTACGATCGGTATAGGAAACCGCTTGAAGTTCCCCGATATTGGTAATTTTTATTTTTGATTTTGGTTGAAAAATGCGTTAGTTTTGTAGAAAAGGTAGCAGAACGGATCGTGAAAAGAGATTATCCCGATGACGGGGATGTAGTATTGCATGTGCGGCCTGACTATTCCATCAAAAGAGACGGTCCTGGCGAAGATGGGAAGCCAGTTGTTCTGAAAGGAGAGGAAAGAGCCCTAGGCGATGAGGACATGAAGAATTGGTTCATGAATGTTCATGCTAGGTACTTTGAACGAGAAAAATCAAAATAAACTTGACGTTTTATAGCGATAAAATATCTCTCGATCGAAACGTCCCTGACGCTCGGCGGAAAGAATGCAAGGATGTCAAATACGACCTGGAAAAGCTCCCCAATGTAAGTTATTCCGAGATGAATGACCTAAAAAGCTTTTTTTAGGCTTCTGTGGTTATAATCTTCACTGACGAGGCCTGGACGCCTCTTCTTCGAACAGTTCATTCGGTTGTCAACAGAAGTCCTCCGGAAATTCTTCACGAGGTCATTTTGTTGGATGACAATAGCCAGAGAGGTTTGGTGTCCACGAAAAATGGTTTTCTGTTGTTTTTGTTCAAAAATCCGTTTGCAAAAATGCATTTAACGCCAAATAAAGTTCAAAATAGCTTTTTCTCTATACATGCTTAACTTACGACTTTTTATGGTATTTCAAAATTCAGCAAAGGTTTTCGCACATAATCTGAACCCCTAAACCAGTGAAATCACTTGAAAGAAACTTTATTTTTCATTTTTTTTTTTAATTTGACGGACGTTTTCTTTATATTTCCTTTATATGTGAATCATTAGACTTTATAAAAAACAGGAACTTTCCTGGGAAAAAAAGCTTATTAAAACGCCCGTTTTTTTCGTGAAACCCTATGAAGTGGACGAATATTACAGAAGAGCTCAAAGAGAAGCTGGACCACCACATCAAACGGTTCAACGGAGTCGTAAAAATCGTGAGAAAAAAACCGTCCGTCATGGTCTGATTCGAGCCAAACTTGCAGGTTTCTTTTTTTGATGTTTTTTTATAAATTTATTGAGAATGTTTTATTTTTTTCATATATTTCCCGGGATTTCCGTGGTTTAATTGATTTTTTTGAGGGTAGGATTGTGAGATATTCCATTTCTCGGAGGAAAACTATCATTTTTTGCTGGTTTATTAAAAATACATGTTATCTTTTCTTTTTTATTCTGTTTGTATTATTTTTTTTCCCTGTTCAGAAATCCTTGCGGAGGTGTATAAAGACGCATATTTTTTATTGCAAAACTAATGATCCTTCAAATCCATCTAGAAAAAGCTTCAAAACTCAAACGAATTATTAATATATTTAGTTAATTTTTTTCTTGATTTAAAAATAAAAAAATGTAGAGATTTACTGAAGTACCTAAAAAATACCCCGCCTCGCATAGGTGAAACCGAAAAGTCACTTTGAGGGCCCTTAGAAGAAGCTGAAAAGGTATCTTAAAAATCTCCCAAAGTGATGAGAAAAATCCTTTTCTCAGCCTCATAGGTTCTTCTTGAAACCCCTGGAAATTTTTGGTTCATTTTTTGTTTGAAAAAGTACCTTTTTCGTTTTTCCCAAGGGTGCTAAAGGGATCCAAAGTGTAAAGGCCAAGAAAATTGACTTTTTGTGAAAGAAGTTGAAAAACGGGCAGAAGCCTCTGGAAAAAGGCCTCGCAGGCCCCTTTTTTCTTGACTTTTTTAAAAAGAAGCGGGAAACCGAGATTCTCAGAAACTTCTGCCATCTTTTTAGGAACTCAAAAGAGAGCTCTAGGACTATTTTATAAAGGCCTTTTTGACTTTGCCCATGAAGGAAGATTTTCAGGCGCCCGTGAGGCGACTGGCCAAGTTGTTGTATTTCTCGATTCTCATTGTGAAGCCAATCATGGATGGTACGTTTTTCTTCTCGAAATTTGGCCTGTTTTTCTCAATTCGTTGAATAAAAATTCGGTTTTTCAGGCTCGAACCATTGGTCCAAAGAATCCAGGAGAAAAGAACGGCGATAATTTGTCCGATAATCGATTCGATTTCCGCCGGAACGATGGCTTATCACGGAGATCCGTTTGCGACCGCCGTTGGAGGTGTGATTTTTGAAGAGTAAAATCGAAAATTTGATTTAAAAAAAAACCATCCGATTAGGCCTGAAATGAGGAAAAAACTTCATTATTAAGTTATTTTTTTTTCAAAAAGGTCAAATTGACCAAAATTTCAGAGTTTCTAGTGTAGAAAGTTGTATAGTCGATTCACAGCTAGCTAAGTAGCCTGTCTGCGCTCTCTACCAGCCAGGCACTATCTCTTCTCTTTTTCGTGTCAGGACCCTTTTTTCAATGACTCAAGCCAACCATGAACACTGCAGATATATTTTATATCATGTTCTAAATCCTCCTAAAATCTCACATGACCCGAAAAACAACGATAACGCCTTTTCGCCTCGAGACCTTTATAAAACTCCCTATGCTCCTTTGAACTGCCTATTTTGCGAAACATTTGAATTTTTTTATTGTCTGTCCAAATTGTACAGAAGAACAAATAAGAAGCTTCCAAATATGATAGCATGTTTTTGCCTCTTTTCATGCTATTTGTTTATTTGAAGTGTTTGAACAATGCCTCAAAACGGAAAATTTGAGCGATTTTAGGAAATTTCATAACTGACAGTAGTATTATCTAACATGAAGGAAAGGAATTTGTGTTTGAACAAAAAAATTTCCAAATAAAAAGAAGAAAATAACATTTATTCGTTTCTTTTTGAAAATACTTGTTGCTGTTTTTTTAACGGAAAAAAACCTTCCAGAAAGTATTTTTTTAAAAAAACTTTCAAAAATTAATTTTTAGGCTTTTTCCTGGGCTCTACACTTTACTTGGGAGCCAATGTCGAAAAGCTGAAAGAGAACGAAGAAAATCGGAGACCGAAGCGATTCGGTTAGTTTTTTTAAAGTTTTATTTGCTTCAAATATTTGAAAATTCAAAAAAATTTCGAAACTTCATTCTTAACAAAAGCTGCATTTGTCAATAGTCATTCAACATAGTAGTTCGAGAATTTTTTCTTGAGTGGCAGAAAAGATTTCTCAAAAATTTCCTCTGAAGAATTTCTCCTTCCCCGAACTGATACGTTTCAGTGAACTTTTTTATTTGAATAAATGCTTTTAGTTCGTTTTCACTGTTTTTATTGCTGCATTATATTTTTCTCGCTTTGGAATCTGAAGGTTATATGCGCGAAGCGGTCGCGATGCGTTTTTGCGCCAATTTGAAATTTATCACCTTATTGAAGTTTTCCGTGGTAATCATCGTTTTATTTAAAGTCCAAAAACAACTTATTTCAAATTTATCTGATATAAATAGTTCGTTTCTTTACAGGCAAAGTCTAGAAAGACTCCATAGAAATATTCCTTTTAGGGTAATGAAGGCTCCCTTCTTGCTGTCTTTTTGCGCCATTTTCCCAGCCCTTATGTACCATTTTTGCTGCCTCTCCCTTTCTCCGCCATTTCTCGAGCCTTTAAAATCCCAGAAAAATGGAAGGCTCCATAAAGGGACTCTTTTTGCTGCCTTTTTGCTCCCTTTTCGCCGCCTTTCTGCGGCCTTTTTCGAGCCCCTCCCTCTTAACGGCCATTATCCATCATTCCGATTTTTCCCTAGTTCAACAATAAACTTGAGAAAAGTCTGAAATGGCGACAATTTTTTTGAATTGGTGCCAAAAACGCATCGCAACCGCTTCGCGCATGGACCAAACGCCGCAGTTTCAAAACCGAGAAAAAAATGAAACTTAAATGAAAAATGGTTCCATTTTTTTATTAATAATAATTTATTAGTTATTTCAGTTTTATATTTTTTTCGGTTATCCCCGAGATCAAAATGTAGAAATTATCCCTACTTCAGATCTCCCACAATGGCCGGCGGTCTTCTGGCGGCCGACCGAGAATATTTTTTCGAAGTCGGCGGATATGACGAGGAGATGGACATTTGGGGCGGCGAGAACTTGGAAATTTCATTCAGAGTAAGATTCTTTGAATAAAATGCGAGTTTCAATTGAAACGTTTTAGACATGGATGTGTGGCGGATCGATCGAATTCGTCCCCTGTTCCCACGTCGGACACATTTTCCGAGCTGGCCATCCGTATAATATGACTGGTGCGATCATTTTCTTTTTTTTTTATTAAATCAAACATGAAATAACGAGATATCGGATGCAAAAAAATATTCAATTAGGAAAATAGTTAAATGGACTCGAAAAAGACGGAAATTGAAAAAAAAATTTTTTTGTAAGAAATCTCAGTTTTTTTAAAATTTTTCTTTACAATCTTCACTTTAATAAGATTCCATATGCAAAAATTCTTCTTTAATTAAATTAAATTAGAACTTTAAGTGAAGAAGCTTCAAGAAATTTCTGTTCAAAACGTCAATATTCGATAAATCTTCTCTTTTTAATGGTATCACGTTTATTGAGTTTTTTGAATTTCGTAGGTAGTTTGGATTATTTCAATTCTAAGTTAGAAAATGAAATACTTAGTTTCAGTATGGCTGAACCCCTTTTGAAGATTTTTTCCTTGAAATCGAAAGAATTTTAGGACGAAACAAAATTGTGTTTTAGGTCGATTTCTGATTGAGACTGGGCTCACTAGGCGCAGATAGATTTTTTATTTTCAAAAATACCGTTCAGATTCATTTTTTTAGGTCGTAACAATAATAAGGACGTCCACGGAACGAATTCCAAGCGATTGGCTGAAGTTTGGATGGATGAATATAAACGATTGTATTACATGCATCGACAAGATCTCAAGGTGAATTCATCAACCGGATTTTTTTGGTCGCATTTGGAATGGCTGCCTTTCAAAATTCAATCTTTCAAATTTATGATCTTGAGCGTGACGCGCCCTGGAGTCGGGCGCAACTTTTGAGCCATTGGTTCTACTTAAATATCCGGTCTTTAATTTCCTAGGGGTGCTGTATGTGAAATTCCGCAATTTTGAGTGGTTCACTTTGTGTGTTTGCACTTTTTTGCGACTTGTCCGCTTTTTTAATTTCTTTTTCTCTTCTTCTCAATCTTTTTTAAAATATATTATAAAGGAGTTTTGGACATTTAGACTTTTTCCTGCAGTTATAATTTATTGCATTAAAGTTTAAAACGAAAATGGACCACGGCGAATAGTGCAAACACAAGGTGACAACTCAGAAAAGTCCCATACAGTAACCTTCAAAATAGAAAAATCATGTCGCAACACAAATTTTTCAAAAGAATATAGCAATGTTGCGCCTGCGCATGAAGCAACTTGCGCTCAGGATCATGAATTCCACCTTCAAAAATTTAATTTTGAACTGCTCGCTCTTGCTTTAGCTGTTGACCAAGCCATTCCAAGCGCGACCAAAAGTTCTCCCAATCAACTTTAATCTGTTTTCTTATCTGTTCGCATTTTCAAGGACAAAGACGTCGGTGACCTGACTCCCAGGAGGAAATTAAGAGAACGACTTCAGTGCAAACCCTTCAAATGGTTGGTGGCCATCAAGGACATTCCAACCCAAATTAACCTACTTTTTTTCTAGGTACTTGGACAATGTAATTCCCGGCAAGTTTGTGATGGATGAGGATGTTCTTGCTTATGGAACGGTTGGTGGTTTTTAATTGGTCTGAAGAGAAATAAGGGCAGATTTTCCTAAATGGCTTGTTCATCGAACAACATGAAAATTGTTCCGAAACACATAAAACTGCTCCAAAACAAAAAATAGTACGGTTTTGAAGAAATTTTGATACGCTGATAAACATTTTTTGCGTTTTTTCTTTCAAATTCTGGGAGAAATCTAACTTCTAAATTATCGTAATAGAAGTTTCATTGTGATGTCATTTTGGTGTTCCTGAAAATTTTTTTGACGAAAAACAGGAATCTCAGGTTTTTTTAACTGGAAAAAAATGTTACGAATATTGGATTGATAGTTATTTCTGTTGAGAAAAAAAGAAGAATTTCAAAGTACAGAACAAAAATCCATAAAGAAAACCCATGATTTTTTTGAATTTTATTTTTTTGAATGGCTTTTTTTATTCTCATTTTTTAAAGATTGCATTGGATAAACTATTCGATAATTGTTAATTTTTTTCCATTGAAATCAAATTTTTTTGTTTCGAAGTTTTTTTAGAAGGTGATTTTTTTCTCAAAAGTTCTATCATTCATGAAATTTGAAGAATTTGATGCCTTTTAGATTTTTTCAGAATTTTTTTGGCGAATTTTTCTTTATAGAGCTTCAAATTTCAGAAAAAGAGAATCACAAGCAGTTTTTCTAAAAAGGATACCTTTTTCCGAGGGAAATTATTAACTCAGTCTAAACCCAAATAGCGCAGAACAAGTATGAGCCTAAATACTATCATTTTCTTTGAGCCAGACTTTTTTTCAGCTCCACACGACGGTCAACTCGTACCGCATGTGCACGGATACATTGCAGAGAGATGAGAAAATGGCCCAATTGTTGGGAGTTTTCCCTTGTCAGGGCAAAGGAAGCTCTCCGCAGGTCGGATATTTCAATTATTTGGTTGACTGAAAATATTTTCGTTGCAAAACTTTTATCTTCCTTTTTTGAAAAATTGGATATCTTCAAAGTTTTCTTTGAGAACGTAATCCAATTTATAATGTCATTAATGAAAATTGCGAACAATAAGGCCCGTTTCTAACCGGAATCTAATCTCATAACTAACTAACTAATTCTAAAGAGGGTTTTTAATGTTTAAAATTGAAACCATGTAAAAATGGACGTTGGATTCATCTTTTGATTTTGCCGTGACCAAAATAATTTCCGGGAAACTCAATTTTTCTCGATCTCTCCAAAGTTTGATTATCTTTTTCACCTTCTGAAGGTTATTTTGAACTTCGAGGAATTTCTGTATTTTGTTCAAAAGTAAGGGTTTGAGAAGAAAATTCAACTTAGGCATGGAAATTGGATAATACCTCTTTTCATATATAAATTTTGGCCATGTTTTCGGAATTTTGAAAGGAAAAGCTCATTTATAACAGCTCTCAGGCTGGCTAGGTGTCTAAACGGGTGTATTAAACTCTTTTTTTTGAGGTTTTTTGAGTTTATGTTGTGCTAAAAAGGAGAAATACGGGACCAAGCTGCGTTTATTTCGAAAATCTGGGACCGAACTGTGCTGAAAATTCTTGTTTCATCTGGCTTTTTTGTTTGTCATAATTTGCGTACTCTGCGGACTTTGAAGCTCCATAACTCGGAAACAGGATCTATTGCGAGGAATTTTTTTCTTTTTCTGTAATCAGGAGGTCTTAAAGTATCCTTCAGCAAAATTTCATCAAAAGTTCAACCAGGGGGTAAAGAACGTTCCCTAGTCAGCAGGAGAGCGAATTCTAATCTTTAATTTCGAGAGAAAAATCGACCTTTTCTTCCAGCTGATGTCACTGTCGAAAGCGGGTCATTTGCGGCGGGAAACCAACTGCGCAATTATCGACGGCGATAAAAAGCACGTTCGGATGATCAGTTGCAGTGATGGCCTCGACAAATGGACCTACGAGGTGGGAAATATTCGAAAAAGGGATATTTTTTGATTTTCCCTTAGTTTTCTTAAATTCCTTTTTTTCTAGATTTTTAGGTCATTAGAAAACGAATGGTTCAGGAATTTTTCTCAAAAGCTACAAAAAGACGGTGTACTTCGCTTCAAGACCTTTTTTTTGCAGACTTGTAGAAGAAAAGTTTTTTTTCTGCTGTGCTTTGGAAACGTGGAGAAAATCCCGCAAAGAATAGTTATGCACAGGTTGGGCCGGCCCGGGCTCTGGGCATTGTTTTTTGAGAAGAAACTTGGGCGGGCTTGGGCCAGGCATCGAATAAATCTTCTGAATTCGATCAATTTTTCAAAATTTTCCAGAAATTTCACTCTTTTTACGGATAAAAGCTTAGTTTCTGTTGAATTTTAAGTGAAAAAAACAGCAGAAAACAAGAAATTTAGGGTAAATAAGTCTGATATTTGACTTCAAGAAAACCTGCCCTTTTTGGGCGGGGCCTAGTCGGGCTCAAAAAAAGGGTCTGGGTTGACCCGGCCCTCGCGCAAGCCTGACGATAACCATAAATAGATTACTGTTTTTCCAGAAACGGCAGCTGATCCACAACCGGACGAAGCAATGCTTGACGACGGCTTCTCTGAAAGGCGGCGATGACGTCATCGTCGTGGATTGCGATCCGTCGGACGCCCACCAACTCTGGGATTTTGACAGCCCTGATATTTGAAAATAATAATTTTTATCATTTTTTATCATTTTTTCTTTTTTAATATTTGTTAGCTCTTCCCTTTCCTGGTCACACCAAAGCACGTCTTCTTCTTTTAGTCTTGCCTTTCCTAGTTTTTTTATCCTTTATTTCAATGCTCTTAGTCTTGTCTACTACGGATACTATAGTATTGCACCAACACTAGTCATTCATTTTTGTTTCACTTCTTCCGATTTCACTTTTCTTCCCAGATCTTCTGTGATACACGCAATTTATCCATACTTGTATTTATTCTTTGTTGTTCTGAGGTTATACTGGTTTCTTTCTATGCAATAAATTTTACGGTCATTTTTTGATGTAGAGAGTTTTTTTATGGTTGAATACCTTGAATAATAACTTTTCGTGTTGTGTTTGAGCTGTGTGAGAAATTTGAAAACTTTTTTTTCGATTTCTTAAACGAGCTGTTGAAAGTAGAGAACTTGAGAAAAAAGGAAAATTGTTCTATGCGCCTTTAATAAGAGCCTGATTTCTTGAATAGTTTCAGTTATAGCCGATCGAGTACCAGTTTAGGACGTTAAAGGGGCGGGTCATGTCTGTGCCCTCCACAAACCGGGCACTTTCTCTCTTTTATCGTGCCAGGACCCTTTTTCGATGATCATGAATCAGCTATACTTAGGGACCGCAAAGCCACGCCCACTTCGGACGAAATTTTTTTTTGCATTGCATTGCGGTTTTTTCTTTATTCCATGGCGCGCGTATGGAAAAAAAATAGTATACTCGAAATACATGTTAATAATAATATAATTTATTTACAGGCAGAACAAAATAACATGTACAAAAAAAGAGGGAAAGATTGGCATTAAGGCCTGAAATAATGTTCTGGGGCATAGTTAAGGCATAGATTAGTATTTCAGTGTCAAAACTAGAAAAAAACCAGTGCAAGAGCAAAAAAATTCTGGAATATCAGTTTTTTCAGCGACGGCCCTATGCTTTTTTGTGCTGATTAAGGAGCATCTATTATAATTCTAAAAACAAAATTTTCTGAAAAAACCTGCAGAAATAAAAATCACGACATCTTGTTTTATAAAGCGTTAAAACGACGATTTTTTAAGGTTTCCACACCAAAAACGGACTTTCTCCGAAAAAAACTTTTGCTTTCCGTTTTTTTTCACATTCATTTCAATCGCTCTCAGATTTTATGTGAGGTGACGAAATGCAAAAGAAAAAGAAAAAAGTAGGGCTCTTATTAAAGGCGCAAGTTGAACTGTCTTCTCCTATTGTCTTCAGCCAACCGTTAATCGGCTATAGTCTGTGCGCCACGACTTGAAATTTCACGGAACGACATTCCGCTGTACCGCTGCGTGCGTTCGCGAAGCGTCTTTCGAATCTAGGTCACGTTTTCAATTGATTGTTATTGCTGTGGAAGCCCATGGAAGTAGAGTACCTTAATAAAATATTAAAAAAATGAAAGCGCGACCGAGGTTCGCAAAGGCGCGCAGCGGCACAGTGGAATGTCGTTCCGTGAAATTTCAAGTCGTGGTACACAGACTATATATAGTCAAGTTCTAGTTGAAGATGAGCGACAACGCGGAAGGCGACGTGGCGGTAGTCAGGCCGTGTTTGGCGCCTGGACCAACTGAAGGTGTCAATTATCCCCTGAAGGTTCACTACTGTGGAGGTTTTCCTCAATTATAAGAAAAGCTGTCTACTTTTCGTCCCATTAGAATGTTCCATGCCGATGGAGTACTGCGACTACTCCGGCAGGACCGAGGCCTGCAGGACTTGGGCGACCACCCACGCCCCAGAAGCTCTCGAAGGCCTTTCCATCGACGACAATGCCGAGGAAAACGAGAAAAAACATCAGAAACGTGGCGGCAAAGGCACGTCCAAGCCCAAGGTGAGGGTTCAGGCTATATTCAAAGAAGGGCACACCTATATTTGTCGTGGAAATTTTGACCGACAGGAACTTTTCCGTTTTTCAAGTCCATTTTTTCACCTTGTGGGAATGTACCTTTTTCTTTAAAAAAAGTAAAAAAATCATTGAGTCCTTTTTACTTATAATTTTTCAAGTCTGAAGGAAGAATTGTGTGTCTATTCGAGAAGAAAATATTATAAATTCCGTATAACTCTTGGTTTTTTTCAAGTAAACAGTTTTTCAAGCCTAAAGTAAGAATTTTTTTCGAGAAAAAAATATTTTTGAAAAACCCTTTTTCAAGCTCAAAAAAATTTAAAAAGGCTGAAAAACCCATTTGCCATGAAATTTTTTTAAAAGAAAAGCTTTTTCTCCGTTCTACAGTTCTTCAATCATCAACTCGAAAGTTTTCTGGTCGCATTTGGAATGGCTTGAACGGAAAACTGTAACCTCTGAAAAAAAAATAATAAAAAAACCGTTTTCTTTTTTTAATCAATAGTATTCACAAGACCAAAGGTAAGAAGTTCGGGTTATACGAAGAGCGGAAAGGAAATATTGACTGAAAAGCGACTTTTCAAAGTTTATTTTAAAACTTAAAACTTTCTGTTCGCATTTGGAATAAACTAGCGGGAAAAGGTATACCATTGTTTTTCGAACAAATTCAAAAAAATAAACGGGTTTCTTCATGTTTTTGATCATATAAAAACATTTTTTTACGAAATGATTGAAACTTTTTTTGACGATGTGTTTGAAAAAAAGCGAGAAGTAATAATAATAGAAAATAGTTCTTTTCATTTTTTTGATAATTTTTTTGCAACATCAAAAAAAGGTGTATAGAAAATTTAATAAGAAAAAAATATGAATTTTTGATGAAAATATCACATTTTCAGGACAAGAAAAAAAGCGACTGGCGTGGCAAAAAGTCACTTTACAGAGGGAGCCTAGAGGGAAAAAAAGTCGGTCACCGTTATCAAAGGACTCCAGACTTTTGGTTTTTCCATTGTTTTTTTAAAAAAATGTTTTTTTCTCAGAAATTGACCTGAAAGTCGCTACGAAACTTTTCGCGCAAAAGTTTGCTTGTGGAAGTTCGGTCACAGGAGCTGATGAGATTGTTATTCAGGTTTGTTTGAAAGAGAAAAAATCTACAAGGAAAATATAGTGAAAAAAGGTCAGTTATAAAGTTAAAAAGGTCAGGTTAACTAGTTAAAAGTTTGAAAGCGCGTAGGAGAAGAAAAAAAGGATTTCTGATTGAAAGGTCATTTCAAAGATATAGTCTGATCAGATTTTGAATGGCAAGTTCAATGACGTCATTCAAAAACACTCTGTGGATGGCTCGCTCTCTGATTGGTTTATTGCACCATTATGGGCGGAGCTTCAGCGGCGACTTGACATTCAAAATCTGAACAGACTATATTCTTGAAATCGCATAATTTAACTTTTTTAAACAAATCATTTCAACAGAAAAAAGAAAAAAGAAATTGGAGGAAGGTGAAGGAAAATTGAAAGTTTAGAGGGATGACTGATGTCACGTTCACGTTATATTTACGCATTAAATTTCATTTTCTCAGGAACTTTGTTCTTTTAAGCGTGTGAGCTTGAACGAAATGAATAACTGCGATTTTTCGATTTTTTCATTGTTTGTATAGTCTATTCAGTTTTTAAATGTCAAGTACAATGACGTAATTTAAAAACGCTCTGTAAATGACTCGCTCTCTGATTGGTTTATCGCGGAATTAGGGGCGGAGCTTAAGCGAGAACTTGACATTCAAAATCTGAACCAACCATATGCCTCCTTATAAGTTGAAGCTCCTATTAGATTTTCCGCCAAGATTTAAATTTTTAATTCTGTCTTTCCATTCACTTCACGAAATATTTCTTCAGGGTGACGTGAAAGACGATCTCTTCGATCTGTTACCGTCTAAATGGCCTCAGGTAATTTACCTGTTTGAAATTTATAATCAAAGTCTTTTGATTTCAGATAACTGACGACTCCATTGAAGATCTCGGTGATAAAAAACGATAAACTACCTCTCCGGTGCACTATTTTCCTCATTTCTCTATATTTTGTTCCCCGAAATAAATAGTCTTGTCAAGTTTCGCTCATTTTTTGAGTTTTGAAGCGGATTTCCTAACCGCTCAGCTTTTTTCTGGTTTTGACTGTTTTTTTATGGTATTTACGATTTTTGAAGACGGATACGGCACATGGCACGATGGGCAGGTCACAGGCAAAAGTCTCGTCTTCAGGTTTTTTTTGGAAGTTTTGAGAAAAAAAAAGCTGGAAAATCAGCGGCAGGTGCGTTCTGGCGAACAGATCGGCTTTTAAAAAATGAGAAAAACTTTCTCGACAATTTTCAGCCGGCGGTTTTTTTCCAGCTTTAGGTTCCGTGTGAGTCGCAGGCTGATTTATTGCGCTATAAATCTAGCACCCGACCCAAAGCGACTTACGCGAAGTTATATCGACAAAAAAGTATATCAAAAGCCGCTAGAACACGATTAAATTTCAACCCCAATGCAACCGCGGCGCTTTGAGCCATTCCACATGCGACCACAGCCTTTTTTGAATACTAATATTTATTTCATCCTTGTAGAGGCTAGTGACAAATTTCAATATCCATAAGATTTATTCAGAAACTGGTGTTATTCCTGGTCAGCGGCTACTTATTCATCGTTTGGAATCGCGAAGGCGCTAGCAAATATATGCTCGAAGTTCCGGCAAATGATGGATTTCATGTTGTTCGTTTTTATTCTGAGGAAGGTCAAAAATTGACTTTTTTCTCAGATTCCCGACTATTCGAATCCGAGAAACGGTCCTGGCGAAAATGGACTCGGCGTCGTTTTGAGCGGCGAAGAGAAGAAAATTGGAGAAGATCAGATGAAGACGATGTTCATGAACGTGGTGGCTAGGTTAGATTGGGGAAATATTGATTTTCCATGGGAAACTGAGAAAGGTTTCTAGGAAAATTGATTGATAGAGAAAATAATGAGAAGAGAAATCATAAAAAATTAATTAGAAAATTAAACTTCTAGAAATTATTTCAATGGACTTTGTCCAGACCTAAAATGTATTACTAATAGTACCAAGGTAATGAAAAATTCGTGAGTTTCCTCGATCCATCTTGAAAATATGAGAGCATTTAGAAGCCACATCGATCGAAATATGACCTCCGAAATAGTAATTAGAAATTTATTTACCAAATCCAGGTTCACTTTCTGAGAAAACTTGTGTCAATTAAACCTTTTTTACGTCTCTTCCTGGAGTTTGAGCCTTTGAAACCTCCTAACTCATAACTTTCAAGAGCTTGAAAAGTGTATTTTTCTAGAAATTCTCAGAAAAATCTCGAATTTGCCGGGTTTTTTAAGGTTTTTTTTTACCTCTAAAGCTTCTCGTCGCGGAAAACTTGGTATAGCTGATTCACGGCTGGCCTGAGCCATCGCGAAAAGGGTCCCGCCACGAAAAGAGACGAGACAGTGCCCTGGTTGGTGGAGAGTACAGACAGGCCACGCCTTTTTGCGTCCCAAGCTAGCCGTGAATCGTCTATAAATTCCAAGATAAAAACCTACCAAACCAAACCTTTTTACATTGGGTCCAAAAGTTTTTAGAGCACTCTTGGACCCACTGTAAAAAGGCATTTTCTAGAAATTTTGAACATTTTTTTTTTCTCGAACAGGCAAATTTTCCTCCTTTCACTCATGGCGTCAAAAAGCACCATTTTCAGTGTCCTCAAATGAATTTACACCAGAAAACTTTTTTCAGCGACAAAATCTCACCGGATCGAAGTATACCAGACTCAAGATCTCGGGAATGCCGGAATATAGAGTCAAGTTACCCCAAAAATCTGCCAACTGCCTCGGTTGTCATTATTTTCACAGACGAATTTTTCTCAGGTTCTTTAATCGTCGAAAGTTCGAAAATTTATAAATTTAGCTTTGACGCGAACGGTTCATTCGGTTGTTAATCGAACTCCTCAACATTTGTTGTACGAAGTGATTTTGGTTGATGATAACAGTCAAAGAGGTGAATTTTTCCTTATTTTTTAAATTTCTTATGTCGTGTTCAACGTAATTTCCGCGAAATGCAAAACTTTCTTTGACTCTCCAAACTCTCCAAAATATAGTTGTAGTTTTCTTTCTCTAACGGGTATTTTGCATTTCGCAGAATCACGATGATTTTTTGCGACCAAAAACTTTAATACCCCTTTGGACCCCTACAGGGACTCCTACGACACTTTTTGATGCCCCCTATAGGAGGAGCGTAGGTTTCTCTATAGGGGTCCCTCATAGGGGCCCCATGAACCCTCTATAGGGACACCTCAAAAGCGTCTCACTGTATAAACAAAATTTACAGAAGAACTCGGGAGCAAATTATCCGAACATTTGAAACGATTTGGATCTTTGGTCCGGCTGATCAGGTCAAAGGAGCGACTTGGTCTGATTCGAGCCAAAATTTTAGGTCCACAATTTTTTTATTATATTTCAATTTCTAGATGATGTGATGTTGAGAAGCTTTTCCTTGTGATCCAGACGGGGAAAAGCTTTAGGAATTTTGAAAAGTTGCGAAAATTTTTCAGATTCTCTCCCTTTTTTAAAAAATTTGGTTGAAATAAAATTTTCGAACCGTAAAAAAATCTTAAAAAAGCAACTAATCAATATTGACTTTTTTCTAGAAAGAAAAAAAACATCGTCTGACATTTTTTAGCAGTTTGGTTTTATTCCATTATACAGTAATAGGAGCTGTCCTATTGAAATAATTAAGTATTGGGAAAAAATCCTAGTGAGCACTTAAGAGGTTTTTCAAGGAATAGTTGGAGAGGCCACTTAAGTGACCACTGAAACCATCTCAATAGAAGCTACTATTTTGCGTATTAGTGGCCACTATAGTAGTTTTTAATGATCTAGTAGTAGTAGTATCACTTAGTTCGAATTTTAAAGAGGCCATTAATTTTTAGCTACTTAGGTGACCACTAGAGCTTCAGAACCCTATAGTCCCCACTGAAATTTTCCCGGTAATTCAAATTGAAAATCCCATTTCTTACAAGGAAAGTAATTCTTATTTGCGGTTGGGATTTTCTTGAAAATGGACCAGGACACTTCTGGATATACTAGGTGAATATGAAGAAAATTTAAACCTGCTCAACTTTCTAGTTTTTGAATTATGAGCAATCAACGTACCAAAATGGCCTGTTTTAACGGATTTCGAGTGTTTTCGTTGACTTTGAGCCCTCCTTTCTGAGAAACTAATAAGTTGTGCAGGTTGGGATTTTCAAGCTCACCATCTGGTAGGTCAAAAAGTGTTCTGACAAATTTTCATAAAACTCCCTACCGTAAAGTAAAATGACCTCTTTTGTTAAACAGAAAATTGAGTTAAGGAGCAAAAGCTGCCCGTGGCGAAGTTTTGGTGTTCTTGGACTCACACTGCGAAGCCAACACTGGATGGTATTCCAAAAAGCAAAAAAAATCTGATTTTTCTGAGGATATGTTTCAGGATTGAACCTCTTTTGGCACGGATCCAAGAAGAGCGGACGGCTGTAGTTTGTCCAGTGATCGACGCGATTTCCGATGGGAATATGGCCTATTTGGGCGGTTCTCACGGAGGAATCGGCACTTTTTGGTGGTCCCTACACTATAGTATGGGCTCGCTGCCGAAATCGGAAATCGAAAGGAGGAAAAATCCGGCCACCGACTATATTCGGTTGGTTTTTTTGGTTCTTGAAAAAAAAAACAAGGCGAAAAAACACGATTCTCGACTCTCAAGCTAGTTGAAAAGTAACAAATTTGATAAATTTCATTTCGTGGTCAAGAAAAACGATGTGATTTCGGAAAAGCAGACCAACTCGAAAATTGAAATCTTTTCGAGCACATTTTGGTGCTCTTAGACACAAGTAGTTCCGGGTCGGTTGCGCCTCCAATTTTTAAGCTTTGAACCATTCCACAACTTTCACTATTCTCTAATTAATAAAAGCAAAAGAAAATTTTGAAATAAAACTTGAATGAATCAGAGAAGTGATCTTCAGAAAATTTTTATAATTCCATTTATTTCTTCAAGGTCTCCAACCATGGCCGGAGGACTTTTCGCGGCCAATCGAGAATATTTCTTCGAAGTCGGCGGATATGACGAGGAGATGGACATCTGGGGCGGCGAGAACTTGGAAATTTCGTTCAGAGTTTGCTCAAAATTAACGATATATACTCAAACTTGTAGTTTTAGGTTTGGATGTGTGGAGGCTCGATAGAAATAATTCCTTGTTCTCATGTCGGCCATATTTATCGGAACGGACATCCTTATGACATGACCGGTAGGTTCAAAAAAAAATTGCAGGGAAACAATTGAGAAAAAAAATGAAATTTTTTTATATAGCTGATTAACGGCTGGCTTGAGCCATCGAGAAGGGTCCTGCCACGAAAAGAGACGAGGCAGTGTCCTGGTTAGTGGAGAGTGCAGACAGGCCACGCCTTTTTGCGTCTCAAGCTAGCCGTGAATCGTCTATATGAAGTTTCCCACAGTTGGTAATTCTCTAACCTTTCTGCGTCTCTTATCCCTCAACGGCGAGGTCGTAGAGACTTGAAAATAGCAAGTAACTCAGAGAGAGAGAGAGTCAGACAAACCGCTTCATTTTCTGAAAAACGAAGTTTAGTCAGCCTTTAGCTGCACCCGACCTCATCTGACTTGCTAAAAGATGCCGATAAGCGCAAGTAGGTTTCTGTCGGTCGCGCTTAGTCAGTAACACGCGCTGGGCCGTTCAATTGAAATCCGTGATCTTGAAAATTATAAAATCCTATTCATGGGTAGCTTAAGTGGCAAACCTCAACCAACCGAGTTCTGTATCTTTTATTATCGTGTCAGGACCCTTTTTTGATAACTCCAGCCAGCCGCACTTCAGCTAGAGACTGCATTCAGGACGAAACAACAATAAAGACGTCCATGGAACGAATTCGAAAAGGTTGGCTGACGTTTGGATGGACGACTACAAAAGACTGTTTTACGTTCATAGAATGGGCTTGGTGGTGAGTTCGGAGGTCAAAAAGTTCTCGAGGGAATTCTTAGGACACTGATGTCGGAGATCTGAGTGGAAGGAAGGCGTTGCGCGAGAAGCTCGGCTGCAAATCTTTCAATTGGTTTCTGAAGAATGTCATTCCGGATAAGGTAATAAAAAATTCGGCTGAACTGAACCGGTCCTGAGGCCTTATCAATTTTTGAGTTTTTGTATTTGATTTGGAGGTTATATGATAGTAATTTTCATTGATACGAAGTTTCTGATTACTTGACCCACGATTCAAAACCTTTTAAAAAAATTTTGAGACAGACTTAGGAACCAGCGCTGTCCCTATAAAGGCAGCCTTAGAGTTAGGGTAGGAGAAAGTAGAGTCCTTGGTGTATCCCCTCCAGGGACCACTTGACCTCCCCTGGAGGCTCCACTGAAGCTTGCAAGTGGCCTCTAGATGGATTTTAGTTATTGGTCCGTATAGGTGACATTCCCTCGGTTATTTTTATTTAATTCAGCCCTATAAGGAGAATTTTTTGTCCCCTACAGACGCTGTTTTTTTCCATAAGAATTTTTTTCAGTTCATCCCGGACGAAGACGTTCTGGCCTATGGACATGTGGAAGGGCAGAATTCCATGTGCCTTGACACGCTTCAAAGATTAGAGAATAAAGTGAATTTTTATTCTTCTCAATCTTGGTTGCATTTGGAATGTATCGATAATCAATAATATTTGATTAGTGAAATCGGAAAAATCTCGTTTCTTTTTACGAAAAAAAAAAATCAATTTCTTCAGGGCCCCATAATTCTTGGGATTTACAACTGTCAACGACCAAGCAGCTCCGCGCAGGTTCTTTAATTCAAAGAAAAAAAATCTATTCCGAATAATTAAGATGTTCTCAATATCGAAAGAAAACGAGCTCCGTCGAGAAGAGACTTGTGTTGACGTGGGAATTGAGACAAAAGATGGAGTCCGTCCGGCGAAAGTCGTTCAGTGCAAACGGAACGATTTTGTCGAGTTTGAGCATGAGGTGAGAAAATAATCAATAAAAAATCAACTCAAAAAAACTTCAGAAAGGAAAATTCCTGAAACATAAGAAAACGGGACTCTGTCTCGATATGGGTGGCGTCAGCGCCGGCGGCGATATTTATTTCCAAAAGTTTGTCCATCCTAAAAATTTCTCATTTTTAAGAATTTTCTTCAGATGCGACGAGAACCGGCCTAGCCAGAATTGGATCATCGACAAATATTTTACATAACCTTTTTTGACATTTTTTCTGTCTTTCAATCAGGGTTCAATGGGGTCAGTATTTGGACGATACGCTAAAAATTCGGGTTTCTAACACATGTACACAATTGTTAACTTTCTTTGCTATTTAATAAAAAATTTTATTTAAAAAACTGTTTTTGTCTATAAATTCTCCAGCAGTTAACGACACGCTCGGTATTCTCATCATATTTTCATATTCTCGGTCGCTTTTTCCATAAGAATTCCCTTTGAGACCTTTTAGAGCCACTTAATGGTGAATCTAGAAGCCAGAATCGTCCTAGGCCTAGAAGTTGCCTTGACTCCCAATTGACACGCCCACTTCGAAGAACTGCGCATGGTTTGCATTTTCGAAAAAGCTGTTGTCGATTTACGCGCTTAGCTTTTTCTTATGTCTTCTTTCGCAATTCTTGTTCTTTTTTTTGTTTTTCTTCTATATTTCAGTTATTTTCATAGGTCTATGTCGTCTAAGGAGGCTGATGACCGTTTGGAAGGCAGTAATGACACGTTCGGAGGTCTTGTGATCCGCAAGAAACATGGTACCGAGGAGAAATCGAAAAATTCGGGCGGAAAGTGAGTTTTGGCTTCATTTTGTTGTTAAGTTTCTTCAAAAACGTGAAGTATTTTTTATAAATTTTTAAATCAACCTTCTTTCAATCATCAAATTGGATATGATGGTAGTAATTATTTTCTTAAGGTCTCTACTCGGTTTGGACAGATTAGCTTCAGCGAAAAGAGAAAATACACGTAAACGTGTCGCTCACGATGATGACGAGGGTATAACCGAATCAGTTCGTCGTGGAATCGACAAGTTGAATTATTTTCCAGTTTTAAGAAAATTAAGATATTTCAGAGTTCACGAACGGCACCGAGATAAAGACGACCGAGGGTTGAAAGCAAAATCGAAAGGAGACAAAGAAAGAGAAAATGACCGGAATAGAAATCGCAGTCATCGAAGTGATCGAAAATCGAATTATAGAGATGAAACTCCGAGTTTCAAGGTGATTCCTGAACTCAGAAAAATCAATAATTTAATTATTTCGATGGTGGTTATAATAAGAGCTAAGCCGAATGAAAGCCTGGAACATTGAAAAAGAGTTAGAAAAAGGACTTTTTAAAAAATTTTAACGTTGTTAAAAGAAAGAAATTTCCAGAAATTTCTGAAAAGCTGCGAGAAGTTTTTTCCGTTTAATTTTAAAAATAAAAAAATTTGGGCATTTTTATCCTCACTATTTCCGTATTTTATCTTTTTTTTTCTCTCGATATCTTTTTACCTTTATGAAAAGATTTTTCTAAAACTTATTATCAAAATGCGCTTAGAAAGGACTTTGCCTGGTTTTCGTGCACCCTCCCTGAAATGAACTAATTTTTTTTGTTTTTGAAGAAATGGCATTATAAAGTTCCTCAGCGTTTTGAGTCTTCATGGATTCGATGAAAGAAGGGTACGAAAAATGATTGAAAACCTGGAAAAGTTCATTTTCCTTCAAAAATTTGAAGCTTTCGGCACTTTTACACTTTGCAGTGGCTCTTTAGGTTTTTTTCAGATGCTTTAACTTGAAATTCATAAATTCATTTGTAAATTACAGATTCCAAACACACCGTCAAGGTCCGCTTGGGACGTCGAGGACCGCGATGGACCCAGGAAAAGAAGCAGTTGGGACACGCCGACGCCTGGAAGAGATCGGGATCGAGATCGCAGAAGTGACAAAAGATATGATTCGACCAGAAGTAGGGATTTCTGTTAAAAAACGATGAATTTTTGAGCGAACAGTTATTTTTTGAAATTAATATGTATTGAAAAAATTTATGACACAAAAAATTGAACTTTCGGGGTCAAATTTTGGAATGCAATTTTAATAAAAAGCAATTTTTCAGCCATTTTTACATTTTTTTTTTCACTGATTTGTTCTGGAGCTATTTTTTCTTCAAGTTGAGAGTATAATGTTGAATTTTAGGTATTTCAAGCGCCTGGAATAGTGAAAGACGGCGGAGAGACGATGATAAACGGAAAAGATACGAAAAACCGGAAGATTCTGTCCGGTCGATGAAAGAAGAGAAGGCTGTGTACGTTTCGTTTCTGAAAAAAATAGTTTTTTTAACTCCTAAAAAAATCCAAGTTTTTTTCTTGTTTATTGCTATTCCTCCTCTAATCTTCATCTTTTTTTAGTTTTTTTAAGAAGAAAAATATCAAAAATTTTTTTGCTTATTACAAAAAAATATTGCAACTTAAAATGTTTCGAAAATTTAATAAAATGCATGAATTTCGTCTCGGGCGAAGTTGGAATGGTGGAAAATGGCCGTTAAAAGGGAGAGGCTCCAAAAAGGCCGCAGAAAGGCAGGAAAAAGGCAACAAAATGAGTCCCTTCCATTTTTTCTGGGGTTTCAAAGGCTCAAGAAATGGTGGAAAAAGGGAGAGGCAGCAAAAATGGTGCAGAAGAGCTGATAAAATGGCGCAAAAAGGCAGCAAAAAAGAAAGCTTTTCCCCCCTAAAAGAAAAATTTCAATGGAGCCTTTTTCCACCCATTCCGCCTATGCGAATTATTCAGGCCTGTTTTCCACGACGACGAAGAACGTCAACAGTGGGAAGAAGAGCAGAAAAACTTGGACCGTGAATGGTACGACAATGACGGAGGGACCTACGACGACGAGTACAATCCTTTCGCCAAGGTGAAAAAAAAAGGAAAAAACCGATGATAATACTCTTTTTATGATGTTTTGTGAGTTTAAAAAAATGATATGACTATCAGATATGTTTTTTCCAAGAACGTTTTTTTCTTATTATTTTTTTATAACTAGGGAATTTCCAAATTTTTCGTTATTTTGAACGTCTTCATACGATTCGCAAAAAAAAATATTGACAAAAACACCAAGAAACAGAAAAAAACCACTAGAAAACAGTCGGAGACTAGAGATATGAGAAACTCGGAAAAATTGGACATTTCGAGAAAAAAAAAATATAAACTAAACGAGCTCTTTAGGCAGTTTTTTCTACTTTTCAAACATAAATTCAACTTTTTCCAACCTAATTACCTTTTTTTAAGGTTCCGAAGAATCGAAGAATTTTTTTTAAGCATTAAAATATTTATATCCGGACAAGAATCAATTTTTTTTTTCTACCTAGTGTAATTTGCTTTGAGTCCCCTGGAGAGTTCTCCAAGAGCTTTTTAAAATGATTTTTTTATAAATATTTCCGACAAAAAAAATTTTTGAAGCCATCTTATTTGAGATCTCTGAAGAATTTGTCTAGAGGTTTTTAAATTATTTTTCCAAAGTTTCCAAAAAAATTCCACTTTTTCTTGTGAAGTTAATTCAATTTTTTTCAAAGTGATCTTAAAATTATTCTTAGAATAATTCTGAACGGAAAATCAACATTTTTCCAACCTTATCCCACTTCTTTGAGGTCTCCGAAGAGTTTGTCGAAAAACGAGAAAAGCAATGGCAAGAAAAGACTTCGAGACCCCGACTGACAGTCAAACAGCAGGCGATCAAACGGGAGAACGAAATGTGGGAAAATAATCGATTGCATCGATCCGGTAGCTTTTTGGAGAATTCATCATTATTATCGATTGATTCCAGGCGTCGTCGCGTTTTCCGAAGAGATGTCGACGACTTTCGAGGACGAGACCGACGAAAATCGGGTCAATGTCATGGTTCACAACATCGTGCCGCCCTTTTTGGATGGTCGCATCGTTTTCACCAAGGTTTTGAAATAGGGATTTTAGTAGGATTTATAGCGAATTTAGGCTTGAAAGAATTTTTACAGTGAAAATCGTTCTTGTCCTTTTTTCTAAAGATTCGATTTTTCTTCTGGTTCAACTGGCTTTCTGAAAATTACTTTCTTATAGTGAAATGAATTCTTAGTTTCGAATTGGAGATATCAAGCAGGTTTTTAGGCGAAATTCGGCTTTGAAGAATTTTTGAAGTTGGTAGATTTTCCACAGTAAATAGAAAAGCGTTTTTGTTATTTCCCTTCTAAAAGTTCAATTTTTCATCTACTTGAACTCGATTTTTTCGAGTTTTCTTTCCTATTAGTAAAATGAATATTTAGTTTCGAAACAGAGATATTTGGAAGGATTTAAGGGAAAATTGGGCCTGAAAATGGTCTGAAGTGTGTAGGGTTTTCACACAAGATGTACCTTTTTGGGATGTTTTTTTTTTTTGGAAGGTTCAGTTTATTTCTATGGTTCAACTAGCTTTATGAAATAGACTTCCTAACAGTGAAATAAATAGGATTAGGTGGTTCCTATAGAAATTTAAGACCTGATTTCGGAGTTTCAAAAGTTTAAGGGGTCCTTATAGCGGTCTTTGATGTATTTGTTTTGATTTCAAAGATTAAAAAAAAACGTATATTTTTTTCTCATGAAGTTTGATGAAAAAAATAACCATAATCCCTAGAGTTGCCACTTTTGCAAGCTTCAGTGCCACATATAGGGGGGAACCTACACGAGCCCCAAGTTTGCCCTTTAGGGGCCACTCTGGCGTGCCTAAATAATTCCGATGATTTTTAAGCAAGCCAAGCCGGTGATCCCCGTCGTGGACACTACCTGCGACATGGCTGTGGCCGCCGCGAAAGGAAGTCGGGCGGTCCGGCAAAGAAGGGAGACGGAGGACCGGAAGAAGGCGCAGGACAAGCACTGGGAACTGGCCGGCAGCCGACTCGGCAACCTGATGGGAATCAAGGAGAAGCCCGACGAGACGGCCGATCCGGAGGACGACGGCAATTATAAGGTCTGACTTCCTAGATGATGCTCTCCATTCGCAGTGGGACTTCTGATGAGACTAGGTCCACAAGATGTAGTTTTTCAGGCTGATTCCAAATCTGGTCTCATAGCCCTCGAGGCATGCGAAAAAAGTTAGGGGCTCCTAAAAGTTAGCCGAGTCTTTTGTTTCAAGATGAGGTTTTAGCAATTTCGTTTTGGATAATAAACTTATTTCCATTCCTCACTATATCACTTCGAACTGAAATTAAAAAAAAAAACATAACTTTACTTCGATAAATTCATGAAGGAATAGATATGAAAAACTTGAACAAAAGTAGAATTTATGGTGATTTTGTTCCGAATTTACGATTTTCGAGTATGGTTTTTTTAATCTCAAAATGTATACCCCAAATGAATTTTTTTACAAAACCCACGAGAAAAAAAAATTAATTAATATTATAAGAACTTTCCTTCCTATTAAAAAAAGCAATGCAGAAAAATTTAAAATTTTTTTAAAAAAATTTAGTCAAAAAAGTTATTATTATTTTTTTCTGGCACATATATTTTTATGTCAAATGTAGGTTTCTTCGATCGAAAAAAATGTGAAAAAAATCTGTAAATTGTACTGAAAATCAAATGGAACAGTTACTTTTTCGCTAATGAACAGAACATTTTTCAAATTGGGCATTTTACTGAAATATTTTTCGTTTTTTTCGATATTTTTTTGTTACTAGGGATCGTTTTTTTCCAACAAACAACAAAGAAAGAGGTTCTGTAGACTTTCAAAAAGTTTCTGAAACATCAAAATCAATTATCAACTTTTTTTCGCTCAGGAATCCCATCAATTTGCGACCCACATGAAGGAAAACGAAGCCGTTTCCGATTTCGCCATGGAGAAGTCGATCAAGGTCTTTTTGCGCTGAAAATTCTCACTTTTATGATTTATTCTTCAGCAACAACGAGAATATTTGCCCGTTTTCGCTTGTCGACAAAGAATGATGAATGTCATTAGGGAAAACAACGTTATCATTATTGTTGGAGAGACCGGATCCGGAAAAACGACCCAATTGTCGCAGTATTTACTGGAAGACGGATTTGGCAACAGTGGTCGGTTTTGAATCATTTCTTACAAAGGAAAAATAGAGAGGAATTTTTGAAAAAATGAACAATTTTAACGGGTACTGACAGGTTTTAGAGCTGGAAAAATGATTTTTCGAAAAATTTGAAATTTCTTGTCTTTTTTTATCTTTGGAAAGTTTTTTTGAGTGAAGTTCGTTTTTCAAATTTTTCTTTTTGATTCGTTTTTTTATGAAGATTTTTGGTGAAATTCCAGAATCCCCCCATTGCTCTAAGAACGCCCCCCCCGCCCCCTACATTGTTTAAGAAACGCCCCCTCCACATGGTTTTTAGAAATGCTCCCTCCCCCCACATCATTCTAGACCATCAGAGTAACGAAAATCAAGTTAATTTACTGAAAAATTAACCAGCTTCTTCCAAAAATAAATGGTGTACTTGCGTAGAAATTTTTTTCGTAAAATGTACGATTGCTTAATAAAAAAAGATCAAAAAAACACATAATAGGTACTATGTGATGGCAATTTTATTCAACAAAAAGGAAATTAGGACCTAAAAAGTTTCATAAGGTCATCATATTATTATAATAACTATATCAAAGAGGAAGAAAAAAACCAAAATTTGCAGGTTGATTTTTTTCTTAAAAAAACTAAAAATAACACCCAGACTCCCTACAAATCGTTTCAAGACCAATTATATTTTAGAATGATCCCAACATTTTTCTGTTTTAAATATTCATCTAATATTTTCTTTTTTCCTAGGAATGATCGGCTGTACACAACCTCGTCGTGTGGCCGCAATGAGTGTCGCGAAACGTGTGGCTGACGAAATGGGCGTCGAGGTACTATTATTAAAAAGAGAAGGAAGCTCTGAAACAAGTTTCGAACATAAAATTACTATTATTGTCCGTTTTTCACTGTTTTTCTCTGTGCCCTCCTCGTCTCTCGGCGACTCTCTCATGTTCACGTACTATTTTTTATGTTTCTCTGACCTCGTCGGTGAGGGAACAGAGACACGCAGACACTCGAAAACTGTCAAATCGAGGAGAACGGACTATAAAAAATAGATTTTCAACAACCCAACTGAGAATAATTTTTTCCAGATCGGACAAGATGTCGGCTATGCGATCCGTTTCGAAGACTGTACCTCTGAAAAGACGATCATCAAGTACATGACCGATGGTATTTTACTGCGTGAATGTCTCGGCGACTCGACTCTGGAACAATATTCGGCGATCATCATGGATGAAGCTCACGAAAGGTAGGAAAATACCTGGTTTTTTGGAATTTTCAGAGAGAGAACTGTTCTTAAGTTTATTCAAAAACAATTTAAATTTCTATCGAAGGTTTTTTTTTTGTCTTAACTGAGAAGGTCATTCTGGTGGGAAACTTGGAATTTCTCATCTCAAAAAGCCATTGAAGATCCGGATCAAGACTCCTAGAAGAAGCTACATCAATAAACAGTTTCTGTATAATTTTTTTAATTTCAAAAAGAAACAGTTTTTCCTAAAAGACGTAATCCAAAAATTTGCCAAGTTTCTCACTCGGCATACTTTTTTTAGAAATTCTAAAGTGGCCCCTTGAAGTCCCCCCATAGGGACCACTTGAGATTGAAAAAAAGTGGCCCCTATAGGGATTTAGTTAGTGGTCCCTATAAAAGGCAAGCTAGACGATTATTTTTTCAACTCTGAGAAGAAGCATTTCCATGCGAAAATTTGATAAATTGGAGTTATTGGAACAAAAAAATATATATGAACAGAGGATACATTCTTCAATTTTGATTTTAACTTTCAAGTCTGAAAAAATAAAAATTAAAAGACCCTAAAGTCCCTTGAGCTTTAGGGACTTATGGGTCAGATCCTAAACTCCTATAGGGACCACCTGAAGTTACCACTTTAGAAGACGTTTTCTTGCCCCCTAGAGGGGCCGTTTCTCCCTCGAATTCCTATAGGGACCACTCTGGCGTTCCTAAGTCATTCGCGTCGATCCATTCCATTTGCGACCCTTCCTGAAAACGGTATTTTTCAAGATCCCTCAACACCGACGTGTTGTTTGGACTGCTCCGAGACGTCGTCGCGAAAAGATCCGACCTAAAACTGATTGTCACCTCCGCCACGATGGACGCCGACAAGTTTGCCGACTTTTTCGGAGGTTCTCCCATAATTTTCCGGTTTCATAGCTTTTTTTGTCCAGGAAATTGCCCCACTTTCACGATCCCCGGCCGAACTTTCCCTGTGGAGATTTTCCATGCCAGAGCGCCGGTAAAAAATTTTTTCATTTTCCCACGATTTTCTGCTCATTTTTCAGGTGGAAGATTATGTGGACGCCGCCGTGAAACAAGCTGTCACTATCCATTTGGGCGGAATGGAAGGAGATGTTCTGATTTTCATGCCCGGTCAGGAGGATATCGAGGTAAAATCAGTAAAAGACAGTTGATCAAGCTTCTAGAATTTTTCGATTTTTTTAAAATTAATTTCACCATTTCTAAATGTAGAAAATCAGCCAAGAACACGAAATTTTTTTAAAAAGCTTGTCCAAAGTTTTCGAGTGAGAAATCTTATTCAAAAATTCAACCTTTTTCATCTGCATGACCTTTCATTATATCACGGGCGATCGAAAAATTTCAAATTAAGGTTTTTTTAGTGAAAAAGTAGTTCAGTTGACGGTGCAAAAAAAGACTTGATTTTTTTGAGAAAATATCTTTTTTGCAGTTTTTCAGAGAAGAAAAAAATTCATTTGTCAAATTTTTTTAGTATTAGTGTAGAATTTTTTTAGGACGTAAAAAAATCATCAGTTTTTCAAAAAAAGAAAAAAACTGTCCTTTCTCTATGTGTTCAAATTTCGTCACGTTATTGTCGAAAGTTTTTTTTGATTTTTTATGGTGTCAAAGAAAAAGGTTAGAGCATTTTTTTCTCGTCATCTATCAAAGAAGAAAAAAACTTCCTCTTTTTCCTAGAAATTTTCATTTTACCTTCAAATGTTCCGAATTGGTTTTAATTTTTTTATGGAAAAAAAAATTTTTTTCAGATGTTATAGAAAGAACATTTTTTTCATCTGTTTTTCAAGAAAGAAATACCCGGCTTTTTTTCTTTTGAACTTTAAACTTTTGCATAATTATTGTCAAAAAAATGATCATTTTTTTCGAAGTTTATGTTAAAGAAAAGGTTCGGGCATCTTAAGTGTATCTTTAAACCAAACCAATTCTAAATCCTTTTTGTTACAGACAACATGTTCCTTGATCAAAGACAAACTCGGCGAACTCGACGAAGCTCCTCCTCTCGCAGTTCTTCCGATTTATTCCCAGCTACCCAGTGATCTTCAGGTTTCACATAAATAAAATAATGAGAAAAGCTTCCTTCAAAATTTTCGATAGATAGTACAGTAGATTACCGTTTCAACTGTACTTTTTTCATAATTTTCAGGTTTATTGATTATTGTTTCATATCCTTCATCATCCATCAATTTTTCCGATCACTTTTCATAAGTAGAATTTCAATTGTATTGTTGTTCTTCAAATTTTGGAAAACTCGGCTTTTCTGGCTAAAACTTGAAGCTTGCTTTCTTTTTTAAATCCTAACAGAAGTTCAGATTATTGAATTTTTCCGAAAAAAATATGCCTTTGAAAAACGTTTTTCCTACTGAAAAAAATTCGAGAAATGGGTCAAAAAAATAACTCTTGGAATTTTTTTCAAGTAGTTTTTGAAAAAAATCTTTCAATTATTTGAATTTTAAGGCCAAAATTTTCCAACGTGCCCCTGGAGGAATGCGAAAATGCATCGTGGCCACGAATATCGCAGAGACTTCCTTGACTGTCGACGGAATTTTGTTCGTTATCGATCCCGGATTCTGCAAAATGAAGGTGTTCAATCCGCGTATTGGTATGGATGCATTGCAGGTAAATACATCCAAATTGAGGGCTTCAGAAAGTATCAAGTTCTGATCACAGTTTCGAAAACAATTAAAAAGTGAAAAGTGTCGTAATTTCTTAATAAGAACTCCAAGTATGTTTCATATTTGATTTGAGGCTTATAGAGGGGCTGGAGATTCGATCCAGTTTCAAAAATAATTCAAATGCTTGTGTGAATTATCACTTCAGTCATTATGTCAAGGCATCTCGGACATTGGTAACGCGAAACGGACGTTTCTGGGCAACTCTAGGGATCACTTAAATGCGCTGAGGTCACTAAAGTAGTCACTAGAAATGCCCCGCGTGTCGTTCGCGCTTTTACCAAGGTCCGAGATGCTGCAAAAGTCGGTCGGTTCGGTCGGATTGGAAAACTAGGCCACGCCGCAATATTACTCCTTGGAACACTTAGAATTTCCAACTGTTTTTTTTTCTTTTCTGAATTTTTCTTCCTTTTTAAATTTTACTAATAAGGTTTTCGTTCATTTTCATTTGACTGTATCGTTCTCGCGAGAAAAAAATACGATGGTTACTACATTCAAAATTATAAACGGATTAAACTTTTGAAAGTTCCTATTTATTTTTTTGGATCCAAAATAACTTCATATAATCAAATAAGCAAAATTAAAAACCATAAGTAATCGAAAAATGGGATAATGTGTAAAAAACAATAAAAGGCAAGAAAAAAAAAATCAAACCCAACGAAAACATTACCGAGAAAAACGATGATAAATAAGGAACAGTTTATTTTAAAGTGAGGAGCATGTGTCCCATATCCTAGAAAACTGATAAAAAGGGGAAAAAGTCTGAAATTCGATTTTTCATGGAGCAAAATTGCGGCGTGGCCTAGTTTTCCAAACCGACCGACTTTTCCAGCATATGCCAAGTTTCCTGAATGATTTTCCAAAGTTACACCTTATTTTTTAAAGATTTTTCGAATTCAAATCGATCATATTAGCTTAAACAAATTTACTTGAGTAAAAGAAGAGTTATTTTGATTTATGATTTGGAATTTCTTGAAAATTAGCCAGAAAACTTCTTGATGAACCAGGTGAAATTCCTGACGAAAAATAAGAGCTCAAAAAAACAGCTCAATTTAACAATTTTTCGACGTTTTTTTCTTCGACTTCAGAACTTTTTTTCTACGATTCAGGTCGAGAATATTTCAGTCTTCATTTTTTTAAAAAAATTGAAAAAAATTTTTTTGAGACTATCTCAACCTTTTTTTCGATACATCCATCAATGAAAAAAATAATAAAAAATAAATCCTGGCCGATTTTTAGAAAATTATCAAGTGAAATGACCTTCCTTGGGCATCAAGTTCTCAAGTTTTTTTTCCGAAAGTTTTTAGATTTTTGAGCGAGGATGATTTTATCATCATTTTCTAGGTTTTCCCTGTCTCCCAAGCTTCAGCCAATCAACGGTCGGGTCGTGCCGGCCGTACAGGTCCAGGACAGTGTTACCGGCTTTACACCGAAAGACAGTTCAAGGAGGAACTTTTGGTAGGGATTTTTCAGAAAAAATGTATAGAATGGTTAGAAGGGAGAGTTAGTTGGTATAGGTATTCTTTGTGGTCTCTTAGTCTCTCAGCGTCTCTCTCATTTTTGCGTGCTATTTTCATGTTTCTCTGACCTCGCCGGTGAGGGAACAGAGAGACGCAGACAAGCAGAAAGTTTCAAGTCCCGGTGAATGGACTATATATTACTAAAAGCTTCCTAATGAGAATACTGAAATTTCTCTTCAAATTCCTTGCTTTCGAAAAAAAAGTCTATAAACTGAACTCTCATTTCTACTAAGCCCAAAAACTCAAAAAATCACATTATTTTTGATTTTTCAGATCTCAACAGTTCCCGAAATCCAACGAACCAACCTTTCCAACGTCGTCCTTCTCCTGAAATCCCTCGGCGTCGATGACCTCCTCAAATTCCACTTCATGGACGCCCCGCCCCAAGATAACATGCTCAACTCGATGTACCAACTGTGGACCTTGGGCGCCTTGGACAACACCGGGCAACTGACGCCGATGGGCCGCAAAATGGTCGAATTCCCCGTGGACCCGACCTTGTCGAAGATGTTGATCGTCTCCGAGGACATGGGCTGCAGCGACGAAGTCCTGACCATCGTCTCGATGCTCTCCGTCCCCGCCATCTTCTTCAGACCCAAGGGTCGGGAGGACGAGGCCGACGCCAAGAAGGAGAAGTTCCAGGTTGGTTTTTAAAAATTTTTAGTGGCCACTATAGAGGCTCGCTAAGGACTACTTGAAGAGGACACTAAAATGGCCACTAATCCCACCTATATAGTGGCCACTATATTCCGTTTTAGTGGCCACTATAGAGGTTCTCTGTTTAGTGGCCTCTTCAGTAGTTTTTCATCCAGTGTTCCTTCCAGTAACTCTGATAATTTTAAAACAACCAGAGTGGACCAGTTATGTTGATTCATTGACCCCTAAAGTGGCCACTAAAACTTTTAGTGGCGTAATAGTAGCACTTAGAACTCTACAATGGCCACTATTTTCTAACCCCTTAAGTGGGCACTAATTTGACTACTGTAGTGGCCACTAAAACGTCAAAACCCTATAGTGGCCACCAAAAATTTTCGCAGAATTGTTTTCACCTGAAAATTAAAATTTTTATGGGCGTAAAGAACTGCCAGGAAATGAATTTTAAAAGATTTTCTAGTTTTTTTTTTTTCGATGTAGGAAGATATTTATCAGGTCAGCAGAAGATAGGGTTCCTGTTTCGTTGCTTTTTTTTAAAACTCGGTGTTAGGAAAGGATGTTATTAAATGTTTAAGCTTTAGAGCCCTCAAAACAAACGTTCGACCAAACATTTCGAACAAATGTTGAAACCATACTTTTTTGCGTAGAATTCTCGCAAGTTAGGAGTTTTTGTGTTTTTTTTTTCAATAAATTTTATGACAACCTTTTTAATTTTACCTGGAATCCAAACATATGCGAAATAGTTTTCATTAAGGCTTGAAAGCTTTTTTTTGGCGAAAATAGAAAAGTTGAACTTCTGTGATTTTAATGAACAGAATTTTTGGAAAGAACTGCGAAACTACTCATATTGTGAAAAAATACGTACTTTAAGACCGCTAACACCTTAATAAATCCCTAAAAACCTTTCAACAATTGAAAAAAATTGAAAAAAATAGTCTTGATAAGAAAGTGACCGAACCTTCCGACTTTTTCCAGCATGCCGATAAAAGATAATTCGACGAGTAACAAAGTAAGAGTCTTTCTAGACTTTTAAAAATTTCTGAAACATCAAAATCAATTATCCAGTTTCGAGCTGTTTTGAAAATTTTTTGATCTTTTTCAATCAATATCGAAAAAAATTTAAGGTCTTGCATTTTTCCTTTCCTAGGTCCCCGAATCCGACCATCTCACCTTCCTGAACGTCTATCTGCAATGGCGACAACACAAATACTCGGCCAAATGGTGTGCCGATAATTATCTCCACGCCAAGGCCCTCAAAAAAAGGTTTATATTATAGTTCTAGACGTTTAAAAAATAAAAAAATAGATTTTATTCGAAAATTGCAGGTCCGAGAAGTGAGAGCTCAGCTGAAGGAAATCATGCAGGACCTGAAAATAGCTATCAAGTTGGTTTTGAAGGAATATTTGTCTTCCTACGTCTTTGTAAAAGGTCTTATCCTGATATCAGTGATAATAAGGGGACCGGCTCTAGTGACCAAAGATGGGCAAATACAGAACTTGTTCAGGCCGGGAGAAGGGGTTGGCTCCCGAAAATTTTGAAAAATCAGAGAAAAAAAAATCAAGTTTCAACGGGAGGTAGTTTTGGCCACGGTAGTACAAGTTTCAGCCTCAGGGAGGTAGTATGAACTTTAATTTAAGAAAAAGTTGGAAGGAAGAGTCTTTTTAAAACAGTCTGCTCATGTATGCTAGTGACCTATCCGTTCTTTTTTTTGTGAAAGCTGAGATTTTTGAATTCATGGCTTTCCCACTACCAACACTTCCTAAACCCTTTGATTTGGTCGCTGTGGGGATTGAACTTGTGACCCCATGGACCGTAGACAGACGCACAACCTGTTGCGCTACATTCAAAGAATTCCAGAAAAAAAGTTTTTAGATCGACGGGAAGTGAATGGGATGTCGTGCGGAAGTGCATCTGCTCGGCGTATTTCCACAATGCGGCGAGGTAAAAATTCCAAACATTAGTGAAATCAAGAGGAAATCTAGAGATTTGAGAGGAAATTTTAAAAAAAAACTGTAAATTTAGTTTAATTAGGGTTAGAAAAAAATGAATGTTAGCATTGAACATTCGAACAAGAATGATTAAAAAAATCGAAAAATTACATCGAGTAATTTCTAAAAAAATGTAATGTTTCTAGTCAAAAAAATATGCTTTCAAATAATCAATACTTCCAATTTAAAAAAATATTCATTTTTTTCTGAAGATGTTGTAACTAATTGACAGAATGAGCAGGAAAAAAATAAGTCTAGGTAAATAGATTTTGAATCAAAATAAAATTTTCAAATTTAACGATTTTTTTTCTCTCAAAAAAGCTTACAAAAGGTAAAATGACGCTCAACTTTTCAGTGATAAGAAATTAAGTTCCATTTAAAACGAAAATTTTGCTTATCGTGGCTCGTTTTCTCATTTTTCGCCTTCCATTTCTTAAAAAAAGAGCGTTTTTACATCACTTTTTGCTTTTTTAGAGAGTCCGAATCCTAAAACTTCAGCAAAGTTATAATTCCAGAAAAGGAGGTTCGAAAATTTAAAAAAAAGCATGCCAAGAGAATTGATTCATTTTCAATAGTTCTAGAGCCCAAAGACCGTCTTTTTGGTCATTCAAAGCTAAAAAAAGAACTTTCAAAGATTTGAGAAAAAAATTCTATTGAAAAAAAGGTAAACTTTTTCCAATTTTTTTCAGACTGAAAGGTATCGGCGAGTATGTGAACGTGCGAACCGGTATCCCATGTTTCTTGCACCCGACCTCGGCCTTGTTTGGCATGGGTTTCATGCCTGACTATGTGGTTTGAAAGGAACTTTCCCTTTCTTCAAAAGCAATTCATTTTTGAGGTTTACCACGAGTTGGTGATGACCGCCAAGGAGTACATGCAGTGCGTGACGGCCGTCGACGCCATTTGGCTCGCCGAACTCGGCCCGATGTTCTATTCTGTCAAGGTAGAATGATAAAAATGACTATCCTTTAGAAAAATGGACCTGAAAGTTATAAATCACCGGAAAATTGGTTTTAAGAATCTGTCAAAAACGGATTTTTGATCACAACTTCCTTGTATGGAGTTTGATCTTTTTGAAACTTTCGGAGTTGTGATGACCGTTGTTTGTAAAGAAACTTTATGGAATTTCAGTTCACGAAAAAAAAAACAGCTTCGAAAGTTTCAGAAAGATTAAGCTCTATACAAAAAATTTGTGAGAAAGTTTTTTTTTGGTGGTTTTCCTGACGGTACTGTAGCTTCCGAAGTTCAAAAAATTTTTTTAATGACAGAATATTTTTTTGGGTTCGTGAGCTTCCATAGAAATTGTCATTTTTTTCCAGCAATCCAAGCAATCTCGCAAGGAAATGCGGATGGAAAGCGTCCGGACAGTTGAATCGATGGAAGAAGAGATGAAAGAGGCCCAGAAAGAGATGGAAAGGTATCGCATTTTGAGAAGTTGCTCACAAAAAAGTGAAAAAACCTTCAGAAAATTCAGAAAAAAAACTTTAATTTAAAGTCGATTAGGCTTTTTTCGTTCCAACTTTATTGAAGTTTAATTGAAGTTATGCCTTCTAAACTCTATAAACTTCAAAAAGACAGGAAATCTAGCAGTTTGAGTTACTATGATATGATCCGCGCGCAAGTAGTTTCAAGTCGGGCGCGATTCAAATCAACCGCTTCGTGTAGATCAGTTCCAATGAGAATGAGTTAAAGGAAATCCCAAAAAAGTCAACTTTTGAAGTTCAATAACTGTATTAAATTCCTTTCCGGCTTCGCCCAAACTTAAAAAAGTCTAGGTTTTTTGGGGCCTAATTATTTAGAAACCTAACAGCGTTGTCTCATTTGTTTTCCTATGCATTCGCGCGAAAACAGTTTCGAGTCGGGCGCGTACCAAAAAAAATGCCGCTTTGCAGCCGTTTTCCGTCCGCCCCCAAGTTAATTTGAAAACGAAAAAAATTTCAAAAATAATCAAAAAGAAATATCTTTCTGGGGGTTGCGTCTTGAGGTTTGAAAACGTTGTCTAATTTACCTTCCTATACCTTCATGCGGAAACAGTTCCAAGTCCGGTCCGTTTCATATCAACCGCTTCGCAGCCGCCTCGCGTAGATCCATTCCACTTGCGATCGTGTCAGTAGGAATGAGTAAAAAAAATCCTTAGAAAAAAGTTAATTTGAGGAGTACCAGAAACTATGTTACAATGATTTCCAGCTTCGCAAAAAATTTAACTAAGTCAAAGTTTTTTGGGGACTAATGCTATTAGAAGCCAAGAATCTTTGTCTCATTTGTTTTCATATGCCTTCATGCGGAAACAGTTTCAAGTCGGGCGCGTTTTGAATAAAAGCCGCTTTGCAGCCAGTTCACGCCTGTGGCTTTGTTCAACTTTTTGCCTGAGAAAATTTCAAAAAACAATGAAAAAAAAAATCTTTCCGGGGTCGGGTCGCTTTTTGAAAGCGACTTGAGATTTGCAGCGTTTTCTAATTTACCTACCTACGCCTTCCTGCGGAAACAGTTTCAAGTCGGGCGCGTTTCAAGAAAAAACCGTTTTTCGTCGGCCTCCGTGGCCTTCACGTTAACGCAAATTTTGAAACTAAGTTCAACTTTTTTCCTAAGAAAACTTCAGAAAGCATTAAAAAGAAACATCTTTTGGGGCTGCTGTCTAATTTACCTACCTACGCCTTCCTGCGGAAACAGTTTCAAGTCGGGCGCGTTTCAAGAAAAAGCTGTTTTTTGTTGGCCTCCGTGGCCTTCACGTTAACGCAAATTTCAACTCTAATCTCAATTTTTGCGTGAAAAAGTTCCGAGAATCATAAAAAGGACTATTTGCCAGACGAAAAGTGGAAAGCGAGCGGGATTTCAAGCGACCCGACTCCTCGAGAATCGCCGACGTCGGCCGGTCTGTCCGCAGCAAAATGTGGGGAATGTAACCGGAAGAAAAGCCAAAGTTGTTCCATTGTTATTTGTTTCTTTCTTCAAAAGATCTCCCAGTTCAAGGTGATTATTGTTGTAGTTTCTACTTTTTCGCATACCTCTACGTGTTTGTTCAATTTTTGCTTTTTTCTGTTTCACGAGGACATTAAATATTATTATTATTCGTGTTTTTTAATGTTAATCGAATGTGGTGTTGTCCGTAATTATTTGAAAGAAAAATGATTAATTTATTATTTTTCCGAACTTTCATTTATTCTTGAGTTTGGGTCGGCTCAAATCATCGCCTTTTTGAGATTTTTTTCTTCAAAATCAGCTTTATATAATGAGGATGGGTTCGAAAATTACGGCACTACTCTTGAATTTTTTTGAATAATTTTTTTAAGAATCGAATTTCTTGAAATTGTCCAGAAATCTTTAAATCGTGTGATTTCTGATGGTTCAAAAAAAAAGTTCCATTTTCCAGCATTCCTGTACATAGAAAATGGACCAGCTGCCGGTGGAACTCGTCCAAAAAATCCTGTCAATTTTGTCGACTTCGGACTTGATGAACTGCTGCCTCGTGTCCAGAAGATTCATGGCGATTTCCTGCAGCCTCATGCCGGAGCTGGTCTCCCTCAGAATCGCCTTGTCCGATTGTCCTTGTCGAGCTGGAGGATCCGCCAAGGAGGGCTGGCTTCAGGTCAAAAAATTATTTCTTTAGAGTTTTGTGTCCGCAGATGGCCAGGCTTGACTAGGGGATTTATTGGTAACAAAAAGTAATTTGGATTGCCAGAGTGGCAGTTTTAGGGGCGCCTTATACCAGGTAAGGGCCACACTACCTCTCCCTTTAGTGGGCTCCGATGCTTGCAAAAGTGGTCACTCTAGGGGTGCTTGCTAGTCGTTCACCGTTATAAACTTCATGAGATAAAAAAATTCTCAAAACTCAATAAATTAGCGTTTTTTTTTCGATGTCTTTTCAATTTTCAAATCTGAACTGATAATCAAAATAACCCTATAGGGACCACTAAGGCTTCAGAGGCTCATGCTCAGGCTCTAAACCCCTATAGGGACCTTCTTATGAACTTTTCGAATAAAATATAAATAAAAAAGAAAGACCATCTGAAATTTCAGTTTTCCTGTATATAGGGTTATTGAATGAGCTAGAAACTATTATCTGAATATCATAAAAAATGCGTATAGAAAAGTGTTGTCTTGGGAGAGCTCCAACAGAAATCTAGAATGGTTTCAGATCTGCCAGTGCAAAATGCACGGCGCCAAAGAGCTCCTCCAAGTTCTCCTCCCGTTTATTTCTTCAGGTTTGTGACTCGTAAAAAATAATGAGAAATTCGCCTATTTCATTTCCCAATAAACGAGCATCTGAATTTTCTTGTCATTGCATAAACATTTAATTATGAAGGAAAATTTGCTGATTGAAACGGAAATCTTGTCCAAAAAAATATTGATTTTTTTGAGTTTTTTTGTAACGATCATGTTTGTCAAAAATCGCCACCTAACTTTCAGATTTTTAATGTATGTTTTATTACTTGATTAAGATCTATTGTTTGAATAAGATGTTTGCTAAAGGAACTCTTCGAAAAGTCGCCTTCGTAAAGGTTTCTACGATAAACATTCATTAGAACTTCAAAAAAAGGAAAAATAAATCAAAAACTTTCAATTTTTTTCGAGTTCCTTTCTTCGAAGACGGAATTTTTTTGTTCTTTTGCTAAGAAAAAAATAAGCATTTTTTTGGCCTATTAAACATCATTTTTCTTTTATTTTTTTGGCTTTTTTTCCGAAAAAAATTTTTTTCCCAATGTTTTTTTATCAATTTCTTTTTTTGAATTTGTCTATCCGAAATAACTTGAATTTAACTTTTTACTTCATTTCTGATCCCCTTTTTTTTAAATTTTGACTTGTTTTGCCTATTTCATGTAGTTTCAAAAAACTCTGAATCTTTTGCTAATGATCAATAAACTGATAAGGAGAAGTGATAAAAATGGGAAAACCAGAATTTATCGATCAAAAATTTTCCAGCCGCCAACTCCCTGGAAGTGGAAGATGAACTGGCGAAAACTTCGGTTTCCGACGAAAATATCGCCATTTTGCTGGCCTTTTTTGCTGGGGCTCCACTGAAAAGGTCTTTCATAGTCTGTTCAGATTTTGAATGTCAAGTCGTCTCTCAAGCTCCGCCCCCTAAAATAAACCAATCAGAAAGCGAGCCATCCACAGAGCGTTTTTGAATGACGTCATTGCACTTGAAATCAAAAATCTGAACAAACTATATTCCGAAAATTAATAGATGATTATTTATTTTTATAATTTAGACTAGCCTTGACAAAATGCGACTTGGCGAATGTGCAACCCTGGACATTGGCCTTATTGGCTCAGTTTAATCAACTCGAGAAGGTTTTTTTGGATTAAAAATCTAGAATATTAAACTTGATGTTTTGAGATTGAAATCGACGGCTGTACCTTCGGAATCCCGGAATCTCTCTTGATCCGAAGCTTGTCGACGTCTTTCTCAACTCTGACCAATATCGATGTCAAGGATAACAAATTGGTTTGTTTAGAAATAGACCATTTGAACAGATTCTCAAATTTTGGGTACCGTACCTTCTAATTTCGAAACCGCAACTTGAAAATTATTTTAGAGAATCTTGGTTCATTTCTAGTGGTATTCCTTCATGTAAGATCATAAATTTGGCCTTGAAAATTCAAGATTTCTATCAAGATTTCTATTCGTTTTCGAAGAGGTGTCGAGAAAATCGGATTTATATGAGTCAAGCTCTGAAAAGTTTAGTTTTTGGGAGATGTGTCCAATCAAAGTTTTTTTTTGAAGATCTTAAAGTTGAAATATGAATTTTGATTTGATCAAAGCATAGTTATACCTTTTTGCTGCATTCTTACCTTTTTTATGAAGTTATCTTTGTGTAGGTAAATAATACATTTTTGCAGTCATTTTTGAGTTTTATAGAGCTCAGGGGAAAACAAGTAGGAATAAAGCAATCAGAGTTAGATTATTGTTCTTCGAAATTTGAAAAATCCGTGCGATGCTAGTGAATTTCTCAGTAAAATTTCAATGTTTCACTATATTATTAATTTATTATCCTTTTTCAGGTAACGGATAAGTTCGTGAGAGCCGTCTCTAGGAGCTGTCCCATGCTCGAACAGTTCGTCCTTTACCGTTGCAAGCTCATTTCGACTTTCGCCGTCCTTTCCCTCATCGAATCGACCTTTTTCCGACTCAACCACATGCTCGTCGTCAACGTCGAAGGAACGCTATTCAATGCAAACGAGGCAAATTTTAGTTCTTCTCCAGAAGCGGGCTAAAATATGAAAATCTAGCTTTCCTTAGGAACGACAGAGTATACACTAGAGGGGTTGAAAAAAATAGAGCCCCTATAGTAGACCATTCTCCATGCAGGGTTGAAATTTAGGTGGTCCCTACGGGAGTTTTGGGTCTCAAGCCCAATCCCTTTAAGTTTAAGTGGTCCCTATAGGGGTTTTTTTAAGTTTTTGTTCTGACCTGAAAGTTAACACGTGTAAGAAGACGTCATTAGTAGAATTTGATCGATGAACTGATCGACCACAGCATGATTCCCTACAGTGGCCACTTTTCCAAACCCTAAAGGAAAGCTGAAGTGGTCCCTAAAGAGGTACCCAGAAGAGCCCCTAAAGTTGCGGTTATAGAGACGACTGTGGACTTCCTGTTCATTCAAAGCTAGATTGAGAGTTTTTTTTTTGAAGTGTTAAGAAAATCTGTTTCTGAAGCTAACGGTTTAAAAAAAAATCACACGACTAGAAAAATAGTGTCCGAAAAGACGAGGTTCAGACGTTTCTGTAGCTTCTTTTTTTTCTAAGCGTGCGGTGATTGGAGTATATTTCTGACTCTTTTTTTTTTTAAAAACATGTTTTGTATTTTTCGATGATAGCGGTCTATTCAAGTCCTAAAAAAATTAAAAAAAGAACACAGCTTCGTGAAAAATATGAATGGAGAAGATTTTTCGAAGTAAATTAATGACAAGATAGTTGAAAAAGAATTAGTGAAGTCTTTTTCCCGCGTCTCTTTAAAATTATCCTATAACGTATTTTGTCCCAGGAATGAAGAACTCATGTACATTTCTTTCAGGAAATGATTTGGAAAAATATGAAAATTCAATTTCTTAGATTTTTTCATGGGGCTGGATATTGTTGAAGTTTGATGAAAATTTGGAAAAGATTTTCAAATTGAAGAGTAGAAAAATCTTTTTTTCAATTTCCAATTTTATTAATAATTTTTGTTTTATGAAAATTTTGATCATTTTTTTGACGAAAAACTCGCTTTTTTGTCATGAAAACTTGTAAAATTAACTGTTTGATGGGAAAGACTAAGGCTTAATTTTTTCTTTTTTCAGTTCCATAAGAGCGAAAAACGAGCCTTCTGGTAATTTTTATTCAAAATTCGAAGGTCAAGTCAAAAACTTGTCATCATGAGAATATTCAGCCTATTTGGCCGTTTAGCATAAACACTTGTAAAGTTAACCTTTTGAATGAAAAATGCGAAAAAATAGGGCGTGATTTCTTCTTTTCCAGCTCGACAAGTACATGTCTTCGCCGCTGTTCGCCGCCCGTGGAGAATGGCGTCTTTCTCCGACTTCCATCCAGATCGGCTTCGATAAACCCGCCGTTTTGGCTGAGCATCGACGGGCTCGCTGTGTTCTCGTCTACGTCTGAGGAGCTTCAAAAAACTCGAACTTTTCAAAAGAAAATGTAACATAATCGCTAGATTTTGACTGTTATCGATGTATATGAGAAAATAGCCCTAGAAAAAAAAGTAGATGGACAATTCTTATGAAAAAACGTATTAAAATAGCCGTGTAAAAATCGAGCCGCGAAAAATAGCCGCAGTAAGTGCGCTCCACAAATAATTCAGTAACTCTGACCTCGGTAACACAAACCGGACACGTCTGAAAATTTCAAAGGCGTCAGAACTCTTAAGGGACCCCTTGAAGTTCTCAGGAACGTCAGTTTTATGTGATAGAGGTCCTAGAACGCAAGCCGGGCTTTCCTGACTATCGAGTGACCACTTCAGTAGCGTTAGAACTCTTAAGTGATCCCTAGAATCGCTCAGAAACGTCCGGTTTGCGTTATCGAGATTTCAGCGGTGAAAAAATAGCCTCGATATTCCCTTTTCTTCGCTGAAAGTGTGCTCTACGGACAATTAAAAACAATGATATTTTTTTAACTTTCTAATAATTCCATCCACGCTCTCCTGTCATACACAATTCTTTCTAGGTTTTGCTTCGAGTGATAAAAAAGTGTACATTTGTAAAATCCAGCCTTGGAAATAATTTTTCAATTTTCGACTCCGTGGCCAAAGTTTCTAGGAACTCTTCATTCCTTATTCAATTTTCTCATTTTAGTATTATGTTCAATATTCTAGTGATTCTAATAACTGAAACCTGCCTATTTCTTCTAATATCTATTGAATTTCGTTGTATTTACACCTGTATACCTGTTCATTTACTGTATTTAATGTACATAGATATTTAGTTTTACTCTCTAGATTTTTCGGTTTTTTTCTGGTGCAATTGTTTCGTTTTCGGTGTGGTTCTCTTAGTAATAAACTTTGGATAAGAGGGATTTTTGAAAGTTTTTTGGTATCTCCAAAATTGCTTTTTGTGTTATCAGGACATCAAAATGATCGATTTTAGATGTGGGACATCGTTTTTTTGACGGCGGGAAATTCGAATCAAAAATCGACTTTCGAAAAATTGTTGAAAGAATTGAATTTGGCGGAATATTGTGGGGAGATTCGAGTGATTGAAGATTGGCCAAAGGATTTTTCGAATAGGCGGGTTTTTTGAAAAACGTTATTATCAATGATTAAAATGATGGAAATCAATGATTATCAATGATTAAAATGTTAGAAAAATCGAAATTTTTCAACGTCATTTATGTTTTAAAAAAATTCCTTATTGGACCATTTCCGATTTCTGAAGCTCGAAACACTTGCCAAATCAATGAAGAACCTACTCTTTCCAAATTTCCCTTGTAAATCACTTTAAATTTCATTTTTTTCCTACGATCAGCTTAATTTTTGAGTCGAAATGTTTAGGTATGAGACACTTTAAATTTTTAAATCGAATTTCCTAGAGAATTTGATTTTTTTCGATAACTTCAAAAAAAGTTTTTTCATAAAAAAATCATAGAAAATCGAATATTCTCGATGAATAACCGATTAATTTATACCCAAAGTTGGGTTTTTAATTTCTTTTAAAAAAAGTTCTAATTAAAATTGGATCACTTTTTGTTTATATTAAAACATGGAAAATCTTTCGAAAACTATTAAAGAACTTACTTTTTTTCGTGATTTTTCCACGTAAATTACTTAAATTTTATGAATATTTTTCAGTTCAATTTCAAGTCAAAATTTAAAGATGTAAGAACCTTCAAATTCGTCTTTTGAAGCAAAATCATAAATTCGACTATTTTAAGGTTCCGGAGGGGCGACACTAGAAATATTGCGACAACTGTTCAAAACAACCAATTTTGACAATCTCAAAACGGAAAAAGTGAGAAAAGATCATTTATTTCTCAACTTTCAACATTTTTAAGGTCCTCATTGTGCATTCTGGCGGTTTCTCGCAGCGAATGCCGCATTTTTCTCCTTTTGGAAAGGTTTTCGCCCATCTTCCCGGCGGGAAAACTGTACTGGAAACGAAATTGGGCTTTTACAAGTTTGATAAGACTAGGTTATATTGATTAAAAATGTATTTTTCAGAGAATTGTCGGAAAAACTGGCGCCGGGGGTGATGATAACGGCTTCGGACGTTTTAGAAGACGTCTCTTTGTTTTCTGAGATTGGAGCTTCGGATTTTCTCATTTTCGCTCATGAATCTTCTATTGAAGTGAATTTTTTCATGAAGAAAGAATATAGTTTTGAATTAGAGTTAATAATTTCATTATAAGGTTGTGGATTCAGTTTTTTTAATTGAAGTTTTTCTAAAGAATTTTTAATTTCTTTTTCAATTTCATATTTTTTTGTTAAAGTTACTGCGTAATTCAAATTGGCTAAATTAGGATTTTGACGTTTTAGTGGCCATTATAGTGGTCGAAGTAGTAGCCCCTTGAGTGGCTAGATTTTTAGTATTTTAGTAAAAAAATTTCATTAGTAAGCCTCTAGAAGTCTAAGTGATATTATATAGACCCCTAAAAACTGCTATAGTGGTCACAAAGACGCAAAATAATGGTCCTATAGAGATGGTTTTACAGAACCACTGTAGTGGCCACTTAAATGTATTCTCCAAGTTGCCCCTGAAGAATTTTCAAAATTTTATTCTTAGGTCGCCACTCAACACGGCGTTTTCGTTCTCGACGACGACAAAAAACTCAAATCTGTTCTTCAAAAACCATCCGATCAAGAACTAAAATCAGCTGGAGCCATTTTAGAAAACGGCTTCGTTTTGACTGATAGGTTCGAGAAAAATTTTTTTGTGAATTTGAATTTTCAGTTGCTTCCAAATGAGTTGGGAGCTGTGCCAAAGACTTGTGGACTCTTTTGAAGGGTTCAGACCAATAAAAGATGAACTTTGTTGTTACGGCGATTTTATGCGACCTTTGGGGACTTGCCCGAAGCTTGAATACCTTCAAAAATGTGTGTTTTTACGGAATTCTGAAAAAAATGTTCCATGTTTTTAGCCTCGGAAGCTCTTTTGAAGCCTAAAACAGAGCTGGTCAACATTTTCAAGACCGTTGATGCTAGGGTAAGCTCAATAAAATCAGTTATTCTAAAAAAATTTGAAAAAAATACAGGTTTTCAATCTTGGCGAAAACTCGTTCTTTCATTTCGGGACATGTTCCGAATTTTTGGAGCACATGGCTCCTGCTTCGATTTTCCGCAGAACTTTTGATATTTCCCCGAAAAATATCATTTTTTCAAGTTTAATCAACTGCAAGGTAACTTGGAAGTTTTTGATGGAAAATCAGTGTAGAATTTGGAAAGTTCGACCGTAGTCTCTCATTTTTGTTCTTGTAATGAGTACTTTCTTCTGTCATCACCCAAAAAGAACTGGGAAAATGTTTAGTGGCCTCATTAAAAGTTCAAGTGGTAGTAATGGACCACTACAAACTACTAAAGTGGTTACTAAGACACAATATGGTGCCCCCCTAGTAGTTATCCTCTTAAGTGGTCACTTGAGCTTTTCGCAGAACTGCAAAAATTTGAGCACACAAAAATTCACCCTAATCACCGCAAAGGTCAAATTGAAGAGCAAGCAAAAAATGGCCCAATTTTCCAAAGCATTATCAATTTTTCCTTGAAAAAAGTTTTACAGGTTCCTGAAGAAACATTTATCGAGTTTTCAAAGCTGGAAAACGTGAAAATTGGAAGAAACTGCATAATAAGCGGGGTGGAGGCTTTGGACATTGAGATTCCGTCGAATTCGTTGCTATTTACAATGGATTGCGAAGCGGGATGCGTTACATTTTGGTTCAATGTACAGGATGACATCAAAAAGAAAGAGGAGAAGCTCAAATTGAGAGGATCTGATACAAACTTGGAAAACTGTTCACTTTGGGATGCGAAGATATTTCAAGTAAGTGAGAATTATGACTAAGAATGGAAATGACTTCAGGTGGAGCGAACAAGAAAGGAATCTTTGAAAGCAACGTTAAAAGGGATCGATAATAAAGTTAGCGCAATTAAATAAACTGGTAACTGAGTGAGTACTTTAGGGCAATCTGATTTCTCTCGCGGAGGCCGTGAGAACACATAATATCGAAGCAGCCTTGAAATGGAGAACTGACCTACGGAAATCGGCCTCAGTAAACTGAATCTTTTTGGGCTTTCTTCGTCAAAACTTGTTGGCGCAGAGATTTCCGAGTTTGCGGCCCAGTCGGAGTTTCATTCGAAGGATCCTTCGATTCGTTTTTGTACCTGTAATGTAATTGCACTTTTTTTCGAGCTTTATTAATAAAACGAGTTCTAATTTGAAAAAAAAATACTGACATGATAGGAGTTCGATCGAAAGTTTTTGTCGGCGAACGAGGATCAAGTTCCAGAGTCCTTTTGGGAGTATTTTCGCTGCTAGACGTAGGAGAGGCCACGGGGCTTGAGAAAAACTGTCCCATATCTGAACTAGAAAGGTAGAAAACAGAGATACAAGAAAAAGAGAAATACAAAAAACGGCGCGTCACGAATTACGACGAGAGGAATTCAAATTTGGCGCCTCATTTCTTCTCTGGAGCGCACTTGCCTTCTCACCCTTTCAAGGAATTTGCGAAAAAGTCGAAGATTTCTGTGCTTTTTCCTTGTTTTTGTTTGTTTATTGCCAAAGTTTTTCATGTGATACAGATGCTTATGAGGGTGGTGTTTTCAGTTATCATCATTTTTTTCAAGTGTACGTAAATTAAGGCATAAATTTGAATGTTTTATATTGTTCAAATCGATCTAATCTTTTTTTTTCTCCAACTCTAATGAACTTTTCTCTCTCACAATATTAATGTTCAACAAAGCTTTTTTACATGTTCGAGCCATTTCATAACTATTACGTCTCTTAATCGATGATTCACTGTTTATATTGACAAGGAGAAAGCCATGTTTATTTTGCTCACAGGAATGCCAAAAAGAGCCGTTTCTTTCGCGGATGACATCGAAACCAGGACATTCAAGCGAGAAAGACATGAACTCGCAGAAGATTTCGATTTGCCGATGGATGACCCTCGACAAGCTCCAGCCACAGAGGAAGAAGTAGTTGTGCAGTCTAGTATTTATTTCAGAAAATTAATGTTCAGGAAGATATGAAGAAGAAAAAACACACTTTGGACAGTGACGAAGAGGATGAAGATGATCACAAGCAACTGGATATGAAGAAAGTCGAGGGACAGGAAGATTCTACGATCGATTTCGATGGATCTATAAAAATCACGGCGTTTAACATGAAGGAAGACATGGAGGAGGGTCATTTTGATGACACCGGAAACTTCATTTTCAACAAAAAAGAAAAAGTTGGAAATTATCAATTACTCGGGGATTTATACAAGATTTTAGGATATCCAAGACGCCTGGCTTGATGGAATCGATTGGTCGACGGTCAAAAAGAAGGCCGGGGAGCAGTGGGAAGGCGAAGATCACAAGGTGGAGGAAATCCCCGAATATTGAAGAAAATTCCGACTTTCAGGAAAAAGAGGAAGAAGCTGCGCCCGCCATGGACGACATCAGGAAGAAGGAGATTTTCCAGAGGCTTCTTGAGGTGATTTTAATTAATTTCTTTGAAAATTTGTGGTTTTTTGAAGGTTTTGAAGCCGAATCAGAGTGTCGCCAAGGCGCTCACGGACATTAAAAAAAGAAAAAAAGGGTAAATTTAGTATCTGAAAAAAATTGAATTTTTTTCTCAAAATCTTGTGTTTTTTTAATTGTTCTGAAATAAGTTTGCAAAGATTCGAAAATGTTAAAAAAATAAATAAAAAAATAAATTTTTAAAGCTTTTTTTGTTTTTTTAATCATATTTTTTTAAGTAATTAAAAAAATAGATTTCAACTTTGGTTCGAAAAATCAGCTCAAAATTACATCAAAAGATGAAGTTTTTTTATTTTTCAGAACACCAGAAAAAAATCTATCCCAAAAAAATAAGGAAATTTAGAACTTTTACAATGTAATTGAGAACTAGAGAAACCGTTTAAAAAGCGTTTTTTTAGCCCTTTTTTCTCGTTTTGAAACCGAAATTTCCAGGTTTAACCGTGGCAGAAGAACGGAAATTGAGATGGGCGGCGAAGAAAGCCGGAAAAACGGTCGAGGAAATGTCCGGACAGAAAGAGACCGACGAATTGGGCGGCCTGGCCGACGAGCTCATTTCTGCGGGATTTGTGCGCTTTTGAAACTTTTCAATACTCTTTGGGTTAATTTTGATGGATTTATCAAGGAATAGAAATTTAGGAAGGGAAATGGGTGTAGAAAAACCATTGAAATTTCTTTGAATATTCTAAAAAACGTCAAAAAGCCCAAATTTTTTTAAAAGGGAGAATAATTTTTTTATCAGTTATATAGTAGAAAAAAATGCTATGTAGGGGACAAGGAATGGTGTTTTTTTGAATGATTTTTCAGAAAAAAATCTAAATTTTTCATCGATTTTCCAAGTTTTTCTTCTGATTTTTATTTTCAGTTAAATTCTCATTTTCTGTTTCGATTAAAGTTTTTAGCGTTTTTAAAAATTTTCAGTGGGCACTTGAGGTTGGGGCTGGATCACAATTATTTTTTTGTTATATATATTTTTTTAATCTTGAAAAAGTTTCACAATGATTGTTTAGTTCAAAAAAATTACTTTTAATCTTCGATACATTTGAAAAATTAATACATTTCTTTGAAAATAATGTTTTGAAATGCAAAAAGATGTTTCGAAACAACACATTTTTTTGAGTTTTTGATGAGAACTCCGTTCATTTTCTCATGGTTTTTAGCATAATTTTCCAATTTTTTTAATGATAATTCATCAGTTCTCATCTTCTTTTTTTATAAAGTAGAACTTCGATTTCAGATGGACGCCTATGAATGGCATCGGGAGAAAATCGAACACGACCTGAATCGGATGAACAAAGTGGCGATTGATGACGTCGACATGTTCTCCGATGAACCCAGTAATTTTTCAATCTAATTTTTGGGTTGCTGTTTTTTTAACTCGATTTATTTATTCTCATTTTTACCAAAAGTCATTTTTGTTTGTTTTTTTATTTAAAAAAATTTGTTTTTCATCAATTTCAGCTTCAAATTCGGCACCAACAGTAGCGACCGTAGTCGTAGATGATGAAGTTCGTTGGGAATATAAGGAAAATGACGCCGAAGGGACACCTGTTCAGGTTTATCAATTTTTGGATATAAGCTTGAAAAATTTTTTTATGGAAGTTTCATTTCTTAAAATTTTGATTATAAAAAAATCTTTTTTCGACTTTCCTGAAGATTATTTCGATTGTTTGATGTTCGACGCTTAAAAAAAACAAGTGGTTTTGCAGGAAATTGGGTTTTTTTTTCTCAATTTTTTTCAGATCGCCTTAATTGTTACGATTTGGCTTATTTTTGAATGAGTTTCGGGTTTCAGGAATCTTTTAAGTTGTCTAAAAGTTTTCTTTAAAATACTCGTTAATTCCTTTTGTTTCCTACGAGATCGCTGATTTTTTTCAAAATGTATTTCCAGGATCCCATAAAAAATCTTTTCAGGACACCTCAGGCATCCCAGGAAAATTTTTCCATTTAGAGAACTTTTTTTAAAACTTTTACATTACCTAACTTCCTTAGAGTTGACCCTAAAAAACCACTTTAGGGGTCCTTCAAGTTTTTCTAGAAAAATTTTTTTCCTCAAAGTACTTTAACAGCACGTCCTTTCTTGCAATATGATGTATTTTAGAATGAATTTTGGTTTTCAATCTTCTTCAAGTCAATCTTTGGATGAATTTCAGAGCCCATCTCCTAGAAAATTTGCCTGAAAATATTTTTACATCACCAAATTTTCCATATTCGGACTTTTTTGAAAGGATTTTGGCTTCCGGGGACCTTAAAAAAATCAAAAATATCCTTCAGGGACCCCTTTTTAAAGACTCATTTCAAGTACCCTTTAAGTTTTCTAGAAAGTGTTTTTAGAAATAGCTTCATACCGTCTTATTTCTTACGAGCTAGCTTTTTTTAAATGTGAATTTCGGTTTCCAGGAGCACTAAAAGAATCCTTTTTTAGAGTTTCCTAGAAAATGTGCCTGAAACTGTAACATCACCGAACTTTCCGTACTTTCGATTTTTTTTGAAAGAGTTTTGGCTTTCAGGGACCCTTAAAACCCCTTTGAGAGACCCCTTTTGTAGGTGCTCATTTTAGGTATACTCAAAGTTTTTCATAAACATTTTTTAAGAAATATCTTCACATCACTTTATTCCTTACGAGTTAGCCTTCAAAGAAACCCTTTTTTAGAGTTTTCTAGAAAATTTTCCTCTGAAAAACACGTACATTACCTTATTTCTTTCAAAAAGACTTATTTTTGGATGACTTCCGGCTTGCAGGGACCCTTCACGTCTTCCGAAATGGCCCAAAGACAAGCCGACGGGAATCTGGCGCCTAAAGGCGTCGCCCGTCGCGTCAACACGTCTGCTTCATTCAATCCCGTCGCCCGAATCGATTTCGATCTCTATTGCTAATGAATCTCCCTTATCTGTCCTCCACATTCCAATTTAATTTGATTCAATTTTTCTCCGTCCCATTTTGTCAAATTGAATGAATTTTTCCGTTTATTTTTATTTATTCGAGGTGGTTTTGATGGTTTTTTGTACCATTTATTATTCTTTTTAAACATTTTTTGCATTTTTCCGAGGCGGAAAAAGTACAACTGAAATCTTATTCCCTTGGATTTCTCCTTTTTTGTAAAAATTCAATGAATTTTTTTCCTCTTTTTCCTATGCCAGGTCAGATTCGTGGTTTTTTTTTATCGGTGGTTTCTCTGCTGATATTTCAGTCACTTTTTTTTATTCGATATTTTTGTTTGAAAAAGTAGTTTCAGGATGGCCGGTCCTCGAGATTATGATCACTTGTTCAAGCTGTTGATCATTGGCGACAGCGGAGTCGGGAAAAGTAGCCTGTTGCTTCGTTTCGCCGATAATGTCTTTTCCGGTGCGTTTTTGAAAATGATCCGAAAAAAGTTATACAATGTCTGAACTTCAAACGGGTATAAAAGCGGTTTTTAAACAAGTTTTTTTTTGTATTAATTGATTTTTAAAGCGCAAAAAGATAAGTTTTTTTCTGTTATTTTTTTCGAAAAAAAGTTGAAAAAAATATCTATATCTGATTTTTCGACCTGGTCAAAAAGCGGGTTTTTTTCCTCCATTTGCCAATATTTATTTTTAAATTTTATTTTTTTCAAAATTTTGAAAAAAAGTCATGCATCCTTTTTGTTTTGTCCTCTTAGCAGCCTAGAATGACACCTCTTCAATATAAATTGACCCTTTTCCCTTCTTTTTTCACTTTTGGTGAGCCTCCGAATTTCTGGAAAGAAGGCTCAGTAAATGCCGCACAACGGAACCCTTTCAGCGATTTTTCGAACCCGATTTCGCCAGCGCTTTTCGTATTTTCGTGAAGAATTTGGAAAATTACCTTTTTTTGAAGACAACTACATCACGACGATCGGAGTCGACTTCAAAATCCGAACGATGGATATCGACGGTCAAAGGGTGAAACTGCAGATTTGGGACACGGCCGGCCAGGAACGATTCAGAACCATCACCTCGACGTTAGTCAAATGAGAAACGAAAAAAAAAATACATTTTTGAACCCAATCTGACGATAATTCTGAAAGAATTTGGCCTGTTGAATAACGGAAAAAGAAGTTTGGAAATATTGAATACGTCTTCTAGAGCTTATCTTTCTGTGAAAGGTCCATCCGAATTTAATGACCTCTCTGATTTTTGAGAAAAATGCTTCGAAAAGGTCCGTGCAGCAAAAGTTGCTCCATGGACAAAATCAAAATTTTTTTCATTTTTTCAACTCTCATTCATTTTTCCTTCATTTTTGTGTAATAAAAAAACAATATAAAAATAGAATATTCATCATTGAATCTTCCAATTTCAATAATATTGGGAAAGACTTTTCTATAAAAAGTCAAAAGGTCTTTAAGCCGATTTTTGAGTGAATATTTAGAAAAAATTCTCAAAAAGGCCCCTAATTTTCAAATTATATCCTTTATTGACCACGTATTTTTGATGGGGGTTGTTTTTTTTCCTCCTGTTTTTACAATATTTTCAACTCTTTGTGCAAAAATTTTTAGTGGTCACTACAGAGACTCGCGAAGGACTACTTGGAGAGGACACTGAAGTGGCCACTAAGGTTCTCTATTTAGTGGTCACTTCAGTAGTTTTTCCTCCAGTATTTCCTCCCAGTAATTCTGATAATTTTCAAACAAACAGATTGGACCAGTTATGTAGATCCATTGACCCCTAAAGTAGCCACTAAAATGTTTAGTGGTCGATTAGAAGCACTTAGACCTCTATAGTGGCCCCTGAAACGTCAAAACCCCAAAGTGGCCACTTGAATATTTTTCCAGTTTCTTGGAGTAATATTATTGAAATCAAATTTTGAAGATGCCGTTTTTCGAGAAATCAGTATCAGAAAATCATTTTTGAGTATAAAACTTTCGTAGGTACTACCGCGGGACCCACGGCGTCGTCGTCGTTTTCGACGTCACCAATGGAGAATCTTTCGGAAACGTCAAACGTTGGCTTCACGAGATCGAGGCCAACTGCGACAATGTCCAGAAGGTCCTGGGTGGGTTTCCTGTTTCACTTTTTAATTATAAGTTGACGAATTTTTTTTTATTGTTGTGATATCCCCATTGAAACACTAAAAGTTTTTGAAAATTATGATTTTTTTGAATATTTTTTTCAGGCCTATATGGTTTTTAAAAAAATAGAACAATCTACAGGAAAAATATTGAATATATATTCAGTTTTTTTGTCGCAATTTTAATAAAACTATTCTTTTGGACTTGCGAAAAAAATGTTGGCAATTTTGATTTGAGGGTTTTTTTGAATTTGAATTGAAACGAGAAGTGTTTTTTTAGCGTAGGTCTTAGAATTTGTTAGGATTTTTTTTTAAAAAAAGCTTCATTGAGCTCAGAAACAGGGTTAACATAGCGGAAAAAAACACCAAAAAGGATAATTTTTAAATTTTTTTAAAAAAATTTGCTCAGTTTCTTCGAAAATTCATTTTTTTAATATATGAATACCATCAAAAAGATCCTGAAAATGAGCTTAAATTTTTTTCATTTCAGGAAATTTTTATTACACTCAAAAATAACCTTAAAAAAATAACTTTTTTTAGCGCTTTCTCATGTATCGTTTTTATCAGAAAGGCCCTTTTTAAGGAGCTAAGAAAGCCCTAATTAGTTCCAGAAAAGGGGGAATGAGAATCCGGTAAAAGGTCCTTTTTTTCTTTAAAAAGAAGCTTCATATCAAGCTCCAAAATTTTTTTATCGAAAAATAGAATAGTTTCTGGTGACCAGAGGGGCAAGATCCATATACCCAGAAAAAAATGAGTTTAATTTTTATAAAAAAATTGAAACTTTCTGACTTTTGAGGGTTCCCCATTTTTCTCTCCCCAGTCGTATTGGACACTGTTTTTTTGAGACCGGACTTGTAATCAGCGTAAAAAATTAAATATGGAGATTATAGTCTCATTCAGAAGTCATCCATGAAGTTTTTTTTTGCATCTTATTAGAAAAAGGAGCTTTTTTAGTGTCCTTAACTGGTCACTCACAAGGAGTAATCGATTTTTAATTGGTAAATGCGTTTTTTGAGCATTTTTTTTGAAAATTCCAGTATAAATTGTAAAGTTACTTGTTTTTTTTTTCAGAACGGTAAAGTTACTATCTATTTTAGTGAATAATTTGAGATATATTGATCAATATGATGGTAATGTTTTCAAGTCGGGAACAAGTGCGAAGACGAATCGAGAAGAGTCGTCTTGGAGTCGGACGCGAAGCAATTCGCCGACTCGATGAACATAAAATTCTTCGAAACTAGCGCCAAGGAGGATCGGAATGTCGAAGCGGTCGGTTCTTCATCTTCCCGTTTCATCGAGAATTCTTAGTAACCAATAAAAAGAATAATTTGATGATTTGATGTGGAGCAAATATGGAAATAGAAAGGTATTTTTTTGGGATTTTAGGCCGTGTTTTGCATTTGTAAAATACGGCCGTCGCGATAATCAGTAGCTGGATGCCGCGTTTCAAAAAAACTTTGAAGAAACGCGGCAAATTGAAATGAAGAGGTCACTTAAGAATATTTAGCAGCCCTAGAGTGAACCCTTGGATCTACTTCGCCGCCTAAATTTTTCAATTTTTCTTCTATTTTTTTATAGATTAAATTATCGCGTATAAATCGCGTATATATATAAATCGCGAAGGCCGTGTTTCACAAATAAAAACACGGCCTAACTTTCCAAAATGTTCCCGTTTTCAATTTCTTAGTCCCCAGTATTGAGGGGGACAAACGGAGCGGTCGTTTCTCCGAGTACCCCTTAAAGGATCACTAGGGGAACGTAAGTGGTCGCTCAAGTGGCCCCTTTAGGGGTGTGGTACTTGGAGAAACAAAAAAAAATTGAGAAACCGCTATAGGGACCGCTGAAGCTTCATGAGCTTAAAGGTCAGACTCTAGGAATCTAGGGAGCGTTATTTTGTCCACTATAGGGGCTTTTTTCCCTGAATCCTCTAGTGAACACTTTGGAGTCCCTAAGTATGACGACTAAAACGACAAAACGGATATTGATTGATTGATTGAAGATGCTCCAATTTTTCTGAAACATTCCAACTTTTCAGATGTTCTCGTGCATCACGCGGCTGGTCCTGACGGCGAAACTGTCGAACCCGACGGCGACGAGTACTCCGGCACGTGGCGTCTCCCTCAAGGACGGCGCCCAGCGCGAGAAAAAGAAGTGCAAGTGCGGGTAAAAGCCATTTCCAAGTCGATCCGATCCATGCCAAAAACTCGTATCTACATCAAAAACTAACCCCAGTTATCACTGCATATTTTCCTATTTATTCAAATTTCCTCATTTATTAGGTTGTTAAATTGGAAATGAGCCCGTATTTCTTGATTTCATCCCTTTTTCAATGGATTTCAGATACAGTCAGAAAAAATACGAAATTGTTTTTTGATCACAACTTTCTTGTATGTAGTTTGATCTTTCTGAAACCTTCTGTAATTGTGACGAAGATTTTTGTGAAACAACTTGGTGAAATTTCAGATCGCAGGGAAAAAAATGAAGCTCAGAAAGTTTTTAGAAAGATTGAGCTCCATATGAAAAAAAGTTAGCAAACTTTTTTCATAAATTTTCTACTGTACTGTCTACTGTGACGGTACTGTAAATTTTGATGAAAATATTTTTTTATTAATTCATTTTACTTCTTTTTCAAAAATTAAATGGCTCATTTCTAATCCAACGACCTGATTTATATGTCCCTGATTGCATGAATCGTTTTATCTATTCAATTTCCATTGAAAATTCAGTTTCTACATTTTATCAGAACTATCTGAGACATGGCTTTTTCCGCCATTTCCTTTCAAAAGCTTCAGGCGCCCCGTTTCAGAGTATTTTATATTTTTCCAGGCTTCTCATTTTATCCAAATTTCAAGATAATCATCAATTTTCGTGTGCGTTTTAATTGTGATAAATTTCCTTTTCTCCACTTTTTTCGTCTGGGAAATGTTTCATTGATGAGATCATTGTCAACGTAGTACACGGGATTGAAAAAAAAAATAGTAAGTAGATTTAAAAAACATTGGCAAACGAAAATAATTATACACGCGAGCCTTTCAGGTAGTTTTGGTTTTTAATTTGAATTTAATTATGGTACAGGTTAGTTGGGAATTTCTGTTTTTTTGTTCAACCATGGGTCTGGTCGTCTTCAACAAAGTCGTAGGCTTGAAGTTTTTGTGACGACGTCAATGTGGGAGACCTGAAAAAAATTATATTCTAAAATTATATTATATAGGTTAAAAAAACGAACTATCCAATATTTTTCTCACATGATAAGGTGATTGTTCTAGAAATTAGCTACTTTAGAACACCCTGAGTTGAAAAAAAAAAACTGATTTTCACTCAGCTTATCTAAAAAAGTTTCACCAAACCCTCAAACCATCTTTTACTTTTTTTTACTCGAATAATCGGTAACGCGAAACGGACGTTTCCGGGCATTTCTAGTGACCCCTTTAGTAGCATCAGCATTCTTAAATGACCCCTAAAAGTGCCCAGAAACGTCCGTTTAGCTTCACCTATGTCCAAGTATAAAAACACAAAATCTGAACTTTTCAGCTTCCAATATTTGGTTTTTCTGAAACTTATCACAATCAAGAATTTTAGGCATTTTGGAGACTTCAAAAATAAAAAAAGGCTTTAAAACTTTCCAAGAATGGTCGCTATGAAAAACCGCCCGGATATTCGCGCACGACAAAATTTGGTATTAAGTTTATTGACTTCTTTAGACTTTCAAATAGAAACCATGAAACAGTAAGTATCGAAAAACATTTGATTTTCATAGGATCTTCGTGGTCAATTTTTTTAAGTTCATTCTCAGTTAAAGGATACTTAAGTTAAGCGTTCCTAGTGACCACTTTAGTGGCTTCATTGATTTCAAGTGAACCCTAGAGGAAGTCCGGTTCGTGTTTCTGAAGTCCGAGACAGAAACTTCACTTATCGAAATTTCTCAATAGAGCGCAAAAGCTCTATTCCTTAATTTTTCAAATTAATTCAAAAAAATATTTTCAAAAAAACGTTATCAACGTAAAATAGAGCTCTTCTCTTCATTTTTAAAAGTTTCATGTTCATTTCCTATCCTCACCTTGTTCCTAAATCGAACTCCATAGTACTTTTCTGCCGAGGCGAGCAGTTCCGGCCGGAAAGTGGTGGTGATGAATTGGGCGTTGTCGCAGAGAGAATGGATCATATCTGATAATTTTTCATCGATTTTTTTTTGATTTTTTGAATAATGAATCAAAACCGGCAACGGCTTTTCTGTGCTGAGCGTCCAGGGCGGCGTCGATTTCGTCGAACAAATAAAATGGGGCTGGATCGCACATCTTAAGAAAAACGCTTATTTTTGTATGAATTTTTCGAAAAATCCAAAAATTCTAACTCTTAAAAAAATAACCCTCAATTCGAACTTTTTGCCTTACTGAGGAACGCCAGAGGGGTCCCTAGAAGGGTTAGGGAAAACAGGTGGCAAGAAAGTGCTCCCTAGAGGGGAGAAATTGGAGTGGTCCCTATAGGGGTTGAGGTTTTGACACCTGAGCCCTTAAAGCCTAAGTGGCCCCTGTAGGGGTCTTCAAAATGGAAAAAGCTCCCCACATGGGATAAATTGGAGTGGTCCCTATAGGGGTTGAGGGTTTGACACCTGAGCCCTCAAAGCCTAAGTGGTCCCTGTAGGGGTCTTCAAAATGGAAAATGCTCATTAGAGGGGAAAAATTTTGAGTGTTCCCTATAGGGGTTGAGTGTCTGGCATCTAAAGTCCTTAGTGGCCCTTGTAGGGGTCTTCAGAATGGATGAAAATTATTCTTCTTATAGAGTGACAATAAATGACAAAAGCTCCCTTAAAGTGGCCACTTTTGCGAGTTTTTTAGCGGTTTTCTCCTAATCTGCCCCTCTAGGGACCACTCCGCCGTACTCTTTTCCATAGTTCACTCTAACCAGGACTTTGAAAATTTACCGGTCAATCTACCTTTGCAAGAGTTCTACTTATCCAGGATGATGTGAAAAAACTTCCTTTTTTTGAATTTTAGATCCAAGTGGACTCTTTATGGTTTACACTGATTCCTCAGAATATTATTATAATCAAACCTGGATAGAAAAGATGAGGGCCAAGGCGACCAGAGACTTCTGGCCGCCGGAAAGTTGTTGCATCTCACGCGTTTCGGCGTCTCCGGCGTCTGACGTGAAGGAAACCTAAGAAAACTTTAAATAACTCATATTTTGAAAATTCGTCTTAAAATTGTCCCAAGAACAAGAGAAAAAAATCAACAAGAAATAAAAAGAAAAGGTCTGGAAAAACATGAAATCCTTTTTTCATCACATTACTGTTTCCTAGAATGTTTATAAATTCGATCAATTGGATATTTATATTATTGCAAAGAACGTCTTTCCAAAAAGTTGGAATCGAAAAGAGGAACTTTCTTAAGTTGAAGAAACAATTTTTTTCTTGTGTTTTTTTAAACAATAATGATGGTTAGAACTTTCGAGGGTGAAAAAAATAAACCTTTTCAAGGGAAAAAAATGACCTCGGAAGATGTTATGGAAAAACCGAGAAAATGAACAAAAAAATCCTGGTCAAATTGGATTTTATCCCATATTATCTGAGCCATAACCGGGGGTGGCCCCTATAAGGGACACTTTAAAAACAAGTTCTACAGTTAAAAAAATATAAGATGATTTTTTTCTAAAGCTGGAAGCCAATTGAGGAATTATTAAAAGTTAAAATTAACGCCATGTTCAAAATGATTTCTTGCAAAATTATCTCTGACTCTCCCAAATTTAGTTATCATTTTCTTTCTCTGACGGCTATTTTGGGTTTTGCGGAATCAACACGGGATAAATTTTCCAAGAAAACTAAACTTATCTGAAAATTCGACCAGCGACGCCATATTTTCGTGCTTTTCATCTTTTATTGGAATTGAAACAAACCAAGATTCCGATTCCGGTGAATCTCTCGACGATATCGACGCCCCGACCGACTTCATCCGGAGTTTCGTCTCGCATTTGAATGATCAAGGTTCCTTGGCCGTGGGGGACCAGTCTTTTGAAAACTTCTTTGAAGTTTTTCGACACCTCAAATTATTTTTTTTGGAAAAATAAGCTCTCCTGAACAAAAAAGTACCAAAAGCTCAGAATATCTATCCAATTTTGCCTTGGAAATTCTTAAAATCCAACCTAAAAATTCCAAATTTTTTCAATTCACCTGCTTGAAGGTCAACTGGATCGCCTCGTATTTCCTCAACTCTAACGTTTTCAAAAGTTCTTCGATCGACTGAAAATTTCAGAGAAACTCCAGCTTTTCCTTCAGAAATCCCTACACTTTCGCTCTTTTTCTGTTCCTCCATTCTCAGGGTCAAGTTCTCTTTTTGCCCGGCTGCCGTCAGATATTGATCCAGGGCCTGGAAACTCGATTTTACTTTTATTTCAGGGTGTTTTGAACCTTCTTGTTGACATTTTCGTACTTTTTAAGCTCATTTATACACTCGGTGAGCCGTTTTTCGAGCTGTTTGTAGGACATGTTCTGGTATTTGGAAAACGCGTCCGTTGGCAGCGTTCCAAGTTGTCGCATCTGAAAAAGATCCTCATGAGGTCCTACAGAAAAGTCATGAAAAATTGAACCTTCTCGAAGAAAAAATCAGTATAGTCAATTTTTGCCGACTTGAAAGGCGAGATTGGCAAGGGTGGTGCGTTGCGTGTGCGACGCGGTTTTTGGCGGGGAACTCAAGGTAAAAAAGCCTTTTTTGACAGTTTATTCGAAAATTTAAATTCTTTATGGGTTTGATAAGATTCAGTTGAACGAATAAATGTATAAAAAAATAGTTGAAAAACTTATTTTTTTCCTACATTTTTTTCCCTAATTAAATTTGACCTCGAATTCCCCCCAAAAAGCCTAGGCAATCTAATCATCCCACGTTTCAAGTCGGACAGGAACGACTTAACTTTTTTTGCGTTTTTTTCTAGAATGTCAGCATTGGAACAGTCGTTGAGTTAATTGAAAAAGTTAAATAAACTGTTAGAAAAATTTCAAAGGAAAAAAAGTTCCCTGATGAACCTTGAGACGGCTAAAAGCTCGACAAATATCCCCAAAAAACCCCGTTTCAAAAATAAAGTCCGAAAAGGAAAAATTGTAAAAATATTTTGCATCGATACCCCCTAGAAAAAAACCACTGAAACGGGACTTTAATCGACTTTTACCTCATAAATCGAGTTAACTTTCTTATTTTCTCAATTTTTGAATTTTCTCGTTAATTTTTTTCCATGGAGCTAAAGCTTCTATTAGGACTCAAATTCATAATTTTTTTCTTTGAAGCTATATGATCCGAAATATTTTTTTATATCAAAAATAATTTCAAAAAGTTTTATCATCATTTTTTTGGCAAGGGAAAAATGACGAAAACTCCGAATGGAACTGTATTTTTTTTGGTTGTTTTTTTTTAAATAGAAATGCTTTTTCGCACTGAGATTAATTCAAACAAAAAAAAATCTAGAGAAGAAAAAAATAGGGAAGGTTTCAATCAAAATTTTTGAAGTTTCGCGCGTAAAAAGTCGCCTTAATGTATGACTCAACTCTGGTCGGGAAATCTCAATTTGCGTATTTCGCGAAAAAATTTCACGCTTCAATATTGAAATATCCGAAATCACTTTGAACTAGACATGAGAAATGTATCAAACATCAAATCTTTTCAACTTTCTCATTGACTTTATATGAAACTCCTTGCACTTTGAGCTGTTCCTTGTGATCATCTACCTTCTTCAAGCTGTCCTCCCTCTTGGACTGCAGGGAGGCGTGTTTGGTGCAGATCGAGTCGGACTCCTTGGCGAAGACGACGAGTTGCGCCTCGAGGTCCTTCATCTGCTCCTGGACGTCTTCGATCCGTCGGTCGAGGTTTCCCGACCGTTCTTCGTATTCCGAGAGGCCGTCTTCCAGCGACGTCAGGAGGCCTCGGACCTCCATCAGTCTGAGAAAAAGCTGTTATTTTCATTTTACAAACACATTCAAGGACTGTTTAATAGAGAAAATTATTTTTTTTTGAAGATTCATATGGAAAAATGTGTCTTTTAACGTCGTCAGAAGGCCCCAATTTCTTTCGAAATCAAAAAAATGGATCTCCCAGTGACATCAGAAGGGTTACATTATTTGGAAAAAAATGAAAAAAACAGATAAAAAAACTACTGAAATTTACTTTTTTTAAAATAAATAACTTATAAAAAAACACGATATAAGTATCACTTTCTTATATGATTTTATTTATTCGAAATTTCCAAATTTTAATTAACAAAGTTTTTTTTTTTTTCAAAATCCATTCTGACCAATTTCACGTCATAATTTTTTATTATTTACAAAAATTTCTGACAAAATCAATGTCTGAATTTCTCTGCGCCCTCTCTGTTTATGACTCTCTCTCATTTACGTGCTTGTTCTTTTTTTATAATGAGAGAGAAGAGGGCGCAGACAAGTCAGACGGTTTCAATTATAATTTTTTTAGAGAAAAAACTGTTGATTTCATTTTTTTTTTTTTACTTTTTAGACCTTTAGGAAAATTACAAGAATTACTCAGGATTATTCATATCTTTACCTTTTGTACAAGGCGGTAAGTTCGCCCTGATGAGACTGTAGGAGATGATGTCGTTCATTATCAGAAATATCATCGATTTTCTGAAAAAACCACTGAAAATCTCGATTTTTTGGCCTCAAACCGCCGACAAGTTCTCCTGTTTCCTCAACAAGTTCGTCTTGAGCTGATTGTCGAGTTTTCTTTTCTGAACTTCCAGCTGACTTCGCTTCACCGTCACCTCGTCCAGCTTCGGCCGGATTTTGGCGATTTCCGCCTGAATATAAGAAGATAAACCCATTCGCCGATTCTTAATTTAAAAAAACTTTTGAAACTTTTTTTAAAGCAATCTTTGCGAAAATTTTTAAGAATAGTTTTGAGCTTATAAAATTCGAAAGTATTTTCCTCATCCTTTTACCCCCCTTTCCGCCCGAAAATGTCCCGTCTCCTAACCCTGATTCTCTCGACTTCATTCTGCTCATCGGAGGTCAACTGCGAGTGCAATTCGCTGCCGATTTCGGCCTCATATCCCTTTTGTTGGGCAAAAAGTTCTCGGAGTCGATTTCTGAGTTGGACGAGTTGCGCTTTCTGGAAAAGGATACTCATGAAAAAATCGAACTTTGCAGAAAACCTTGGGTTCTTTATCCCTGGTCAAACTGTTAAAATTTTCATTGAGAGCTCGTTTTTGTTCGTGAAGCCGTCGATGCATTTCTTGGTATTCCGACATTTCGATTTTACGCTGAAAAAAATATTTTTGAACTTATTTTTGTAGTTTTTTTGGGATTTTATGAAGTTCCACAAATTTTCTAGCTACAAAAAAATTTCATTTTCGAATTGAAAAAAATAATTTTTTTTGAAAAAACGCTGAAAATTATGACATTTCGATAGTAAAAACTGGTTTTTACGTAATTAAAAAAAGCTCAAATTTGCCAAAAAAATTAATGTTAATTTGCATTTTTCCGTGATTAAACCTTTAATTTGAAAAATCGTTCGAGAAAAATATTTTTCCTGATGAAACTCGTCTTTAAAAAAATCTTTTTTTCAAGCCCTAAAATGCTGAAAAAAATCAATTTTTTTCAGTAGTAATTTTTGACTCAAAAAAATGACAAACTTTTCCCATTTTTTTAACTGAAATTTTTTTGAAAATCAAAATTTTACAACGAACAGCATGGATTTGGGACCGAATATTCTCCATTTCGTTGGTCTTTTTCCTTGACTTTCCGCTCAGCTTCGGCCAAGTTTTTCCTGAAAAAAAGAACGATTTTTTTGATAGATACATGAATAACAGAACCTTCAATTCATTGAGCTTTTTGTCGAGTTCTCTTTTGGCGTTGTGGATTTCGAGTTTGCACCGTTTGGCGTCCAGGTATCCGCCCGTGAGGGCTCCACGACGGGCCAACTAAACCATATTCCCGTTTCAAGTTTCGGTTTCAAAATTTTCAAAAAACTTTTTCGAACTCTTTGCCCTTCAAATCATGATAAAAAAAATCGAAGATGTTTAAAAAAAAAAGCAAAAATTTTGAATTTTCATCTTTTAACCGTCCAAAAAAACCACCCCTTTTTGGGTTCCTAGTCAGGGCCAACTAAATAATATTTCGATTTCAAGAGAATTTTTAAAACAATGAAAAAAATTATTTCTCTGTTTTTCACTGTAATCATAATGACAAGATCAAGAAACTATAAAAAAATATCAAGTTTTTCATCTTTCAGTGTGTAAATATCCTCGTCGGTCCAACTGAACCACATTCCCGTTTCACCTCGCAGTTTTTTTAAAAAGAAAAATTTTTTTAACGTTTGTTCTGCATTTGCCTTCAAGTCTTCAAAATTATCCAGCGAAATTCAAAATAGTCGTCAGACAGTGGGAAAAAGGCAACCAAATTTTTGGAGAGTCAGAAACAAAAAAATTTGGAAAAAAATGAAATAAAATGCACAAAATATGTTTTTTTCAAGCTAAAAATCAACCCCTTTTCCTAAAATTTAGCATATTTTCAAATTTTACCTGATCTCCATCCAGTGTCACGCAATCAAAGCCTTCATTCCGAACATTGTGGGCGTTTTGCTGGAAAAAAAATGTATATTTTTCTTTATTTCCCAACAAAAAAATCAAACATCAAGCTTTCGGACAAGGGCCGTTCCACCGAAAATCGTCCGGAAAAATCGCATCATATCTGGCGTCGTAATCAATGACATCCAACAAGGGTCGGGCGTCCTAAATTAGGGGATTTTGATGTGAAAATCATTAAAAATCCAGAAAAAGGCCAAAAAAAAAATCCGATTTTCTCTGAAAAGGAAGGTAACTTTATTTTTAATTGCAAATTTTCTAAAAATCAGTCAGATTCTTTTTGGACGTACCAGAAGAAAACCCTGAAAGTCTCAACCTGAAAAATACCTAGTTTTCGAGTAAGGAGACCACTAAGTCAAAGAAAACCCTCATAATTCGTTAAAAAGGCCATTTTGAATATTCGAGTCCTTATTTCTCGAAAAAAAAAACATTCAATCAGTAAATAGCTGAAATTTGAAAAAAAAAACAGCTTGATAAGCTTAAAAAATTAAATTTCTCAGCTTTCCTGAGTTGCAATCGGTTCAAAAAAAGCAGAAAAAAATAACGATTTCTTATAATTTTTTTATACATCTTCTTTATCATCTACATATAATTCAATAAAAAAAAGAATTCACAAATTTTGATCTCGAGAGAAAACTCAGGAAAAACTAGCTGAACCATCCCAAGAAAATTTTGATTTTTTTTTCTAAATCACTTCATTTTTTTTTTACCTTGCTGCTCTCGAGATGCTTAGGATTCGGCGCATGAACTCGATTCAAAGGGAAGAACGTGATTTCTCCGGGAAGCTGCATTTCGTTGAACTTTCTCAGGATTTTCGAGGCGATTCTTCAAAATATATGTTTCAATTTCAGAAAAATCGGTTTGAAACGACTCGAATGCCATAGTCGCACGTGGAATGGCTTGATTTGCTTGCAGGAGCACCCGACCAGAAACAACTTTCGCGCAGAGACATGGAAAGTTATTTGAATCTCTAAAACCGCCCTGCAACGCGACTTCTTGAGCATTCCAAAAGCGACCAGAGTCTTCTTTTGCTAATTAAATGGCTCGATTTCCTTCCAAGAGCACCGGACCAAAAACGACTTTCGCGCAAAGCTATGGAAAAGCACTAGAAAATGCTGTCTACTTTTTAAATTCAACCGCAACGCTTGAGCCATTCCAAGTGCGACCACGGTGTTCTATTCGCATGTGAATTTTAGGAGCTGCTTTGATTTTATTACGCCTCCAGGAGCGCCCACCCATGAACAACTTTCGCGCAGAGATATGGAAAAGCCCTAGAAAAGGCTGCTTCGGATCCTAATCAAACCGCAACGCGTCCGCGACGCTTTGAGCCATTCCAATTGCGAGCAGAATATTTTTTGGCATGTAAAATGGCTTGATTTGCTTCCAAGAGCGCCCGACCAGAAACAACTTTCGCGCAGAGTTATGGAAAAGCATTAAAAACGCTCCCTGGTCTCCTAGCCAAACCGCAACGCTTTGACCCATTTCAAATGCGACCAAAATCATTACCTATCATTATCGACGACATGGTAGAACAATCTCGACTGGGCGATCACTTCAACCGACAGAAAATACACTTTCTCAACGTACATCAGATCGATAATCGTTCCTAAAATCAAAAAAATCAGTTCGAAATTTCAGAATGAGCTTGGAGAATCGATGAATTATGGAAAAAATTGATGAAAATGAATTCCAAAAATCCTAAAATACTTGTTTTTCCATTTACCCAAAAAGCCTACCATGATACCCATTGAGAATCTCGTCGTACTCTCCATTTCCGTTATTTTCTCTGAAGTGGGCCAAGACTTTCAGGACGCCTTGTAAACCGTTGTAGGTCGGCTGCAAAAAAACTTATTGTAAATTCTCAGAAAAAAACTTCAATTTTCTACGAAAAAAAAAAGAATTTTTTATCACTACCAAGTTTTCCACTTTTTTTTACTCACTAGGGAGAAAAATTCAGTCACTCTTAGAAAATCAAACTTTTTATTACGAAAAAACATTGAAACTTTCAAAAAATTATCCATAATTCCACTAAAACTTTATTTATTTCTCTTGAGGTTCTAAAACTGGAATATTTAGATTCTTTTTTTCTAACACTGGGAGTTTCAAGTAACGGAAAAAAAAAAGTTAGAACCAAAAAATCTATAAAAACCGTCAGAAAACCGGTGAATCCAGGCTTTAAAGTCCGTAAAATCATAGAAAGAAAGTAGTAAAGATCTGTTTTTTCTGCCCAAAGTCTCAAAAAATGCATCTTTTTTCTTTATAGGCTGAATTTTCAAACGAAATTCAGTCGAAAAGGCCATTTTTTATTCAAAACAATGAACTCTGGGGGTCAGACGTCGCATCTGGTCATTGGTCTGTCCGATTTCAGCCTCCATGGCCACGATTTGATCCCTGACGTGCTTCTCTTCACGAGCAGCTCCCCTAAAATGGAATTTCGGTACGTTTTGCGCTGGTTTCAGAATACATTTGAGAAGCGACGGCACGGGTTTGTTCAGTGTTGAGATTTCCGAGACGATTGCTGGCGGCGTCGAGTTCCGACCTCGTTTCTTCCAGTTGACGGCCCAGATTCTGAATATTTTCGGTTCAAAGGAAGTCTTAATAAATGATGTTATGAATTATGAAACCACAACCCTGAAAAAAGGTGAAACTACTCTTTCTTAACTCCGTTTAATACTAAAGCCTTATTTTCCACTTTTTCAATTTTTTTTCCGTGTTAATCTAATCTTTTTCCTCTGTTTGACACTGAAAACGTGAGATTACTTTTTTTAAAATTCTCTAGAGTGAGTTTCATTTCCTCAGATTCTTTCGGCTAAAACAGTCTACACAAACTTCGAAAAATTTTGGGTTCAAAAAAAGTTTTTTTAAAAAAAGTTCAAAATTCGTACCTATAAACAAAAAAAGATCGTGGAAAAAAATGTGTAAAACTGAATTTTTTTGAAAAATTTTATTTTTTTAATTAATCCAATTTCTTCACTGCTTTATACAAGAGTCTATTCACTGAAAAAATATTTTTTTCACCTTTTTCGAGCTTATTTCCTGATTTTTCCCTGTTTGACAGTGCAACTATTCAACTTTTTTTTTCTTTTCGAAATTCCCCGGATTCTAATTCCATTTTCCGGTCATTTCAGCTGGAAGCAGCTTCAAGCGCACCTGGATCTCCGTGCAAAAGTTCTCGTCCTCGATTTCGGCCTCCTGGACTTCCTGCTCGATTCCCCTGATCTGCTCCTGTGTGTCTTCCGTCAGATGTTTCAGTCTTTTCACTTCCTTCGTCAGGAATTTGTCCCGATCTTCCGCCGAACCGAATTGATTTCTGAGATAATAAATAAGATTTCAGTTTCACAAGGAATTTGAAATTTGCGTTTTGGTCATACTTCTTGTTGAACTGTTTGCTGAAAACAACAAAAAAATATTGAAAAAAATATTTTTGTGAGGCTATGGAACAGGAGCCTAAAATATTTTCCCCTCTTTCTAAGAGCTTTTAGAGGGACCTTTTTCAACTCCTTCAGCCCTCCCCCAAGTAAATTTTTTTCGGTTTTTAAAGATTAACTTTCATTTCAAAATGTCTTGACGATGAAATGATTGAAAAAGAGAGAGAAAAACTTGAGAATTTCGCATTTTTTTACACTGGCGGTGTTCTTCTAAAAAAAGAGCTTATAAGGGTCCTCAAAAGATTTTTTTTTCCTCAAAAAAATGCTAAAAAAGGAGCTTTTCGAGGATTTCTGAGGTTCTTCAAAAAGCAACTTTTCAGTTTTACCTACTCTGCAACTTTCCAAAACTAACCTATGGCCTTGTTTGGCTAATAACTCCTTCATCCGGGTCTCATTAATCCGAATATCCGTGGAAAGGGACGATTCCTTCTCGACGAGTTTCTGAAAATTATTCTCTCAACTGAAACTTCTTCCTCCGAACAACCTCATACTCCGGCGTGACCTGCTCCAGCTCCGTCTGTTTCTGGAGAATCTCGGCGCGAAGTTGTTGCAATTCAGCGCCGGCCGCCGATTTGCTGTCTCGTTCTCTGGAAAACGATCCTATTTTTTCAGAAAGACTTGATAGATCAAAATCACTTTGCCGTTTCCTCCGTCAAATCCTGGACCTTGAGCTGCAATTGTGCCTGTTTCGCAACGATGTCCGTCTCCTCGGCGACCAGGGATTCCTGGGAAAAATACGTTTCGAAAAAAGATGATAATCAGAAGTAGAAATGTGAATTCATTGGAAATTGGTTAAGCGTTCTTTAAACATATTTAAGAAGGAAAAATTAATACAGAGCGCTCAAAAAAAATATTGAATATACTTTTTTTCACAAAATCATGATGGAACCTCAAAATTAAAGACATTAATTATCAAATTTCCCGAGAATTAGGTATTTGAGAAAAATTTCAGGTTTGACAACGAAAAAAAGTGATGAAAATATCATTTTACCCAAACTTCCCCTCTAAAACCCACTTAATTTTCATAAAAAATGATGTTTTTTTTTTGCCTTTTTTGGCTAATATTTTTTTTTTCAAAATCAATAAGCAGTTTTTTCGATTTCAAATCCCAAAAAGAAATATTAAAACGAGCAATTTCAAAAAATGAGGCGCGAAACTATCAAGTTTCGAAAAAAAAAATTCTCAACTGGTTAAATCAGAGTTCCTGTTAAACTTTGAGTGGAAAAATGAGCAAAAACGTCATTTCTGTCGTAGAAAAATCTGATATTCGACTTGGGGAAAAATCGTGCTCCGGGCGGTCTTTGCTTAAGTTCATCCCAAGGTCGGGCTTAAAAAAATGCCCGGAAGGGGAGGGGGGTCATATGTTGTCGGGCCGGCACTTGCACAGAGCTGCTTGGGACTTGATTGAAAAAAAGAAAAGAATGATTCTTGTCCTTGAAATTTTAAAATTTGAACTGGAAAAAATCGCGCTTCGGGGCGGTCGTTTTTTGCTTACGTTCACCTAAAAATCGGGCTGAGTCGGGCTTAACAAGGGCCGATATCCTGCCGGGCAGGCCCTCGTTTATCCCGCTCGGGACTTACTCGACAAAAAAAAGGGATTTTATCTCAAAAACTTGCGCACTGATTTTTTCTATTTTTCAGTTCAAAATCTGGTGCTACGACAAGAGCGAGTTTTCCATTTGCGAGCAGTACTGTATGCGGCAAAGCGCATTGCGTGCATGCCCTCTGCGTGTTTACACTTTTGTGGCGTGACGTCTTCGCGCCATACATCTGCGGGTTTTTGCTTGCGGGTTTTTCGGATTTTTTGAATTTTTTTCCGGCTTATTTATTTTTCAAAACAAAAAGAAAACTTTTTTTATTGACGAAAACTCTGTTTGTCAAGGGGGCAGCTTAGGAAAATGTTTCTTTATAGATAGCTATTAGGTCAACTCCACAAATATAGAAAAAGAAGTGAGCTAATATTGATATTTCAAAGAGGAAAATATCAAACAATTGCATCATAACAAATACCAGTAATTGAAATAAGTTATATCAAAAAAATAAGAAAATAAGAAAAATAACAAATTTTTACAGAACCACCATATCAAACAAAAAGTCATTTTTCCCAGAAAATCTTCAAGATATTTTTAAATGTACATTGAGAGATTTGAAGGGACTTGTCAGAAATTTTACGAAAATTGGTTTCTTGTACAATGCCGGTGTTGAGGGTGGAGGAGCAGGGACATATTTTTCGCCAAAACTTCCTTTGTGATTTCTTGTTGCTTTAAAATTGAGTCGAAAACAATGTCGTTAACATAATCGTCACTTTCCATCCTGAATTTCATTCATAGCACCACTTTTTTTCATTTCAAAATCTGAAAGAGAAAAAAAAATATGAGGAGAAGAAGAAGAACACGAAGATTTTTTTGAGGACAAAAAGAAGGCCTTCTTATGAGGTAAAAAAAGAAGTTTTCTTTTTGTTTCAAAAATATTAGCATAATCAAAACCAAACCGGAAAAAAAATTCAAAAAAAAAATTCCGAAAAAAACATTGAAAAAAAAACCCGCAAGCAAAAAAACCCGCAGATGTACGGCGCGATGACGTCACGCCACAAAAGTGTAAACACGCAGAGGGCATGCACGCAATGCGCTTTGCCGCATACAGTACTGCTCGCAAATGGAAAACTCGCTCTTGTCGTAGCACCCAAAATCTGTGAATTTATTGATATTTCAGAGAAAATTTGTGTAAAAAAAACTTTTTTTTAAGGAAAAATCAGAGTAAGATTCAATTCCAAGCCTTCTCCTCCTTCATTCCTCGTACATCCCGCTTGGGACTTACTCGACAAAAAAAGGCTTCTTCTCAAAAACTTGCGCACTGATTTTTTCGAATTCTCCCGTTTAAAATCTGTGATTTTTTTGATTTTTCATTGGAATTTTGTGTAGAAAACTTATTTTCGAAGTAAAATAAACCTATTGAAAACCAGAAAATCTTGTTTGATTCCAAACCTTTTCCTCCTTCATTCCTTTGAACTCGGCGTCGAGTTTCCTTTTTTCCGTCGCCGATCGAGCCGCCTGTGTTTGAACTTCCGCCAGTTCAGCAGTTACCTGAAAATCAATATAAACACCTTTTTTCTGACCAAAAAAGGACCCTATGGTTCCTGCTGGTGAGCTCCTCCCTCTGGTCGGCCAACTTGGACAATTCCTTCTTGGTTTCCTGGATCTCCGAGTCGTACATGGCGTACTCCACGCCGCGCTTCGTCTTGTCCCATTTTTGGTATTCTTTCAAATCTTCTTTCTCGTTTTCCAGTGTTTTCAGGCGTTCCTCGATGAATCTCAGCAGCTCTTCGATTTTCGCCGTCTTGATTTCTTGAAATTAACTGACTGAGCTTTGAAAAAATGCTTCAAAACTCTCTTATGAAAATTAATTCATATTGAATGAAATTTTTCAAGTTTTCTCCTACAAATTTTTCTTCTTCTTGACGCACTTTTGCTAAGAAATAAATATTGAATCTCACCGGAAATTTGCAAAGAGGTTCAGAATGAAGTTTTCACAACTTCTCTGAAAATTTGAAAATTTACTTTAACAATAAACTGAATTTTTTTATATTTCTGAAAAAAACAAACTTCAAACGCCAAAAAAATGCTCTGAAATGAAAAATTTTATCATTTCGCTGAAAAATTTCATAAATTGCTTCGATAAGTGAACTAATATTTGAGCATTTTTTTCCAAATTTTTTTACGAATTTGGCCTGAAAAAAATAACCGAATCTAACAGAAAAAAACGCTTCAAAATGAAAAAAATGTATCATTCCGAGAACTGAAAATTAAAAAAAGTTATTTTTGATAAAAAAATTTCCGTGAACAAATTTTGAAATGACCTGAAACATGTTCCTTGAAAAATTCACTGATCAGAGCGAAAAATTACTCAAAAATGAACATTTTATCACTTCGCTAACGAAAACTTCCAGATTCTAACGCATTTTTTTACTAACAAAAAAACAACCAAATCACACCACAAAAAGTGATTCGAAATGAAGAAATAGATCATTTTCGACTCTCCTCTCATGTATTTCAACAAAAAAACTAAAAAAATAAATTTATTTTTTTCTTACCGAAAAATTATATTTTTTTCTGAAAATTACGTAACTTACTCAAAAAGGAGCTTTGGAAAAAAATTCATCAATTTTTCCTCTAAAATAAAAAAAAATAAATTTTGAGCCAATTCATAGCCAAAAAAGCAAAAAGAGATGATTTTCACATGTCCGGAATCGTTGTTTTTTTCAAACTCTTATATTTATTATTCTTTTGAAACATTGATTCTAAATATCGAACCGGGAATTTTCGCAGAAATTTGAGCGTATTTAACAAGATTTTTGTGAACAAGATCAATTTTAGTCCTTTTTTGAAAGAGTAATGTTGTGAAATGACAAAACGAACTGGTTTCTTTCAAAATCTTCAAGCTTTCCTCCTTCCTTTCATCGTAGACACGGGTTCCAGCGACTTCCCGGAGAAGTTTGAGCCTGGAAAAAAAGAGAATTATCAAATTTTTAGAGAAAAAAATTTTAAAAAAATCCTATTTTTTTATCCAGTAAAATAAACTTTCTCCCTTTGGGAGAGCCAGGAGAAGAGAACAAATAATGAGAAAAAAAAGTGGAAAACCGCGTTTTTTCTAACTTTTAAGCAATTTTTTGTCAATTTTTCCATTCGAAAGCAGCAAATTTATAGTTATTTTCCAATTTAGGCCTATAAAACACTTTTTTAAACCTGTGAGAATCCGGCGAAGTTGCCAATTCATTGATTTTTCCCTGCTTGACGATATAATAAGGGTTGGAACGAGAGAATCCGGCAGATTCCATGAGATTCACGACCTAAAATGTACCATTTTTCAAACAACAGGCAGTGGTGGCGCTACAGGGGGCACGCGCCGGGTTTTTCTTGTCATGTTTTGCTTTTTTCGAGAATTGAAATTGTGAATAGTGGCCGCTAAAGGAGAGAGGTTCCAAAAAGGCAGCGAATAGGGTTCCTTTATAGTCTTCTATTTTTCTGGGATTTTAAAGGCTCAAGAAACGGTGGAAAAAGGGAGAGGCAGCAAAAAAGAGACTTTGTCAACCTGAAAAGAACATTTTTAAGGAAAATTATTCCATCCTTCCAACTTTCTGTTCATATCAGCTAATAAAAACCCCCTTTTTCACGATTCTGCATACTTTCATCGAGATTATTATGTTTTAAAAACAAATTTAACGGTAGAAAAAAATTATTCAACGATAAAAAAATGCTCTTCAAAAAAACTTGCATAAAATTATTTGAAATAAGTTTTTTAAAAAAATTGACGATACTAAGAAGTACTATGAAAAAAAAAAAAAACATTTGATAGAGATTTTTCTACAAAAAAAGGCAAAAAAATAAGAGCCAAAATCCCGGTGCATCCCCCTGCCAGACCCTTTTTCCAAACCTCGGCTCAGGGCCACCATTTTTATTATCGATATAATATTGGTCCTTTTTCTTGCCGATTTGACGGACAACATGGACCTCACTTGAATCGATCTGAAAAATGATTTTCAGCATTTTTATTCATTTTTTTCTTCTCGAAACTTACAGCGACAATTCGATGATCCGTATTATCAAACACGATTTCAACTCGCGCATGGGCAACCTTAACAAAAAATATTTTCAAAAAAACATGTTTTTTCAAAACCTTCGGTCCAGTACTTTCGTGGAGCATTCCGAGTTTCTGCTCCTCTTTCAAATGACTAAATTCATCGGACAACACGAATTGAATCGCTGTAAACGAATTTCTATATCATTCTAGACATTTTTCAACGGAAACCAAAGAAAAAGTTGGATTTTCCACTCCCATTCCGCCCCACGACGACATTGTGCCGTGGCGAGAAACCGTCGACCCGAGTATTGTCTTTGTAACTTCGAAAGCCAGAGATAATTACCTTAATTGATATTTTTAAACGATACAGTTTGAAAGAAAAACCTCTTTGATGAACATCTCTCAAAGTTGTGTGGAGTTAGGTCATTCAGGGTAAGAATTCACTGAAAAAAGTATTGAGAAAATTTGAAAAGAGACTTTACAAGAGTTTCTCTAATCTTTTCATTATTTATAACTTTTTCGAAATAAAATAAAGAAATTTCAAAAAATTTAAGGTCAAATTCAAAAATCATTTCATGAAAACTTGTAATATTGCACACGAAAATCATTTATAACCAAAAAGTAACACGGAGAGCAGTTTTTTTAATATCGAAATTCATTAATTTTTACTCATATCATGTCATTTAAAAAAATAAATTAAATTAAAAAAATAAAACAGAGGACCTTATGAAGACTACATCAAAGAACAATTAGAAAAGCATTTCTTGTGCACACTTTACATTTTCAAATCACTTATTTTTGAACAAATCTTCTCAGTTATTGAGTTTGAAAGACTTTGACAACACATTATATGAAGACAAATGCAAAAATATATAACGAAAAAAAGTCCAATAAACTTTTTGGCGCGTAAAGAAAATCCGCCCGCCGTCTCTCAACCACCGTGCGGCGTTTGCCGACAAAACCGGACCCGGATTCTAATTAACAATTTTAAGAAGAACTCAAACTATCTAGTTCCAAAGTGACGCTTTGTGAAAGAAAAATTTTATTTTTTTTGACGAATCAAGCTCTTTTTCAAAAAAGCTTAATGAAAGACCATTTAAAGTAAACTAAAAGTTTAATTATAGACCAATATTATATATTTAACATACAATATGCCTATATTGTTCATTCATGTTTTTCTTCCATTTTTATAACAAAAGATCGTTTCCAAAAATGAAAAGTAATCTCTAAACATCATTTTAAAAATGCGTAATTTCAGTTCAAATAAGTGTTTTCGAGAAAGTATTATATCAAAGCTTCTACTTTGATAGCAGTAAAGGAATTAATCAAGGATGAAAAAAAAAACAGAAAAAGCTGCGTAAAGATTTCGATTTTCACCAAAAAAGAACTTTTGAAAGTTTTTTGTTGTTTCGTAACTGTTTCGAAGGTGCATCAGTAATGTATCAACGTATGAATAATGGGAAAACCCTCCTAGATACATTCATAACTCATCGTGAATGGACAAATAGGTTTTTGCATCAAAAAATTGGAAGAAAAAAAACTTGTACTTTTTTTTGCACGTCGACTCCCATCTCCTCCGTGTTTTGTCCGCAAATCGTGTGTGCACATTGCGCTTTTACAGTAACACCAAAAAACAAACAACAATTATTAATTTTTATTCAATGTGAATATTACAGTGACGAAATTGAAAATGCCATAAAATTTTACATAACAGTCGCTATAACATGATTCAGAAAGTTTTACAAAAGACTTGGTTGAGGGGGGAAGAAAAAAACCGAGTCAAAATGGGAGTTTTTGAACATGGTTTATTTCAAATTTTTTTGGTTGCCCAGAGTCGTTTGAGGGATTTTTTGGGTGTTTGATGGCCAAGAAAAGAGCTAGAGGAAGCCTAAACGATTAGAAAGAGAAGAAGAAAGAGTGCAAACGTGCTCGACCTGTGTTTTTGATTGGTGTTGAGCGCATTCCTTGGAGAACAAAGGCACTAAATGTAATCGTCTAACCAAAATACTCGTCGAAGACAAAAAAGAAGAAGAGGAAAATGTACTGATAAACTAAAAAGGAGGATAAAATGAAAGATGATTGAGATGTGAGAACAATTGTGTAGTGATTGTGGGTTTTGTGCGTGTTTTTGTGTGACGAAGAAATTCTGTGCAGGTGCGGATTTTAGTCGCGTTTGCTCTTCTTCTCCACCGGCTCCACTGCAAATTCGAGAACCGTGTAAGGGTGCTGTGTCTTTTTTTAATCGAATTGTTCAAAAACCGAATTATTTTAGGCTTCTGTTATAGTGTAGTGACTGTGCACAGTTCCTCACAAAAAGTGACAACTTTTCCCATTTTAGGGACGCCAGAGTGGTCCCTAGAGAGGTAGTTGTAGCTTCCCTCAAGGGACCAGTTTAGTGATATTTTGAGTATAAAATATAAATTTTTTTCTTTCCAAAATTTTTCTTGAAATGAGCAAAGAATTTCAATTCGAAATATGCTGTTTCGAAACTCGAAAGTACGCTCTAAAGATAAATTTAAAAAAAAATAGATTTTTTTCTCTAAAAAGTGCTCTTTAAAACCCCGTCAAACTAGAAAATCTTTCTTTTCAATGATTTATGAAACACTAAAATCCTTTAAAACTGCCCAAACTTACCGTGCCCCAAAAAATCACACTCATTCTCTTGCTATTAATAAACTTTCAGGTAGAGTTAGCCCATGCGGTTATAGTTACAATTTCTATGAATAAATCGGTTCAATCAAATAAGACACGACTTTATCACTTATTAGACAAACAAGAACAGAGAAAAAAATAAAGTGGGTAAATCAATAAACATTTGGAGAGGAGAAGAAGCGAAAAAAATATGGAAAGGCTTGTGAGAAACCACAAATAAAAAGTAGGAATAAATAATAAATATTATTATTATCATAATGCGACGTAGTACGTGACCGTAACATTCTTACATGTGTGAACGAATAAAAGATGGATAAATACGTTTTTGGCAACAGGTCGATTGACAAGAACGAGGAATTTGTGTGAAGCTCGAACACTTGCGCAAAGACATATCAAATCACACACTTGGAAGGGAAAAGATGCCATTAAATCGATTGGGAGGAAAAGGAATAAATAAGGGGGGACGCCTACAAGTAGAAGAATGATTTTGGTCCCGTTGGAGACCACGAATACACGAGGAATTGCAGCCAGGAACATCGAGAGGAGCAGAAAGCACACAGATCAGAACACCCAAACGAACCACAGAGGTGGGGAGAGAATGAGAGAGAGAGTTGAGTAGGATTCAATACTAATGTCTGGTAGCTGAACTGACAGCTGTTGATTGGAGGAAAAATGGTAAAAAATTCATTTCTCCATGGAGCGCACGTGTGCTTAACTTTGGCGGCTATTTTTTGAGTTGAAAAAAGACAGGGAAATCTTTTTTTTTCATATTTAGTTCTTAAAAAGGTTTTTGTTCGATTGAGCAAAAAAAAACTAGGAAATTTTCTCAGTTTTTTTAGATTACAAAGTCAAAAACGGTACAAAACATTCTCCATGGAGCGCAAATGTGCCTAACTTGTCGGCTTTCTTTGACATAGCTAAAAATGAACCGAAAAGGTAGCAAAATCAATTTTTGCGAAAAAAAAATCTTCAAAAAGAGCTCAATTTTGAACATTTATCAACAGCTGCCCATCCAAATAATCATCTTTCATACTTTTTTGATGAAAGTCACACACGTAAGATGTTATAAATAAAATTAGAAAAACGAATGCAATCAGTATCAATCGAATATTAATCACTCTCATAACTCGTTTCGCAAGGCATCCGACGTCGTGGTGACGACGATCTGCGAGGGATCAACAAGGGGACCCATCAAGGCGTGCTGGATCTTCTCGGAGTACGGGCCGAGCATCCAGGCGAAGTAGGCCACCCAGAGGGCCCCGAGGCCGGCCAGACTCAGCGCGGCTCTCACTTTCGCGCCCGTCGTTTCAGGCTTACCGTCGATGTAGTTTCGGGCGATGAACTTCAGGATCTCGTCAAGCAGCAACACCGGCAACGAGATCTTCAGGACAGCGATCCATTCGGCCCAGCCAAGTGGAGTGATCTGAATACGATTTTCAGGCGTTTTCAAGAAACTCTATTGGATCGACTCTAATGGTGAAAAGTCCCACAAATTTCTGTCCCTCGTTCCGAGATAAGCCAATCAAAGGAAGAGCGAGAGTAATATAATGACGTCATTTCGCTTGGCATTCAAAATCTTGCTTTCCTGTTTCAGGGAATTTTTAAAAACCCAAGTTTGAAAGATAAATCAATTCACAGAGTAAATTTAAACATCGAAGTAAACTAAACTGAATCCGTCTGAAAATCATTGAGAATATTCTTGTGTTGTGTCTTTAAAAATCTAAAAAAAATATTTCTGAAAGTTTTGTTGAATTCTCAGTTGACAGTACTGATTACTAACGATCAAACAGGTCCTAGTTCGATTTTTCGGGATCTAATTTTAAAAAGCTCAAATTTCTGGAAAGTTCTAATCCCCAGGCTTCCAAAAACGACACAATGACCATATTTCGGTCCTAATCCCAAAAGTAAAGAATATCTGACCTGGAAGATGGTGGCCATGATGTCGACGTAGAGGATGACGAAGTGAAGGGACATCGAGAGGGTGATGGCGGCCAGGAGCCAGATGTTCTTCCATGGGGGCATCACCAACAGGGACTGGTTCTCAGAAAGGCTAGAAAATTGGGGCTATTCTGAGGAATGCTGAGGGATGTTCGTACGAGTTGATGGCGTTGAGCATCTCGATGGTGACCAGGACGGAGAGAGCCATGGCGTTGGGATGGTTGTCTTCGAAGACGGCGCAGTCCAAATCGGCAAAGTTCTCGGTTTCAATCTAGAAAAGTAATTATTGAAGAGAACTTTTTTCAACTTTAAAATTCCCAATCAGAGCCAAAATTACACTGAGGCTTTCTAGACCCTTATCCGCAAGATGAGTATGGTAAAAGCTTAAAAAAAATATCTCCCCAATCACCTCGCATCTCATCCAGTGAGTGAGCTGGTAGTAGGTGATCTGAGGTCCCTCCTCGTAGAGCAAGAACCACCACATGGAGGCTCCGACGGTGGCAACTCCGACGTAGGCTGAACAAGTCAACTAGAAACACGAATCTCGTCTGAGGCCGTTTGTATGAACTTTTAAGCAGCGTAAATGAGCGGTAAATTATGGAATTTTTCCGGAAATGCAAATCAGGGCATACGTGGGCAAGTAAAAGCTCTGTAAGTCCTGAGAGATTAGTCGGCTTGCTAGGGTACTAAGAAGACTTAGAAGGAAGTTAGGAAGCTGTTAAGGTCTGCCCAAGTATAGTTATAGGCTAAAACTGTTGATTGATGCAAGAAAAGAGAGGATTTTTTCAGAAGTTCATCAACGCTGCGTAAACGTTCACGCCTAAGGATTCTGGATACAAACTTCCGACAGCCAAGTAGCGGAAGAAGAGCCATCCGGAAATGAGGCCGTCGTTGGCAGATCGCGGGGGTCGGTCCATGATGTCGAGATCGGGCGGGTTGAAGCCGAGGGCGGTGGCCGGGAGACCGTCAGTGACGAGGTTGACCCAGAGGAGCTGGACGGGGATCAGGGCTTCGGGGATTCCGAGGGCGGCGACCATGAAAATTGAGACGACTTCTCCGACGTTCGACGAGATCAGGTAGCGGATGAACTGCTTCATGTTGTTGTAGATGGCGCGGCCTTCCTCGACGGCGGAGACGATGGAAGCGAAGTTGTCGTCGGCCAAGACCATTTCGGAGGCAGACTTGGCGACGGCCGTTCCGGATCCCATAGCGATACCGATTTCAGATTTCTTCAAGGCGGGGGCGTCGTTCACACCGTCACCAGTCATGGCAGTGATCTGGAAAATGAACATTTTATTGATTATTATCAAGAAAAAATTCATTAAATAGGAGAATTTTTTTCGAATTTTGACTCGGATCTCGTTAACGAAAACAGTACGGTTCTGAGTTTCTCTCTAGGGATCACTTAAGATCGCTGAAGCTACTAAAGTGGTCACTATAAATGCGCTGACACCTCCAATTCACGTTAAACGGGCCTAGAAGTAGACTTTAATGAGTTTGTCGTTTTTCTCCATAGAGCGCACTTGTTGGACTCAACAAGGCTCGAAATTCTAAACTTATTTTTTGCGTCATTTCAACTTCTCAAATTATCGTCTCCTAGGTTTTTTTCTATAAAAATCCAATAGCTTTCAAGCCGATAGGGTTTTTTTTCTCCATTTTTCTTCTTTTTCAAGGTCGCACCTCTCCGTGGCTCTGAAGGATGTCGACGATCTTGGACTTGTGGCTGGGCTCGACACGGGCGAAGAGTTTGGCGCGACGGCAGGCCTCGGACTGCTGCTCAGGCGGGAGGTCGTCGAACTCGCGGCCAGTGTAGGCCTTTCCGGTGGTGTCCTCGTCTTCGGTGAAGAGTCCGATGCGGCGACCGATGGCCTCGGCGGTGTTCTTGTTGTCTCCGGTGATCATGATGACGCGGATTCCGGCGTGGTTGCAGTCCTTGATGGCGGCCATAACCTCGGTTCTCGGGGGGTCGAGCATGCCGACGACACCAACGAAGGTGATCTCGCGTTCGTACTTGGCGAAGAGGGTCGAGTCTTCGAGGTTCATGTCCTTCTTGTTGATGGGCGTGTCGATGGTTCCGAGGGCCAGGCAACGGAGAGTGTCGCGTCCGGTACCGTACTGCACGCACTGGTCGACAATCTTCTGGGTCATGGCGGAGGTGAGCGGGATCTGCAAAAAAAATGTATCAATTGAAGAAAAAAAGGCTGAAAATTTAAAATGGAGAGAAAAAAGCTTAAAAGTTGAAAAGGAGGAAATAAACTAAGGTCTTTTTGACATGGATAATTTGGTTCATAAAAAAAATGAACGGTTTCAGTTTCGTTTTTTTTTTGTAAGTTAAAAAGGCTGAAAAATTAAAGTCTTCGACTGAATCTTCTGAAGAAAGAGAGCATGGAAAAATAAGAGATCGGCGGTTTTTTTTTCTCTGTACACACTCTCGTTTTGCCGTGCTCTCTAGCTATGACTCAAAAAATCAGGTGTAGGCTCAAAATCTCAATTGAAAAGGTAGCTGACAGAAAATTTTGAATCCTAAGATTCATTTTTAATTCTAAAGCTCAATGAAATAAGGAAAAGAAGGCTTGCTGGAAATGAAGTTGAAGATTCATAAGAAGAATTTTTCAGTTCAAAAAATCAAAAAATCAATAGGAGAAGGCCGAAACCTTCTGTCCGTTGACGCGAACGTGGGTGCATCGGCCGAGGACTCCTTCGGGAGCGCCCTTGACGAACATTTTGGCGCCGGATCCGCCGCTGGCTGGTGAGCAGTACGAAGACATGGATTTGCGGTCACGGGAGAACTCCAGGGTGAATTCCTGAAGACTTTGATTGTTCAGAGTTATTTTAAAGTTGATAGGATTCTTATAACTCCTTTGTTGGGCAAGAGTCTTCAATAAAATCTGACTATTTTGAGGAAGTACCTTCCAAGGGTCCTTAATTTTGCCTCTATAGAGCCCCCTCTAGATTTCCTAAATCAATCTTTCAGAAAGATAGCTGAACCAAACACGTCTTTTCATCAATTTTCCCTTCATAACCCCCTTCGATTCACCTTGGTCCATTTCTGCTGGATGACGCGGTTGGCGACTCCGCCGAGTTCACGGGGCGAAAGACCGGACTTGGGGGTTCCGTAGACGTTGAGCTTCTCGGCAAGGACGACGAGGGCCGTCTCGGTTGCCTCTCCGACCTTCTCGTACTGTTTCTTGGTCTCGTTGTAGTCGACGGCCGAGTCGTTGCACATCGAGCAGATCGTCGCCAGCTCGGTCAGGGCTTCGTATTCGCCGGCCGATGGGTTGATCTGGAAAAAAGGATAATTATCAAGTCGCTGTTTTTTTTTTCGAATTTTCGGCAATATTTTCAAAAGTTTCAAAACTGTCTGATTTTTTTGAAAAATAAAAGTCTTAAAAAAATGTAAAAATTTTTTTCGCAAAATGATTGGAAAATATTCTTTCTAACTGTCTATAAGCTTTCATTAATGTTCATGAATCTATAGCATTTTTTTGAAGTTCTATTTTTTTGAATTTTTCTCAAAAAAATTGTTAATTTCTTCAGAAAAAAACTGATAAAAAAATTTCCAAAAAAACTTGATTTTTCTTCATAAAAAAAAATTTTTTTATACGTTTGAGGGGACTAAAATTCAATATTTTTTTCAAATATTCATACTCTAACTTTTTTTAAAGTCCAAAAAAACTATGAAAATAAAAAAATTCAATGGATTTTTTTGAGCCATCTTTTTCGCTTCAAATGATCCAAACTACGAAAAAAACAATTTTTTTGTAAGATCAAATCTAATCCTCTACTAATTTCCTCAATCATGTCCATTTTGCTGACCTCGCGGTTGTTGTGGAAGATCTTTCCGACGGGCTCGTAGGTCGATCCGGAGATGGTGAACTCGTTGAAGACGATGTTGTCGCCGGAGGCGGATTCGGCGATGAACATCTTCGAGACGGACATCTGGTTGGTGGTCAAGGTACCGGTCTGGAAGGAGACGATTATTTTCGGATCATTTTTGAGGCGGAGACCTTATCGGAGCAGATGACAGAAGTGCAACCGAGGGTCTCGACGGAGGGCAGAGATCGGACGATGGCGTTCTTCTTGGCCATTCTGCGGGTTCCGAGGGCGAGACAGGTGGTGATGACGGCGGGGAGACCTTCTGGGATGGCGGCGACGGCAAGAGCGACGGCGATTTTGAAGTAGTAGATGGCTCCCTTGACCCAGGATCCACCGTGGGCTGGGTCGTTGAAGTGTCCGATGTTGATGGCCCAGACGGCGACGCAGATGATCGAGATGACCTGGAGGGAATTTTTTATTTTTTCGAGTTCGTTTGGCGTTTTTCATGTCTTTCAAGGCTGTCAGGGACTTAAAAATCGCTCGAATTCAAATTTTGTTCTTTTTTGTTTCCTAAAGTTAGATTTATGGTTTCTAGAGCCTTCAAAATCTTCTAATTGTAGAGAAAAAGCAAATTTTAGCTCCGAAATTCCAACTTTCTAGAAGACCTTTCAAAAAGTTCAGGAAACTCAATAAATCGTCAAAATCAATACAGATCAGGATCAGCTAGACAGCTTTCGAAAAGAAAAAATTTGGTTAGTTGCATCGTTTATCTAATGTTAACTGAGCTATTAAAAACCAATTTGAAACCGCAAACCCCTGGAAAACTTTCCTTTTCTGTTCGTTTTTTAAAGGCGTTACCTTGGAGAGCTGCTCTCCGAACTCGTCGAGCTTCTGCTGAAGGGGCGTCTTCTCGGTCTCGGTCTCAGCCATTTCCGTGCGGATTTTACCGATTTCCGTGTTCAATCCAGTTCCGAAGACGATACCGCGGGCCTAAAAAGTACAGTATTTTTCTTGATCTTTATGAGCTTTAGAAAAGATTTTTTTCAAGATGATGATCCCACCTTTCCAGAGGCGACATTGGTTCCGGAGAAGAGACAATTCTTCTTGTCCTGGTTGACCGCGCGTTTGTCGGGAACCGAATCGGTGTGCTTGATGACGGAGACGGATTCTCCGGTCAGGATGGACTGATCGATTCGGATGGTGGTCGAGTAGATCTTGACGAGGCGGAGATCGGCCGGGATCTTGTCACCGACTGCAATCAGCTTTTGCGTTGGGAATACGGATGATTTATGAAAAAAAAAATGTAAAAATTGAGAAAAGGAAGCTTTGAACTTCATTTTTAAGATTCCTTGGGAAGCTTCTAGAGGATGCTATTCATACAGTAACCCTCCTAGTCGAAATAGAAAAATATCGGTTTTTTTTCGACCTTATTTGGCTTTCTAGCGTTTGCATGAATGATTATGGCCGTATTTGGAATGGCTAAACCCAAATCAGACGAATATCGGTTTTTTTTTTTCCGGTTTCTTGAATGATTCTGGTCGCATTTGGAATGTCTCAACTCAAAAATAGACGAATATTAGCTTTTTTTTTTCCTTTTCAAGCTTTTTTGCGTTTACTCTAATGATTCTGGCCGCATTTGGAATGGCTCAACTCGTTTCAGTTCAAGCTGAAACTTTCAAAATCGCGTTAGTAAATTTTTTGAATCCGTCAGCCATTTTCTATACAAACTAAATGAAAAAAGTCATGGGAAATCGTCATTTTTCGCCTTCTTTCAGTTCGTACCTGAAACTTCGACGAGATCTCCAGGAACGAGCTCCTTGGCTCTGACCATCTGGATACCGTGGCCGCCAGATCGGACGACCTTGGCCATTTCCGGTTCGTATTCCTTGAGGGCTTCAATAGCGGATTCGGCATTTCTTTCCTGGAAAATTCAAACTTAGGGTGAGAAGAACCGAAAAAGACATTAATTCATCTCAAAAAAAACTTGCTTAAATTTCGGGGTTCTTTTCTAGGTACCTCTTTAAATATGATAGGTTTTAAACCTAATTTTCATTTTTATTCTTTTAGTCGTTCTAGAACTTCTTCCTCTTAAAAAAAGACTGAAATAATCAAACTTAAAGTGAGATTTTACTTCTACATCTTCCTTTTGTCATAATTGAACATTTCAACCTTTCCAAGCAAAATTCGATAATCCTACATTCTCAATCAAAATCAGTTTTTTTCTTCATAAAACGGTTGATTTTCAAAAACTCATAGTTTTTAATTTTAAATCGTCTTTTTCTGATCCTCTATCTTCATCCTCTCCAGCCTCTGCTGCTTTCAAATTTCCTTATATTCCAAGAAACAACCCTTTCTCTTCCTCAACGCTCCCCAAATCACCCCATGATCCGCTCAAATCGACACCGCCCGTGTCAGTGCGAAGAACACACGATAGCATGGAAGAGGAGAGGAGGAAGATTTTTTGGGGCGGAAAAACGAGAGCCGCGGGGCAGAGAGATGGGGAGGAAGCAACAAATTCTTACAACATAAACGGGAGGCGTCCCGAATGTTCGGTTAAACCACAGGAAAATCGTCTTCCAAGAGCAAAAAGAAGGAAAGAAAGAAGAAAGATCTGCACCTGCCAGACTCCGACGGTGGCGTTGGCGATCAAAATAAGAAGAATGACAAAAGGTTCGACGAAGGCCGTCACGGCTTCCGTCTGGTCTTCGTGCTCTTCGAACAAGGCCAATACCTGGAAAAATTGTTTATAACTCTCAGAGGAGCTGATGAATTGCGTTGTCTAAAAAGGCATTTTTTCTTATTCAACAGCTTTTTTTCATTAATTTTCAGAGTTTCAAATTTTTCGGGTCGCCCCGAGGAGTCTGCTTCAAACCGCGGGACTACCCGGAGCGCCCGGTCGGCAGCTCTGATTAGTCATTTTTCAATTATTAAAATCATCAGTGTTCATTTTGCTTCCGTTTTAGAAAAAAATAATGCAATTCTTCTAAAATCAAACTACAGAGAATCTTCCAAAGCGGCAAATTTTTTTAGAAACCTTTCGCGAATTACTAAAAGATAAAATTTCCAACAATTATTCCAAAAAAATGAAGTTTCTGAAACCGAAATCAAATATTTTTTTCTAAATTTTTTTCCTTTATCGGAAAAAAACTTCAAAAAAATCTTCAAAGGTTCTCGAAAATCCATATTTTGCAAGTAATTCACCGTTTTCAAAGAACAAGAGCTCAATTATCTCCTAATCAACTAATTAATTATCATAAAGCTCGGCTGATTAATCTAATCAGTTTTTTTCGCATCTCGTCTTCTATCGAGTAATATATTTAATTTACCTGATTTATCTCGTCTACTCGCTATGATGCTTTTTAAAAAAACTTGTGAGTAGTTCATTTTAACGCTTTGTGATCACATGGAAAAGATTTTTTTTCAATTTTCTACGTTATGAACTCTGAAAAAACTGCTCACAAAGGAAATAATAGCGGCGAGGAGGAGAATCTTGACGAGAAGATCGTCGAATTGCTCCAAAATCAGCTCCCATATTGATTTACCTTCTTCGGCGGGGAGTTCTGGAAAATATTTCTTAGTGAAGAAGAGAAAAAAATTCGACTAAACTTCATTCCAATCTATTTAAAAGGGGGGAGGAGGGGTTGAGATGCATAGTTCTTCGAAAACTGGTTTTATTTGATTGTAAATTTCCAATTTCTCCAATTTTATATTTCCGTTTCCCTCAACTTTTTCTAGTCCGACTTGAAAAGATGGGAAAAAAATTCATTTTCAAGTAAAAAGTAAGCTTTTTTTGATCAAAACTACTCTCACGAACTCAATTTTATTAAATCAAAAAAATATTTTTTTCTCCGGTTTTTTTATATTCCAATCTCCCATTAACTTTTTCCTTTTGCCTCTGGAAGCTAAAAAAAAATTTCCAAACCAAATTCGAATAAAAGTAGGCTTCATTGATTCAAAATATTCTCACAAGCTCGATTTTATGATATTTTAATCGTTTTTTTCTATTCGTTTTATGCTCCAGTGTCCCCCTATAACTTTTTTTCTTTTTCATTTCTATCTATCGCCGTGGGGCAAGATCGATGAAAGTGAGGCGGCTGAACAGTGTGAAGTGAGGAGAAAAATGATATGCCCGGGGACATGGAGCAAATGTCGGCTTTCGCAGTTTGGGCCCGAGTTGAGCCGAAGAGCGACAGCGGGGCCCAGGGAAAAACCGGAGGCAAACGGAAAAATCGAGCCGAGATTTTTGTGTAATTTCTTCATTTCATGGCAGGCGATTCGCGCACATTTCGTCATTTCTCGTAATAATTCTATTCATTTGAGATCTTTGGAGAGATATTTTTGAACACTATACGAAACTTTCAAGGAAGCTTTTGGAAAACTCAGTTAAAAAATTTTCAAATTTTGTTGACGCGCTCCGAGCGTTTCTAATGCTACAGTACTCTTAAGTGATCCCTAGAAGGTACTGTAACTGTTACCATGTTCGAAGAAATAGAAATATTTCGAAAAGTTATGAAATTCTTGCGAAAAAACTAGAAATCTTGATGAAATTCACAAAAACTATTCAACTAACATTCTAAAAAATAAATCAATTCCAATTAAAAATAATCATGTGACAAATATTTCCAAGATTTCTACAAGCGTTCAAAACAATCCATAAAAATCAATTCCAAGTGCCATTTTCCTTGAGAAAAAAGCATCACAAACCGTTTTCTCCGTGCTTCTTGCGAAGAGTGATAACCTGATCTTCGGACAGACCCTCCGGACCCGTTCCGAAAAATTTGCAGACCTTAATAAGTCATATACCTTTCAAAAAATATAAGGATTGACAAACTTCCTCTGCCGACCTGGAATGCGCGTCCTCCATGACGACGACGGCTGTACCCAAGTGGATATATTACCACAGTCCCTAAAAATATAAAAATTCGAAAAATAACACAACTTCAATCGAAAAAAAGTAGAAGAAACGCGGAAATTCAATTGTTTTTTGCATGTGGAACTCGAAAAACAAGGTGTCTCGTATTTGAAATTCAAAAAATTCGAGCAAATAGTGAGGGAAAACGAAAGAAAGAGAGAAAAGACGGAATAGAGGTACAAGAAAATACAAAAAATGGAGAGAAATAGAGGGAACGGGGAAAAATCGAAATTAGAACAGGAAAAGAACGCCAACATTACTTCCAGCACAGCCAGTATTCCGAATTGTCAACGTCTCCCAAGGCGCGCGCGTTGCGTGACGCGAATTGGCGTCACCGCATGCTCCTTTAATAGCGTCGGCCCCGTCTCGCCTTTCCTTTCTCGGTTCGCGTCGGGAATTAAAGCAGTTTTGATGAAGATAGGAAAACGGGAAGAAGCAGAAGAAGAAGAAAGTGGCTGGCGTGGCGCAGCATTTTTCCGTGTGTCTTGAACCGAGGAGCCGAGTACCTCGAGCTCTCTCTTGGGGGCGGAGCTAGAGCAACTGGCGGGGAGCAGCAGCAGCCTCGGGGCAGAGAGACGACGACGAGGTAAATGACTGAACGAGAGCCCTTTGTCGCGATCGTAACCCGGAACAAGGTGCCAACCGACTGGCATCCAAGCCAAACTCTCTCCGTTCCGCATCGTTTCATCGCAATTCCAAGCGAAAGACAGCGTTCTTCTCGTCTTTCGTCTTTGTTTTCGCCCTGGTTCTTTTTGATTTATCGATACGTTATGTAATCAAAGCAATATCTTATCGAAAGTTATTACCCATTAGAAAAAAATATATATTGCGAGTTCGAGCCAGCTTCCTTACTCGAAAAATTTCTTTATTCTCATTTTTTCAAAAAAAAAATTGAGACATAAACTTCATAACATTCAAAAAATGGAGAAAAGGCAAATCTTTTGAGCTCTGGAATCAAGAACAAGTTTCGTGTTTTAAAAATGAAATAAATATTCAAAATATTCAAAAATAAAAGCAATTTTCACTATATTTCTCCTAATTTTCAAATAATGTAAATCTTCTCCTTCTATAGCAATACAGTGAAAAAATCCTGATTTAGGATTTATGAATCAATCCAACAACCTGAAGAATGGAAATAAATAGAAAATAAGCGAGAAGAAATCCACTTTTCATGAATTTTTTTTATGCCTAACCATTATCTCGCTAAATTTCATTATGTTGCGTAGTGAAACCGACTTCTTATCGGAATTTTATTACCCTTCAAAGGAAAAAAAAATTGAGCTAGAACAAAGATTAGGCGAAAAAATCGCTCCTGGCCGTTAGAAATCCTTTCAAAAATCTTCTTTTTATGTTTCGCAAGAACTAACTGAGCATATAAGAACCGCTTTGAGTTGAAATTTATCAAAAACTTGGCAAAGCCTCGAAAAAAGTTGCGTTTCTGTTCTGACGAGGAACTGACACGTCACTGTTTTTTTTTTCTAGCACGCTGTTCCGAATTCTTTTGAAAGAGGAACTCGGACACCACTGCAAACGGATATTTAGTCCAACGATGCGGAATTTGTTGAAATATTGACTTTTGATAGAACAACTCTGCTTTTTGATTTGAAAATACTTGAAAGATTGAGTAATGATTCTATGAGTCTTGAGAGAGGGTTTCGAAGAAGGTTGCAAACAAAAAACATTTTTTCATTAGGAATTCTCGAAGAACATATTAAAGTGACAAGATTTTCCAAACTGCAAACAAAGTTTACAATCACGCGCGATGCACAGAAAACATGTCAAGCCGCGACAACAAGGTGATTCTCAGGTTTTTTGAGGAAAAAAGTAGAGATCTTCTTCGATTTTCTATCTCTCTCAAGTTATCTTTCCGGGCCGTAATCAATTATCAAAGTGGTTCGCAACTTGATCAACTCGCCGTTGAAAATGCGGAAAAGTCGAGAAAAGCGTAGACACAAAAAGCCGAGATAAAACGAGAGTGGCGCCGACGAAATCTTAAATTTGCCCTATCCATTCCGTCACGACAGTGCGCAAATAGAAGAGAAAGTTATCCGTCTATATCAACCCATTTTTTTACGAAATAAGTTTGTGGAAAAGGCGAGAACGTCATCGAATTGCGTGGGCACGTTTTGGGAACACAAAATGGTCCGATTTTGTCGCGTTGGTCCGTCCAATGACAGTCTTTAGAAGGTGATAAATCGATAACTTTTGTTGAAGACTGATAAAAAACGTGACGTCACGGTCGGCATGTGATAAAGATACAAGTTTTTATCACACAGAACCGTCCAAAGTTTGTGCGTGCACTTGGATTAGGACTTTTGTCGGGTTGAGTGCGAGTTCTCACCTAAATGGACTTTTTATCGCCTTTAGGTACTAAAACGATCATCTTTTTTTGGACCTAAACACTTTGATTCTATTTTGAGATTTGAAAATAACTGCAAAAAGAATTTAACATCAGATGTAAAAATTTCTACGACAATCAAAAATTATAAAAAATAGTTAATAGAGTCATGTGAATGTGAGCGAGCCTCTATTATTATTAAGGGAATGAGAAATACGCGTCATGATACAAGGTTATCAAATAAGGTAATCAGTAATCGCTGTGGTTTGCGTTTGATAGAAACTACTAGGCGGTTTAAGAGATTAGTATAGAACGAACGCAAAACGACTGAGAAACGCGTCATTACTTGGAGACGACTGATGAAATATGAACCAAAATCCAAATTCCCACAAACCATCAGATCCGCTTCAATATTAATCTATTTCTGAAAAGAAATAACAAGAAAAGATAAAATTCTGAAAACTTTCTGTCAAAGAAATTGAAGAATTGTCAGCGCCAAATGATAAAGCGCTTTAAAATATGAATTTTTCAAAAATTCATTTAGGACCGGATAACTACAATTTCTTAAAACATCAAGAAAAAGAAAAGAACGAAACGAAAATAAAGATAAACAGCTTGAAAGATTGAAGAAATGAAAAATTTTCGATATTCTAGAAATGGGCGTTCGAAGCGGAATGTCGTTTGGGAAATTGACGACAGAGCGACCTTTCGTGAAAAGCTTCGTTATTCGGTTCAATTTTTTTCGACAATTTTTCTATATTTTTTTCTAATCTGAAGTGGACTCATGGTCCGTCATTGAGCCACTCTCGAAAAACACGATAAATTTTGCTATTTACAGTTAACTCGAATGTTGTTGTGTTCGGGATTCCCGGCTAACAGTTGGCGTTCCTCAGCTAAATATAACACTGAGGGTGGTGGATCGCTTGCCAAAAAACAAGACAGTTTTTTCCGTTGTCGCTTCAAAAAAATAAAGAGAAAAAGCGGAACCAAGGGGGAAAACGCCAACAATACGACTTTAAAGAAGGGGAGGGCGTGACGCCGTGGAAATCTTTTCAGAACTTGCCGCTGTCGGGAAATTCAAAATTTTTTCGGCATTGCACAAAAAGAGAGCGGAGAAGATTGATAAGCACTGGAGAAGACATAAAATGGGCTTTTTTTGGTTGAGAATGAGGCTTTTTAAGGTTTCTTTCTCGATTGAGCTGTTTTCCAAGAAGAAGTTTTGGGAAAATGGCTTTATCAGTTGACTTTTTCGAGGTTTGAAGAAACTGTTCGGGGTTTTTCAATGGTTATGTGCTAATTTATTTTTTGATTACTATTTTAAAAGTTTTGAAAATTTCTAGAAAAAAGAATTAGTGAAAGGAACAGCCAGGAATATATCGAACCTTTATGAAAACGGAAGGGCCTTGGGATTTTTTCCCAAAAATATAACGATTTTCGAATATTCCTGAGAAAGAAATGTGCTTTGAGAAAGTCTCCAAATGCCGCCAAGGGACATAATTCGACTTACAGGCCAGATAAAAATCCAAATAATGTGAAAAAATCGCCGAAATCTCATGAAAAGCGGTGTAATTAGGGTTGGAGCAAAAATGCCGTGACACTGAAAAATTGCGTCTTTTCGTCGGCATGAGACACCTGACGGTGGAACTATCGTCGATATAATTGAGATGGGTCACGTCTCGAGCACGTGAGCTTCTTCCGGGTCTCCCGAGGGCAAACTCTTCTCTTTGATAGATCAATTTGTTCCTTCTTTTTCTTTTGACAAAAGGTCATTTTTTAGAAGCATGAAGTTCTAAGAACATCTTTTATTTTAATTTTTTCTCCTGATCAGTTTTCTTCTTCCTTGCTGATTCCAAAGCAAAAAAATTACTTAGGAACGCCAGAGGGATCCCTAGAGGGTCAGCCTTACGGACTTTTGGAGGTTCCCCTCCGTGGTGCTAATTCACTCCCTCTATCACATAAAATTTAACTTCCTAGGAAGCTATATTTTATCCTTCATAATGCCTTTTGAGCCTTGTAGGGACCATTGGCCCTTACAAATGTTTTATTTATTGTAAAATGAACAAACTGATGATAATGAGACCTTTTCATAAAACTGAACGTTGAAGCTGGAAAGTAAAAAAAAGAACAATTTGGACAAAAATCAAAATCAAACTCACTTTCTGCTTTCTGACTGAGTGTTACAGAAAGACAAAAAAGACAACAAATTCAAAAAAATAGTAGAAATTTCATGAAACCAGCTCAAAAACTTCGATTTTCAAACTTGAAACAGAGTTGGCGGTTTTTGAAGATATATCTACGCTCCATTGATAAAAAAATGCTCCAAAAAAACTGAAAGGTTTCGTTTTCATTGCCTAGCTTCCCTTTTTCTTCACTCTACACGAAATGTTTCTACTAAAAAAATAAAGACTTGAAGATTTATTTTTTTGTAAAAAAATAGGTCGAATTTAAAAAGCTTATACGGTAGATAGGGGTCGAGATTTAGGGAAGTGATTTATTCAAAGTGACTCTAAAAAAATATTTAAAATCTCACGTTACAGGTTGAAGTCTTACGCTTAAGGTGAAGATTTTTTTCAAAATTAACCCTTTTTTTCCAAAAATTTCGAAGAGTAAAAAAAAGAAGAAAAAAAGTTGAGAAAAAGGTTGACAGATGGATCAAGAGGGCGGAAATGAAAAGTGGGCGTGGCTTGATTGCAATGGAGCACAGTCTCTCCCTCTCCTTCGGCGATGGGCTCACACGGAGCCGCCGAGCCTTCGAAATTGCCGATTTTTGTGTAATCCGAGGGTACGTCAAACCTTCTCGCCCCTGCCACACGCACGTCTTTTGCCGCGACGGATCGAGGTGAACGAGAAAAAAAAAGAAAAGAAAAGAAAGCCGAGGCGAAAATTCGTAATGAACGAGGTTCAATAGGATTGATGATTGGGGGATCTTTTCAAGTGGCTTTTTTTGGTGTTTTTTTCCAAAAGCATAATTCTTACCAGGAAAATGGCCTCCGGTCACAATGAGACTTCTGATTTTGACCAGCTTTCCTAGATTTATTTTTTCAAAGGGATTCTAAATCTGGTCTCAAAAACTACCGAGAAGATCTGTGAAAAAAGTTAGATGCTCTCAAAAATCGATAAATTCGATGTTACCGATTGAGCTCAGTTTCAGATGTTATGCAGATCTCTTTTTCTAGTATCATAGAATCAACTACTTTTCTCAAAATGAATTGATTAGATAGGATTTTTCAATAAACTCAATCAATCAAAGACATTGAATTTTTGACTTTTGAGAGCCCCTAACTTTTTTCACAGACTTTTTCGGCAATTTTTGAGACCAGATTTGGAATCTGCATGAAAAACTACACCTAGTGAACTTGGTCTCATTCAGAAGTTCCACTGCGACCGGAGACCCTTTCCAGGTTAGAAAGAAGAAAAAAAAACTGAATTTGAGAAGTTTTCCGATAAGAACTCCCAATTTGAAGGGATCTCATGATCTTTCTCAAGCAATAAAAACTCTAAAAGAGAAGCTCATGGTCGCACTGAGAATGATTCGACGTGGAACGGCAGTGTGACGGCTCCTTGTTGACGCACCCGACCCAAAACTACTTACGCTCAATGGAATTGGAAGGCATCAGATCAAGCTGATAAATGTCGGCTGTACACCAGTTCCCAGCCGCAACGCGACCGCGACGCTGCGAGCCATTCCTCGTGCGGCCAGCAAACTCCAACTTTCGGCAAATGAACTGTTCAAAAACTCGAAAAAGCGAGCAAACTTTGAAATTTCAATTTTTTCTAGGGTAGATTCAGGCTTTTTTTTTCCAATCTACAAGTTTTGCTGTTTGTAAATACGCTAGAGGCGTCACTATAGTGGTTAAAAGGAAGAGGCTCATATAGTGGACATAAAAGTGCTCCCTATAGGGCTAAAATGTAGGTAGGAAAATAACCAGAACCCCAAGGTGGGCACTTTTACGACCTTTAGTGTCTCCTATAGTGAGGCCCTTGAGGGAAACCTACAAAAGCCCCTCTAGTGACCACTCTGGCGTTTCATAGGCTATGACTTTGTCTAGTACAAAGAGTGAAGTGTGAAGTTTTCGGGGAAATGTTTTTTAATTTTCAAAGTTTACATTACCTTGGATTTTGCACCTGTCCTCCTATGCTTTTTCTCGAAAACTATGATTTTTATTCCTGAGAGAATTTCTTTTTCTCCTTCTTACTGCTACTTTGCTCCCGTTGGAATACCTTCAAAGAGAAAAAAAAAGTTGTAAGAAAATCGCTTCTGCAGGGGTCAACCTCAATGACGTCAAACGAATGAACGCAAAAAATAACGAGACGTTTTACAACTGTCTTCGGAAATGTCATACCTCACAAACGAGCTTTTTCACTCGGGATCAACCTGATATTCTTTTTCAAAAAAAAAAGAAGGTTCTCTGAAGTTTGTCTGTATAACCCGTTCTCAAAAAGAAAGGCCTTTATGATTAATAATATATTCTTTGCTTGAATTTCGGAGAATTGGACACTACTCTTGAAACTACTGAAAAAAAGACTCAACTTGGAAAACTTGCTAGTTTTTAAGAAAAACCATTAAATTTCTGAAAACGGGCAACCAAATTTTTTGCTATTTTATACACTTTTTGAACCGATTTTCGTTTTTTTTTTATCGGAAAATAGAAGTTTGACTTTCCAGGACCTTTTTTAAACTCCGAAAAACATTTCAAAATAGAAAGATGGCAAAAATCAGAAACTTTTGAAAGTCGGTTCAAATTTTTAACCATGGGGCACACATTCATCGGTGTAGGACAAACCGGCGGCTATTTTTTTAAATTTTTTTGATTTTTTTCTGCTTCTGACCATAAGAACCCAATAATTATCAACTTATCAGTTATATTTTGGCTGATGATCCAAACCGAAAAAAGCTAAAAATTTTCAAAGAAAAAAATCTTTGACTCTTGCACAGGATGTGTTACAAATTAAAAAAATAGAATTCGAACCGATGAGTTTTTTAAGGGTTTGGAGGATCATTAGTTTTGAAAGAATGCTTCGATTCGGTTGATGATTGATGGCTTCAAAACTGAAAGATCACTTGGGAGCGGTTTTTTGAAGATAAGCTGCTAGTTTCAGAAAATTCCGAATGAAATCACCTTCCACGGGATTCCTAATGGGGTAAGGGAGGCGTTAAAGTTTCTGAATTTACAAAAAAAAAGTAAGTGCGCGCGCCGGATAAAATGACGTCATTCTAAGTCAAAAATTACACTGAGTATTCAACGTTAATAGCTTGTTTGTTCGATCGCCTTTGGCTGCGTACTTGAGATTTCAATTTTCGCGCCAAATTTTTTTGACGTCTCCCCATCATTTTTGGGAACGCCATGACCTGTCGTTTATCGAGAACTCACAAATTCTTCTTCTTCTTCTTACGCTTTTGAAACGCTGAGTCGATTATAATACAGGGGGGTGCAATGTAGGTGCAATCCTGATGTCAGGGATGACCATTGGATCCGCTTACGTGACATATCCATCTTTGGTAGGGATTCTGAAGCCTTTGTTACCTCCTACCAAGAAACCCCTTTGTTGGGTCGCTGTGGGGATTGAACTTGTGACCCTTCGAACCGTAGACATGCACACAACACGCGCTTCTAAGCATTCAAAAATGAATAAATAAATAAATAAACAAAATCCTCAGGCAACCCATGCAAAACGGAACGCCCACGACGGTGTCGTCCCGTTGCATCTGTATTATTACGAGAGCTGAATCACCGGATGAATCATTCCGGTCCCGTAGATTCCCATGTCGGTTTCGTCGTCGGCTGGTTGGAAATTCCTTTCCTTTCCCCTGCTCCCCACCCGATAACCGTTATTGTTTTTCGACACTGCTTTTCTTATCGATTTGAATGCTTCTCTCATCGGTTTCTTCTCTCAAAATTATTATGTATGTAATTTAGTTAGCATAATGAGTGGGAGGGGCATTATTATCTCTATCAAACGTCTTCGTGGGGTCTTTTAAAAAAAAAGAGTGAGAGCTTTTTCTTTTTCGGAGGAGTTGACTTTTTCGCATCAGATTATATAGTCAATGTTTCCCGACTTGAAAGGCGAGGGAGGCGGGGCAGGGGGCGGGACGCGTAGCGTGTGCGTTCGCGGTTCTTGGCACGTGTTCAATTCAACCGCCATCTATTCTTTGGAAAACCCGTTTTTCGCTTTTTTCATTCCTTTTTCAATTATTTATTGATCGTGTTCATGTCTGCATCAAAAAATAATAGAAAACATTGAAAAAGAGCGGTTGCCGAGCTTTTTAAATAGTCGGCGATAATTGAATTGAACACGTGCCAAGAACCGCGAACGCACACGCTACGCGTCCCGCCCCTTGCCCCGCCACCCTCGCCTTTCAAGTCGGGAAACATTGACTATAGAAAAATTCATGAAAGAGTTTAGGGACTCCAGAGTGTTCCCTATAGGGGCAATCTTAGAGGCCCTCGAAGGTTCCCTCTAGGGACCACTTTACCTTCCCTTACAGGGACCACTGAAGCATACAAAAGTTAGATCTTGGACCCTTATAAGGGCCATCTAAGTTTTAAGTGCTTCGAGTGCTTTTTTGTCCCCTATAGAGGCTGTTTTCACCCCTAACTACTATAGGGACCACTCTGGCGTTCCAAAGAAAAATGAAAAAGTTAGCAAAAAACTTCAATAAATTCCAATTCGACTCAATAGAGTTTGTAATTTTGTATAGCCGATGGATCCGCCAAGAATGGCTCAAAGCTTGCTTGATGTAAGGCGCGCCCGACCTGAAACGACTTACGAGTAGATGCATCTGAAATCGTTATAGAAGCTTAAAAATTAGTATTCAATCTAACATTAATGCAACCTCAAAGCTTTGAGCCATTCCAATTGCGACCAAAAAATTTAAGTCAAGAAAAATGAAAATCTTCCTGACTTTGAGCTTATTAAAACGAAGCTTTTCGTAACGGATGTCTTTTTTTTTTGGATTTTTTCCAATTTTTCTAATAAAAAAAGTTGTTTTTTTTCTTTCTAGCTTCATTATCAAGCCCGTCTTTCGCTCCAATTAAGTAATTTTATCGGAAATTCCACAAATTTATTGAATTATTTTCGAAACATTAGAACTGAGTTCATTGTGACGCCCACAAAACCAAAACCAAAAACTTTAACCCCTATTTTGACAGCTCATTCCGTTTTTATCATCCATCCACCGGGCGAGCAACAAAGTTCCATGGAAAAGCAAATAGCCGCAGGCCACAAGCGTCCTAATACTTCACATCGCCCTTGGCTGTTCAAATATTCGTGTTTTTATGATCTTTTTGGACTAGAAATCGGTTTTTGGAACAAGAAACCCTGTGAAAAACCACTATTAATCGCCACTTTAAATTCTTTTTTTTAAAATTATCTACAATACTCGAAGTATTTCTTTTATACAAATCAAACTTCCTTGAAAAATTGCAAATAGGGTCCTCTCCAAGTATTCTTTGAGGAACTCCTTAAACAGTCACTAGAGTTTTCTTAATTGGAAGGAAAATATTTTGGATATTTCCGTCATTACTAACGCTGCGCCGCAACTTGCGTGGAGCTCCGCCCACTTATCTCTGCCAGCCCTCCTTTTTGCAGAAATCGACTTCATTTTTATTTTTTTCTCATTTCTAAAAGTTTCTGCTATTTTCGAGCCGCTCGAAAAAAAGTAAAGCAACTATTGAGTGTAATCTCCGATATATTTTTTGTCCATGCCACTGTTTTTCCCCGGGCTTTCTCTTCTTTTCTTTCTTTTTGCGTTCGTCCAAAGTTTGGCTGTTTTTTTCTGGTGTGTCTGTTGTTACACATGAGAAGAATACGCTCAAGGAAGACTCTTGGCGGATTTTTGAAGAAGACAACTGACCTCTGGACAAAGATTTTTATCTGGAAAAAGAGGGAAAGACTAATTTTTTTCAAAAAAATTTTTTTATTTTTTTCAAAAGACTCGGGAACATTTTATTGACTTTCAAGTCACATGGGAATTGCCAAAACTCTCGTTTTTTTCAATATTTGTTCAGTTTTTCAGACATCATGCGCAAATAAACGCTGTAGAGGGGGTTCAAAAACTGTATTATCTAAGAAATCGAAATAATAAAGCCACAATTCACAGATTGGGTGATAAAAAGACCGTGTAATGTTCTTATATTTGCTTTTCGCATCGAGTCCAAGGCTTCAACACCTTCATTATCAACCAGACTGATATCGAGTCACGATTTTTCTCAATTATTTATGATAAAAAAATTAGCAAAAAAATTAAGAGAGAATAACCTACTGATATCACTTAAACAATTTCTCGGTTGAGTAGATTTTTATATTAGAGTTAAAAAAATTTTTTTATACAGTTTTTCGAGCGAATAAAAGGTCCCCAGAATGTTGCGTTTCCGGTGTTTTTTTCTCGCCAGAATCACCATATGCAAACAAAAAAATGAAACCAGAGAGTTTCTGGCTTCTCGCCAAAAAGGAAAAGCGTGTGAGAAATTTTGACGATTCCCTGTTGGATCTCTTTCCGAGTGAGAAAAAATCAAGAAAAATGTGATAGGCTGAAAAATGTTGAAAAAATTTTTTTGTTAACATTTTCGCTTAAAAAAATATTTTTTAAAGAAAAAAATCTCCTAAAAAGAAACTTCTTCCCTTATTTTTCTTCGTTATTTTTTTGCCTTTTTTTAAAAAAATAAAATGTACTCCGTAAATCCTACTGGAGTTCATTCGCGAGCACGCTGACGCAAATTTGCAGATTTTTTTCTGATTTTTTTGAAAATGATCCGCTAGAAATATTTTTATTCCGTCAGAGATTCTTTCGAAGCTTTTTTCACATTCTCCACATTCAATATTCAATAACCCAATTTTTGAAATTAGTTATAAAAAAACGCAAAAAAATATTTTTCTGTGAGATGGAAAAAATCGTACTGAGAATGACTCGACGCTTTAATTTTTGAGACGCTCCCGACCCGAAACGACTTGCGCATTGCTTTAAGCCATTCAATTTTTGAATATACATATTATTGAGAGAAAAATTTTAACAAAACTAGGAAAATCTGATCTCTGATGGTAGGGAGTTAAAAAATTCCTACTCCGTCTAAGTCTCTCTTTCTGTATTTTATACCTGAAAATGAACGGAAAGGACCGTTTTCTCGTGTCGTTTAATGTTTTAGAACGCTCCCGACCCGAAGCGACTTGCGCATTGCTACATCAAAGAGCACTAGAAAAGGTCATTTAAGTCTCCAGAAGCGACCTTGAAGCTTTTAGCCATTCAAAGAGCGGTCATAAGAATCTAGTAGAAAAAAAATAAAGAAAAAAGGTTCAATCAAACTGGGAAAGCTTAATCTCTAATGATAGGAAGCTCAAAAACTTCTTACTCTGTCTAATTCTACCATTTTCTAGTTCAAAAGTCTCTCTTCCCACATAACAAAAGCCAACAAAAAGAAGAACGTTTTCCCAAAATCACGTGTCTCGTTTTTTTTGTCCGTTCGCGGCACCTTGGCCGTTGCCTTTTCCGTACGTTTCCCGAGGCGAAATTGTAGGCCGACGGGGCATTCTTCACTTGACTGGGAGGCCTCCTCCTTGTTTGCTTGTTTGCGTTTGGCGTCGATTCTCTTCTGTGTCGTTCAGGTACCGCTGCGGCCACACTCGCCATGTCGTACAACCACAACCAGTACAATTATCAGGTACTTAATTAGCTTCTTTTGATCAGCTGGGCAAGTTTCGAGATTTTAGGCTTTTGGTGGTTATTCGGAGGATTTTTCATAGCCAGATTTGATCAAAATAGATCTTTTCAGAGAGGACTTGTGAGCTCATAACGCGATCTTTTGACATAATTTTCCCTGACTTGCCGTAGATCCAAATACCGTAAATCCTTGATTTCTGATTTGCCGGATTTACCGTACATTTAGATACCGTAAATGGTTGCTTTCTAATTTACCGTAGACCTAGAAAACGTAGATCGTTGATTTCTGATATACCGTAGATCTATATACCGTGAATGATTGCATTTTAATTTACCGTAGACCTATATACCGTAAATCATATTCTGTTTTACCATTCTGTTTTACCACAGATCTTCGATTTCTGGCTTACCGTAGATCTAGATAGCGTAAATAGATTCTTTCTAACTTACCTGATTTTATCCAATCTTCTTGCGATTTTTCAAGACTCAAATTTCGAAGATTCCCAGATCTTGTCAAAAAAGAGCATTAAGAAGGATTTGGTCGTTAAAAATTTGAACATTTTTCGATTTTACTGCTATAATGAGCTCAGTTTTGATCTGAAATCATATGCAACGTAATTCATTTTTATTCAATTCCAAAAACCTCTTCGATTTTAGCTCGTTTTTGTCTTTATCCTGTTTTTTTTTTCAAACTAGTTGTCTTTTTCGAAAATTTCTTTCGAGTTTGTCTTCATATTTTTTTTCATATTTCTTCCAGCTCTTCAGATCACTGATTAGTCTCCAAGGTCATTTTTGAATTGTATTCCTTTCAAAATTTTGATCCAACCTTTCGCTGTTTTGAGCTTAAAAATTAAATTTACGTTTTTATCAGTGAACTCGTCGGTTATAACTCCCCTTACAAAGCTCATTTCAAGTTTTAAGGAGCCTTGGAACCACAAAAGTTCTCTGAAAACTTTTCTTTTGTGCTTTTCGAAACTTTTACTAACCGGTTGCGGCGAGCCGACTGTACAAATAAACTTGGCTCGGGGTTAAACTTTTTTGATGTTTGCTTCTTTTTGAAGAAACTGGTAGGAAAACCTTTTTAGTATAGACTCAGAAGCTGGAAACTAAGAAACTTTTGAATTGATCATATATTTTCTTTCCATTTTCTGAAGCAGAAGCATGAAGTCGAAAGTCCAAAATTTAATTAGAATGACTGGTTCGCAAAATAGGAAAAAAATCCGGTTTTTTTATTTATTAAAATAGAAGTTTTTCTCTCACAGAATAAATGTGAAATCAAATGGAAAAGCTTCGCTAGTTCAAAAGTTTTATAAAAAAATGGTCGAAAACTGTCATTTTTTGAATATTTTGAGACGTCAGCTTTCCAAGCTTTAAAGGGAGATAAAATGAACTATCATTAAAAAAAATAGAAATAGAAAAGAAACCGTAACTTGCTGAAACGAATCAATAAAAATCAATCAATATCGTTGAAATTTTCAGATAGCAGTGATATTTGCCATTTTGATCGGAGGATGTCTTTTGCTAGCCGGCGTTGTTGGAGGGATCTACTTTATGTGTGTAAATACGGTGAGTCTTATCCTTCAACTTTCCTTTTTAGTAACTTTATTCGCTGTATGTTGAATAGTCTGTTTAAAAAAATCCTTGCTGTAAATTTAAAGGAGCATATACTTATTTAAAAAGAGCCTTTATAACCGACAGTTTTCCACTTGATTCTATATTTGTTGGTCTGTTTTTGCTGTGAATTTTAAAGGAGCATAGACTTGTTTAAAATAAGGGTCTCATAGCTAAAAGCCTTTAAATTTTCCTTAAAATCAATGCGTTTGATAAAGTTGTTGCTGAAAACTTAAAGGAGCATATATTTATCCAAAAAAGGTCTTGCACCGAAGAGCCTTTAACATGATGATTTTCCTTGAAACTGTGAATTTTAAAGGAGAATGTACTATTTTCTCGAAAATTCTTGAGGCTTTGAGCTGTTTTCTGATCTTGTAAGCTTCAAAAATCGCAGCAAGGATTTTTGAACATACTTTTTTTTTGTAAACCACATTCCATTGACCTCAAACTTCCAAGACATTTTACTTGTTCCCGGGATAAAAACCAAGGAAAAGTTTGTGAAACATGTGTCGCTCTGGAATCGTAAAGCGAAAACGATCGATAAATATGAATTGCATGCTGTTTGCTTTTGTTCATCTCGGCCGGGAGCTTCGGACCGTTGGAAAGGGAGGTCGGGCCTTAATAGAAAACAAATATTCGCTCCATGGGCGACTCTCCTCAAACAGCTCCTTCTCGTGAACTGTGGCGGAAGCGGCAGAACATGAAGAAGAACACCGCGCGGGGATTAGACCTGCTTCAATGCCTTTTGCTGTTTCCTTAGTAGTTTTGGACGAGAAGAGAATGTTTGGAGGTTTAAGGGTCAGTTATAGCCGATCAATCCCGACTTAAAATGCGAAATAAAGAGAATGGCAAGGGGACGCGTTGCGTATGCGTTGCGGTTTCTCGGCGGGAAATTTGAGATCAAACGCGAACCGCATTTTCTGCTATTTGTCCGTATTTTTTTGGAGATTTTCCCGATTATTTATAAATTTAATGGTATTGAGAGAATTTGGTTGAATGATCGAAGTTTAAAGGAACGTATAGTCAATTTTTCCCGACTTGAAAGGGGAGGGAGGCGGGGCAAGGGGCGGGACGCGTAGCGTGTGCGTACGCGGCTCTTGGCGCCAGTTCAATTCAATTGCCGCCGACTAATTAAAAAGCTCGGCAACCGCTCTTTCTCTGTATTTTCTACTCATTTTCGATGCACAAGTTAACATAATCAATAAATAATTAAAAAAATAAGAGAAAAAGAGCGATAAATGAGCTCTCTGAATGCTCGCTGGCGGTTGAATTGAACTCGTGCCAAGAGCCGCGAACGCACACGCTACGCGTCCGCCCCTTGCCCCGCCTCCCTCCCCTTTCAAGTCGGGAAACATTGACTATACTTGATTATTGAATGATGAAAAAAAATATTCAAAGTGTAAGAGTTTTTTTGAAGATGGTAATATAAAAATACAATGGGAAGGTCAAAAAGGTGTGTCATCGATAAAAAATACAAAATAGATTCATCATGAATATGTTATAAATCTTTTCAGATGCGTGACGACGACAAGAAAAGATTACAGTCTGGGAGGAATTCAGCATCAAATTGGCCCACACAGGCGCCTTCCTACACCGCTTCCTACAGGTTTTTTTAAAACTATTATTATAATTCAATCTTTTAAACAACTTTTTTTCTCTTTTTCAAAATTAAGATTGAATCTTGAGATATTTTATAAATCCTTATAGTCGAAACGCACCAAAACGTACGAATCTGCGTCTAAATCAAAAAAACGTGAAGTCTTTTTCTGAAAATGAATTTTTCTCTATTTATAAGTAAATCCAAACTTTATTTTTCTCATCCCATTATCTTTTCTTTTTTCAAACAACGACATAAATCATCAATAATAACGTCAAAAGCTCGAAAAAAAGAACATTTGTCGAGGTTTCTGGAGTTGAGAAATGACTGATTGTGACAAGGGTTATATCATTTTTTGCACAGATTTTTTCGGTTTACGAAAGTTGGAGATTTGACTTTTATCGTCAAGGAAAGTGAGAAAATCAATTTTTTGTTTTAGAATGCCTCTAGGTTCCTATATGCGAGCTTGATATAACCAATTAGAACCTAAAAATTATCCCCTCGATCTTTACAAAGTCAAAATTTTTTTCTTGTGCTTTTTAAAAAAATCGATCGAAAAAAACTTCCCATATACTTTTTAGGCTCGAGTAAAATGTACTAAAAACTATCAAAAAGACTCTGATAATTTTTTTCAATTTTTCTAAAAACATGTTGTTGAAGTCTTCTGAGTTTATAAATCGTTCTACAAAAGGTCTAGATCTAGAAAAAGTCCTGAGTTATAACGAAATCTGATAAGACTCCTTTCTGAATAGAGAAAAATTCTCTAGAAATGGTTTGAGAATTTCCAATAGGTTTAGAAAACTTTTTAAACTTCCTGATAGAATTGAAAGTTTCTGTGATACTGTTAGATGTGGTTAGACTCACCCGAACAGTGAGAAATAAACTTTAGGTTTCTCAGACATTTTTGAAAATCAGTATGTTACGGTCCAAAGGTCTATAAATCCAAAAACCCGATCCAATTTCCAGAGGCCGCGGACCATCACCCACTCCTTACAATCCAGTGCCTGCGGCGGCGATCGTCGGTCCGCAGAGTTACCAATTCGACGAGGTCCGCTCCCCGATGACGCCCGTGGTCGCCCCGCAGAACATCTCTTCCTACACCCCGATTCCGTCCGCCGCCGGCGGCTACATCCCACAGTACTCCCAAGTTCCTCTGGTGGCCCCCAACGGCCAGGAATACATCACCTCCAGCGTCATCCAACAGCCCCAAACTGACGTTATTTATACTCAGGTAGGATCGGTTATGAAGATTTGTATTGAGTTTGAAACTGAGAAGGAAAATGAGTTTTTTAAAAATTGAGGTTAATAAGCCCGAAAGTCTCAAAGAGATGTATTTGAATTTGTCTCCGGTAGATATATAATAATAATGTTCGAAAAGGAATGAGTATAATAAATTGAAAAATGAGCCCAAAAGCTTCAACCTGACGTCATTTAAACTTCAGTAAGCTTCGTTGATAAAGAATATCAAAATTATAAAGAGAGTAATGCGTTTCGTAATGAAAAAGAAAGATTAGGTGAAGAATAATAAAACCGAAATTTTGTTTTTTATTAACTTTCAAAAAGCTCCGTCAATTTTTTTAATGAAAATGATCTCAAAAATTGACCCTGACTCCTCTTTTATGTACCAGAGAAAATTTAACAGTTTCAACCTGGAAAAAAATCCTAGTTTTTTTATAAGAATAAAGATTTTTCTGAATGGTACAATTTTTCCTTAGAAAAAAATCCCTTTTTTTAAACAACTTTCTAGTTACCTTGATCAACTATTCAACTTTTTTTAAATCATAGAATACATTTCGAATGATATACAATATTGATTGTTCATATTTCATTTTTTAGTCATTTCATTAAGCTTTCGTTTTGATGAGTTGAGAAAATAATGAATGAATTGAGAAAAATTTCGGGTTTCTTTTTTGATATTTGCAGTTTCAGGAGACGTTTTTAAGATCATTTCATTTCTATATTTTGATCAATGCTATTCTGTGTTTTTAAAATTGTTCTTTGAAGATTTTTTATTTCCCATTTGTTAACTTCATTTGATTCTTACGCAAAATACCCAAGATGTCTTGTCTTTTTATGCAGTCCCGTCAGAAAATATAAAAAAAGGACTGTTTTTTGTTTATGACGGTCTTGTATGGAATTTGATCTTCCTGAATCCTTCTGGAGTTGTGGAAACTGTTATTTATGAAACTCTGGTGGAATTTCGGTTTGCAGAAAAAACGCAGCTTTATAGAGTTTCCAAAATATTAAGCTCCATACAAGGAAATCGTGAGCAAAAATGGTTTTTGTAATTTTTCTGACGCTACTGTATTGGAAAATTTTTTGCAAGCTTCTACCTTTATCGTTGATGATTTTGAAGGGACCCAGCCGGATTCGTCCAGCAACGTCCGGTGGAATACGTCGTCCAACAAACGCCCGCCGCCGGATTCCATCAATCTTCCGTTTAATCTTCCTTTTTTCCAGCTTTTCCTCCCCTTCTATGTGCATAATTAACTTATTCACCTCATCTCTTCTGATGATATCACTGCCTTCAACAAAAAAAACCCCATATACTTAATTTGATCCGTTGTAAAGTTCAAAAAAGGCCTTCTAAAGGTATAAAAAGCCATAGCCAATTCATCTTAAGTGGCCACTTGAGAAATGAATCGAAATTACCCATTTTCTATGAAAAATCACCGTGTTGCTCATGTTTCCTCATGTTTCATGTCAGATTATTTCACTTCCGATGACTGTGATACGAAAAGAGATATGAAAATTGATAAATAAAAAGATTTCTTTACAATTTCCTTGCTGTTGCTTTCGACGAGGAAGTTTTCCAGGCTTCCCACCTTTTTTTTTTCCTTCACTTTACACAAAATGGCCACAGCTTTCCTTGATGCCTCTTTTTCATGTGGGATCCGGGCAATCGGAAAGCTTGATGATTTTCGGGGGGCTATTGAGGGATTAGACTCTAATTTAATGGATTTTCATTTTGAAAGGAGAAAATGAAGCTTTCATCGGTGAGGAACAGCACTCAAACAAGTACAGTTCCTCCAGAAAAAATTGCTTTTTCGATAACAACTGATTTGTATGTAGTTTGATTATTCTGAAACTTTCTGGAAGTGAGATGACTGTCCTTTGTAACATTCTGGTGGAATTTTGGTCTGCAGAAAAAAAGACAGCTTCATAGATTTTAGAAAGATCGAGCATCATACGAAAAAGTTGCAGCAAAACTTTTTCTTTTCTTATTTTCCTGACGTCACTTTGAATGTAGTAAAATGATTTGCACCTCATTTCAAGGGCTTTATGATAAAGCCTTTATCTTTAAAAGTGACTTTTCTTTAACTTTAAGATTCCGGTTTCAGTTTAGAAAAAGCTTCCGAGTTCTTGTGATGTCTCCAAACCATAACTTTTTTTCGAGCCTGGAAAAAAATTATTTGAGTTGAAAATTTCGAAAAATGATTTTTACTGGTTTCAGATTTTCAACTATTCTTTAAGAACCAGTTATTTTCCGAAATTATGCGATATTCCCGGAACTTTTTTTCCGAACCAACTTCTTTCCCAGCCACTGAAAGCCATTGAAACGTTTTGAAAGTCTCATTCCTGTATCAAATTGAAACCCGAATCTTCCTTATTTACGATTTTTTGGAAAAGAAGGGCTCAAAGGTTTCTTTTCTGTGATAGAAAGGCTGATAGGGCTTATTTTTTTACACTACACAAAAATAATCGATTTCCGTAATTTTCTTTTTCAAAAATCGATCGTTTTGCTGGTACACGAGCTAATTACTTTTTTTTTAAAAGCCGAAGACTTGTTCTAAAAGTTCCAGCCTGAAAATCGCAGTTTCTTAGAAAATACGATTCTTCTCAACAGAAAAAATTCCTTTTTTACAACTTTCGGTTTTTTGCTCACAAATCTGATCGGACTCAAGCAAATGAGCTCTGCTTCTGGGAATAAATTATTGCATAGCTTTTTGAAATCTGCGCAACGTTTCAAGACGTTTGAACCATTTTCAGAGAAGTTGTGCTCGAAAAACCATTTTGAAATACCTTAATGGCCGGTACTGTGAAGGCATTCAGGATCTTAAGATGATAAAATATTCCAGAAAAATTTGAGCAGATTATGAAAAAACGCGGTTTTTTTTTTACCTTTTTCTCATTGAAAAACAACCTTTTTAGAGCCACCTTGGAAATTTCTTCGTAATTTTCGAAAAATTAGTCAACTCCGAGTTGGTCCTCTTCGGCGAGCAGACGACCAACTGCAGCCCCCAAAACTTGAACATGAGCTCATTTTTTTCTGACTAAGAAAGACCTGGCGCTTCGATTTATGAAATAAAATTTCACTACATTTGGGGTCCCAACCCCCGAAAATGCCCAAAAAGGAAAAAATCAACGATTTTCAAAAGAAAAAATTATTTTTCGATATCAAAAAAAATTATTTTCTTTTAATTTTTTAATGAAAATGCTTGAAATACCGTTATGTGTGTTTTTAAAAAAAGAAATTGGAGTCGATCCGTCAACTAGGAAAAAAAGTTAGAAAATTTCTCTAAAAGACCTACCGTAACCCAATGAGGGGGCGGAGCCTCACAGTAAGCAGCCTACAGGTTTACACACTATGTCTAGTAACTGTGATAATAATATCAACTCTCAAAACAAAATATGAAATTCTTGTACCAACGGTACATCGCTTTTCTCGGAGAACGTGTGTTAAATTGAGACCAAGAAGTTTCAACCGGTATAATTTACGATTTTTCGGAAAAGAAGGACCTCAAAGGTCTAATTTTTGTGGAAAAAGTCCGTTTTCAAAAAAAAAAGTCAGGAAGGTTGAAGATTTTAGAATCTCAGAGTGAGGTCTTTGAGCGAAGTTTTCAAAGAGTAAAAAGTGAAAAAAAATTCAGCTTTTCCTTCAAGCCAACTATTTTTCCTGCCACCAAAAGCCCCTTGAACTTTTGCCTCGTCGACCAATCGTTCTCGATATATTTTCCAATTATCCCAGGGACCAACAGCTCTCGTTTTTTTCTCCCGGAGCCAACCAAAAACAAATATTTCGTGGGGTTCGGGGAGGCAAAACGTCGTTATCTGCATCGAAATGGGGGCCAAAAGCCTCGCAATGAGCCATAATTCCTGGAAAACGAAGCCGTACTCGACTGCCGAGAAATTGGTTCGGAATGAGGCTGGACCGAGGGAGAAAAAATGGCAGATTCAATTGTTTTATACTAATCTTCGTCGCGCCGAACGGCTATTTGGGAATTTCGAGGGTTTAGCCGATTCATGAGCTCGGATTTTCGAAGGTTCATCTAGGAGAGCTTCTGGGAGACGCCAAAAAATAAGTTAAGAAAAAAAATGCTTTTCCTTATTAAAAGCTGTGGTAAAAATTAATTCAAAACGATTGCGGAAATTTCTAGTGACCACTTTAGGGTTTTAACGTTTTAGTGACCATTATAGGCGTCGAATTAGTGACCACTCAAGTGGCTAGAATTTAGTGGTCTTTTTAGAAACTCAAGTTGTACTACTAGACCACTAAAAACTACTATAGTGACCGCCAAGACGCAAAATAGTGGCGTCTATAGAGGTGGTTCTAGTGGTCACTTCAGTGTCCTCTCCAAGTAGTCTTTGAGGAGCCTCTTTAGTTGCCCTAAAGATCTCAGTATGGAAACATATTTCTGGATTTTTTTTGACTACTTCTTACATTTCGGTTCCACTATCAGATAAGCGGCCCTTTCTAAAGATTTTCTAGCTTTTTTTTGAAGAAAAGTCCTGTATATTTCAAATTTTATCAATGAAGGTTATAAATGCTGCTTTAAAAAATCGAAATTTTTTTATGGTCTTGAATGAACGCCTCAGTTTTCAGAAAATTGTGAACTGTGAGATGCTAGAAGTGGTACTTTTACTTTATATGAAAAACCGTTTGAAAATTCTGAAAAAAATTTCCAAAAATTTGACGATTCGATTTCAAAATTAAGATCACTTTTGGAAACTAAATTAATTATAAAAAAATTTCTGTGTATAATTTATCTGTTTGATCAGTTTTTTCACTTGAGAATCAACGAATGGAAACTGATTGCATTACTTTTTTTGTTGAAAAAATCAAAAATTATTCAAAATAGAAACCGGAAAGTGACTTAAAAAGTGGAAAATTCAAAATTCCATTTATTCCTGGAAAGAACCTTTAATATGAACATTACCCTCTGAAAGAAAAACTCTTATAACATTATAATAACCGGTCCCAACGTCACTCAAAGCCGAAAAGTGCAGCCGGCCGGCGTCCCATGAAAGGTAATCTCCCGCTCCTGAGAAGTCACTTTTGGAACTTTTTTTTCGGCCTTCGGCTGCCTCTGCAGCCCGACTCATTACACAAAAAGAGAGCAGTAGAGCACTCACATTGCTAATGGCTCGAGTCACTTTTCGCCCATTTTCGGCTATTTGGAATGCTTCAGGAGGAGGAGAAGAGAGAAGACCGCGACGCAGGGGTCCGCGTCGTGGTCGGAATTATTTAAAAACGTGAATTCTGTTTTAAAATCCTTCTTGGTCGTTTGAAGGCATGAAAAAAAGTCGTTTCTAGAACTAAGTTTAATATTTTCAGCTATTTGGAATGCTTTAGGAGAAGGGAAAAAGATATGACTGCGACGCGGACCTCTGCGTCGCGGTCGGTACTATTCACTGGCGTAAATTCTGTCCAAAAAATTTTTTTTCGAGTGTTCAGTAGTACGAAAGTCATACACCGTCTATGAAAATCGAAAATTTTCGGCTTTTCGGAAATATTCAAGAAAAGAAGAAAATGAGAACCGCGACGCAGAAGTCCGCGTTGCGGTCGGATTTATTCACCAGTGTAAAATCTAACCGAAAACCCTGTTTTAAGTGTTCAAATGTAAAAAACTCATGCAAAATCTCTAAAACTTAAAAACTTTTGGATTTCTGAAAAGCTTCAAAAAAAAAAAAGTAAAATGAAGACCTCTGCGTCACGGTTGGAAATTTCCTGGGTCTGTTCGAATTTTATGAGTTTTTAAAGGTACGTAAGCCCTGCTCGCTCAAAAATGTTACTCAAAACAGTTCTAAGCAATAACTTTAATGATTTTTAGGCTGTGCTTCTTCTAAAATCTCACAAGGATTGTGTAAAAAAATATTTTCTGCAATAGGAGTTCATTTCGAGCGTACATTATGTTCGTATCCCACAGAACTGAAAAAAACTTTTTGAAACATCAAAATGAAATAATTTGATAGAACCTTTAAATTTTCAAGTTCACCTTAGTCTTGTATGATTCAATCGCTTCTCTGATACCGTAAAAAAATTTTTTTGATAAATTCTGTGAATTGATTTTTCATTTAAAAAAATGAATGTTAATTCATCTAATATAAGTCCAAAGTCCACGTTAATCGTTAAATTGATCAACTAAGTTTAAAAAAAATGGAAAAGAAGACCCCTGCCATTACCACTCGAACGTTAAAGATTTCTGAAAAATGTTCGTTTTATTTATTTATTTTTCCTTTTTTTGCAGTTCTCTTGTGGACTTCTGGGTATTGGAAGAGTGGTGAAATCTGAAAAATGATACTGGAATATTGAAAAATTTTAAAAATCCACAAGTTCAAAAGATGAAAACGACGCAATTTATGAAAAAAAAAATTGAAGAAAAGTCAATTTCAAAAAAGCTTGTAAAGTTAGAATAAACCAAAAAAAAAAACAAAAACTTAATGAGAAAAATTGGAACCAAAGAAAATTTCGTTATCATTTTTACAAGAAAATCAAAAAATGTTTTTAAAATCCGTCAAAAAAGTCTAAAATTACCGAAAAAGTCTCAACTTTTCAAGAGCTCCATTAATGGAAACTCAGAGAGTTCACTATAAAAGGGCTTTGGGAAGTCGAAAAGTGACCTGGAAGATGAACGGTGACCTCAAATCGGGAAGAGGAAAAAAAGAAGCGATAAGCGAAGCCGCGGAAAAGGATGGATGGGCCGAAAACTAGAGGAGCCCTCGAGCTTATGTCTCTGCCGGCCATAGAGGGGGGGGAGAGCGCTGGAAAAAAAAGCGGCGGAGAAGGATCCGCGAAGCCGTAGCGCCCTAGGGGAAATGAGTGGAAGAAAATAGAGATGAAAGCAAGGAGACAACAAAAAAAAAAAAGAAGGCGCTCCGTCGCTGGAAAGCCCAAGGGCCGATCGATTTTATATTAGTTTTGGCAAAGGAAGGAGGTTGGAAATAGTAGGCTCGGCGGGTCGATACGCGCGAGCGAAGGACGCCGCGACGACGACTGCAGAGACGTCGCCAGCCTTCGACACAGACGAGGCCGCAGCAGTCCGCCTACACTGCAACGACGTGGCACCGCGTTGACGTCGCCGTCGTCGTCGTCGTCGTCGTCGTCGCGGTGCGTCGTCGTCGTCGTCGAGAACGCCGATGCTGGGCCTCTCAGGCCCAGGGCCGCCCCAAGGCCCTTCTACCTCGGCCGCCTACAGCGCCACCAATCATCTCGGTCCGACCAGTGCCCCTTCCAGCGATTCCCTGCTTCTGACTCTACGCGCCAAACCGCACGCCCGGGTCTTCCGAGCCCTATTCCAGTACCTGCCCCTGAGAGATTCACCCAACGAGAATCCCCAGCTGGAGCTGAGTCTCCAGCCCGGCGACGTCATCCTCGTCAAAGGCGAGATGGACACCGACGGGTTCTATCGTGGCGAGACCCTAGACGGCCGAACCGGCCTCGTTCCTTCCAACTATGTTGAACGGTTTGTCACTTTTATTTATTTATTCCACTCGTTCGATTCGCTTAACACTTGCCCTTCTACTTCTATTTTTAAACTCGCTCATTTTTCTTTCTTTCAAATTATTTTTCACCTTAAAAACCTATCCATTTACCCATTACCTAAATTTTAACAAAATTCTCAATTTTCCCTCTTTTTTCAATTATTTCCTACATATTTAACATCAAACTTCCTCTTTTTAACCCTGATTATCGTGAGAAACCCTACTTTTATTTTTTTTTTCCTTCTCATTTCTTTTTTTATCCTTTGTTTCTCCAAAAAAATTTTTTTGCTGCACTTTTTTAAAAAAATCTTAAAATTTTTTTTAACAAACTAAATATTTTTTTGCAACTGATCTTTATAAAAAAAATACTTTTTCAAAAACCGTTATTATTTTTTTAAAAACCTATCATTATCCTCTTTTTATCTTTTTCTGAACCTTTGAGTCACAAAAAAATTTTTTTCACACTGAAAATCAACTAAATGTTTTTTTGTAGCCTGTTTTGTAGCCTATTTTTGCTCAAAAAAATTTTTTTCTAAACCCATTTTTTTGTTTCTGATTTCATCAAAAGTTCAATGAAGACTTGAAATCATTTTTCCATGAAAATTCCGCTGATTTTTCGCTTTTTAAAAACTTTAATTAACCTAAAAAAATACCCACTTTATCACTTCTGCATCTGTAATTAATCTCTGTTCTTCTAGTTAATTAAACAATTACTCTATCAATTTTTTTCAATTTAATCATATAATTTGCTCTCTAATTTCTTCCTGCAGAAGAAAAAAAAGCAGAGATTAAACTTTTCTGCTCAACGGATTAGGATATTTCCAAGAAGAAAATAATGTACTTGAGCTTCAAGTTAAATGAGGATTATTGACTTTTTTCCAAAGTGCAATTATTTTTTTCTTATTCATCAACTTTCTTTTTTCCATTCCCACACCATAAATTAACCTCAAAGAATGTCTGAGAACTGGCTTTTACTTCTGAAAATACTTTTTTTTTCTGCACCATTCTTTTGTGTGGCTCCGATTTTTGGCATTAATTTTTTACTCGCGTGGCCCACTATGTGCTTCATTTGCCAAAGTGCCGTCTCCGGAGGTGTGGGAAACTCGTCCCGAATACCAAAAAAGCATTTTGAAAAGGAAAAAATAATGGAAACTAGCCGGGCGATTTCTAAAAATTATTTTGACGAATATGAAAAAACCTGCAAGGTTCTGCTGATGTAGACGATTTTTCGTTGATTTTGAGCAAAGATATTAGAATAATAGTAAGAAAGTAGCGAAGGTTGATGAATGAGAAAGAAAAAACCGTCGAAAAATTAGGCGATTCTTTAACTTTGTCCGTAGAGCGCACTTTCAGTGAATTTTCTCATTTCCATCATTTTTCTTTTTAAAAAAATCTTTTTTCAACAATTATCAACGTTATTTGCATAAAATACTCGGGAAATTTTCAGAGTGCCCGACTCCGTACTGTTGGCAAACGCTCGTGCTCCATCACCATCGTTTCCGCTGCACGTTCCACAGCACTTGGCAGCCATCCAGCACGATTTCTCCTCACCCGACCATTCCACCTTGCCAGATTCAGTCAGTTCTTCACCAAAACCAATATTGGCTTCTATTTGAACTATGCTAAAGCAAAAAATAGCTGCTTTATTGCGTATATCTCATGTTTCCGGACCGATATATGCACAAACATTTGCTCAAAAGTGTATTTTTACTTCTAACGAGCCTTGAATATGTGAAAAGGATCTTGTTTTTTGGAATTTTTGAGAAGAAAAGGGAATAAGATGGAGTTTGAAAGATTTTAGGTGGAAATGATTCAGTTAACACTTTGAAATACTCCTATTTCACTGGTTTTTAAGGAAATATTCTTTTTTTATTTAGTTTTTAGACTTGAATAAAAGTATTCCAGGTATGTCCATACCCGCCGGCTGATGTTACAAAAGTGACGGTGCAGGAAATCAAAAACAACGAAACGCCTAGAGGTGCGTTTTTATTATTTATTGATTGATTTTTTTCACTTTTTTTTCCTTTCTTTGTATACTCAATTTTATCAAGAATTTTTTCTCTGAATCTGATTCTACAATAGGATACTCGCTTTTTATTGTTTTTTTTTTCAAATTAAAATATTGAAAAATTCCAATTTTCAACGAATTTTTCTTTTCAATCAGTTTTCGGCGGGCTTTCAAAAACCTTTTGCAAGATTTCTGGTTTTTTTCGAAATACTATTTTTGTAAAAAAACTTAAATTTTTCATTGGATGTTCACAATTATTTATAGAAATATCTAAGAAATAGCATTATCAATTTGTTATCTCTGCGATTTATTAAAATCATTTGAAACATGATAATCATGAATTTTTTTGCGATTTTTTTTTCTTGAAAAAATTTTTCCGCTACGTTTTTCCACTGAAATTTGGTTAAATTCCGGTAATTTTAAAATTAAAATTTTTTTTCAAAATGGAATTTAATCTCAAAACTGATGTTGCTATGATTTTTTTCTCTTTGATTACATTTTTTTGGAAAGTTGAAAAATTTTTTTCTTTTTCTTTTTTTGAAACCACCGATTTTTCACATCCGTTCTCAGTTTTTTTGTTGAATTTTTTTCCTATTCTTTTTTTAAGGCGAATGTTAAAATTTTGAACATTTTTCACATCTCAATTGTATTTTTTGTCTTAGAAAATGATTTTTATCACAACTCTTAAATAACTCTCCTTGAAAAATGACTGTTCTCATTGATTTTCTTGCAAAAAATCCATTTTTCGGAAGTTTTTCATGGAATTTCCAACAAATTAGCCATTGTTTTGCTTCCGTTTTCCCACACAAACATGGCGGGGTCTGGAAAAGATGCGGGAAAAAAGAGGGAAAAGGTGGTCGGGAAAGCGTGCTCGCCATGTTAATTGTGCGTGCATTTGGGCGCATCGAAAATGGCTCGAGGCGATTCATTAGACGGCCCGAATATGGGCACGCGTCGACTCGCCGCCACGTCAAATTGAGTGCTTCACTCCCCCTTTTACTAGCACCTTTTTCGATACAGTAATCATGAGGAATACTGTGTGGAAAAGGGGGATGTAAAGTAGGAAAATCAATAATTGATAAACAGTCTAGCTAAAGGTCGAAAAAAGGGCAAGTCTGCTTTTTTTCCTACAAAAATCCACAAGAATGAAGTTCTTCTGATACAGTAATCATAAGGAATACTGTGGGAAAAGAAGGGGAGTTTAGTGGGAAAGTCGATGATATTTAAACCGTCTAACTAGTCGAAAAAGGGGCAAATCTGCTTTTTTCTTCTACAAAAATCTACCAGAAACGGGTTTTTCTGATACAGTAATCATAAGTAATACTGTGTGGAAAAAGAGAGGGTTTCTGTAGGGAAGTCAATAACAGATTAACAGTCTAAAGGTCAAAAAGAGGACAAATCTGCTTTTTTCTTCTCCAAAAATCCACCAGAATTAGGTTTTTCTGATACAGTAATCATGAGGAATACTGTGTGGAAAAAGGAAATGTAAAGTAGAAAAATCAATAATTGATAAACAGTCTAAAGATCGGAAAAAGGGCAAATCTGCTTTTTTTTCTACAAAAATCCACAAGAATGAGGTTTTTCTGATACAGTAACCGTAAGAGATACTGTGGGAAAAGGAGAGGGGTTCTGTAGGGAAGTAAATAATTGATAAACAGTCTAAAGGTCGAGAAAGGGGCGAAATTTGCTTTTTTTTCCTACAAAAATCTACCAGAATCGATTTTTTCTGATACAGTAAACGTAAGAAATACTGTGGGAAAGAGGAGAGGGGTTCTGTAGGAAAATCAATAGCTGATAAATAGTCTAAAGGTCGCAATAGTAGAAAAATCTGATTTTTTTTTCAAAAAAATTGGCGAATTTTTTCTGATACAATAATTAAGAATAACTCTCTGAAAAGGATGATTCATCAATAACTGTGGAAAAAAAGCTACAGAAGAAGAGGCGATCCCGGTTGATTTTTTTGACATAGACCCGTCTTGCACCTTTTTTTCTCACAGTAATCTTCCGGACCAGCACCTTTCGTGATACAGTAATCATTAAAAAAACCTTTTTGTGAAAAAAAGAGGAATTCAGTTAGAAATTTTTATAAATTCAAAAAAAGGCGCAGCTCGAAAAAAACCGGTCTATTATTTTTTTTTTCACGAAAATTCTAGAGATCAGTCCCTTTTTAATAGAGCAATGGAAGGGGTCACACAAGGGGTCAGATAAAAGTTTTAATACAGCTTGCGAAAAAACGATTCATTCTTAAGATAATAATGTAAAACGAGCCTTTTCTGGAAAGTAAATTAAGAACAGCTAAAAAAAATTTTATCTGTTCAAAAATCCCTTCCGGGAGTTTAAAGGCGCATGTGAATATCAAATCAAGGTATCGAGGCGAAATAACCAGCTATAGTTAGTGTTATTTTAGACCATATCAGGATTCGCGTCTTTTAACACTAAACCGAGACATTTTGGACTGACTATCCCAAATTTCAAACGGAGAAAAACAGTTTAATGTTTCAGCAATTTATGATAATATTTTTCTCGGATGAACCCTATTAATTCTTCGCTAATTTTTTTGCAACGTTGTAGCGACTAAGAATTTTAGCGGAGACGTTTTTTTGTTTTTTTTTTAATCAAATTTCTTTTTAAAAAAATGTGAACCTTTAAAAAAACGGTTCACATTTTTTCCTGAAAAATTTCTCTGCTAAAATTTTTTGTGTGCGTTCTCTGAATGAATAACAGCTAGGAAATTGATTTAGTCAAGCTAAAAATTCAATTCCGCCACTTGCGCGTCATTTTTGATGCAATGGATGCATTGCGTACAACACGTTTTATCTCCCGCCACTGCGGCTTCGATTTGGTGTCTGATCACCGATTTTTTTGAACGTTTTTTTAAAGTGCGATCATCTGATTTTTCAAGTTAATATAAGTATTTTTTTACGGAAATTTCGATTCATATTGTCTTCTTAGACTTTTTGATTCATTTCAAACCAAAAAAAGCCAATCAAAATTGCATCAAACCCCAACCTCTAATTCGGTTTTTTTCAAAGAACATATTTTTTTCCTCGTCTCGAAAAAAACCTGCTATTAAATTTTTCTCATTTTTTTCAAGAAAATAACTGGCGTCGTTAGATTTGAAACAAACATTTCTGTTTTTCCGAAATTCCCAATTTCGGCGAAGAAAAAAATGGCCGTCGTTAGTTTTTAAAATTTATTTGAACCATTCATCATTCGAAAAGTGTCTTCCTTTATTTGTTTTGTGCGCTGAGATTTTTTTGAGAAATATTTTTTTTCTGTTTTGGAAAATTCAAAGAAAGCTAGAAAAATTTTTCAATTTAACATTTTTTTGAGACTTTTTCAATTGACCGATTTTTTTGCTGTTTTTTTGCAATAATAATATTATTTTTTTACTCATCCGAGAAATGAAAAATTCAATTTCATTTAAAGTTTGATATAAGCTTTTAAAAAAAGTTATTTCTGCAATTTTTCACATAAACTTTCGCCACGGATGGTGCAATATTCACATGAAAACTTGATGGATTCTCACAAAAGTCAATATTTCTTATTTTATTCTCTTATTTTTCATCTTTTTTTGCTCATTTTTTTCTTCTTCTGATGGTTAAAAATGACCCCTTTTTTTCTCAAAATTGACCCTTTCTCGAAATTATTTTGAGCTAAGAGAAAACTAGAGGATCTATAAATTTTATAAATTAAGATCTTGTAAATTATCTTATTATTCATTTTTTTCAAATTGAATATTTCCCACTATCAATTCATAAGTTCAAATTAGGCAGATCATGCATAAATTTTTCATTATGAATTAATTAAAATTTTCAGTTGGTATCTATTTTTATATTTGAAGCTTTTATCAATTTCCTTTCTGAAAAATTTTTGTAAAAATAGCCTGAAATAATAAATTTTTGGATTTAAAGCCAACAGAGCTATTTTTGACGGTTAAAACTTTAATTGTAGAATAAATTTTGAATCATTTTCAGGCCGAATTTTTTTTTACGACGCAAAATTATTTTTTTTTCTGTTTCTGTTTTGGTCAGAATCGCTTTTTTCAATTATCATATTTTGACTAGCTCCAGTTAATATGGCATTAATATTTACAGAAAAAAAATGGCCCCTGCTATTTTTCTCAAAGCTCATTTTTTTCTCCATAGTTTATCAGACGTGAACTTTATCATTTTTGCAATCCTTACGGAGAAAAATAGCCCCGCTAAAATGCAGAAGTGTGGAAGTAGTGCTTCTTTAGTGTTTTTGAACATATATGATACATTTTTAGAAGGAAAATTACAGCCGGCGCTATTTTTATCGAGGCTGAAAACTGTATTCAGGCCTGAAAGTCGGTACATGAGTTTTTTTTTTCTCCATGTTTTATGGAAAAAATAGCCGCGCTGTACGGTGGAGCGCAGAAGACTATTATTTTTTCTTATCTAAGTGGCGTTTTAATTGTTTTTTTTTTTGACTGAGTAAAGTTTAGTATGGCACTTGATTTGACGGAATATAAACGGCGCTATTTTCTCGAAGCTCAAAACGGTAGTAAAGCCGATCTTCTTCCGAAATAAATTTCGCTTCCCACTTTATTAGACTTCATAGAAAAAATTTTGCAATCCTTGTGAAAAAAATAGCCGCGAAAGTACGACGGAGCGCAGAAGCTCGTCAATACTTTTTTTGACTGAGTCTAGTTTAGTATGGCAATACATTTGACGAATATGAACGGCGCTATTTTTCTCGAGGCTCAAAAATGTTGTGAAGCCATTCTCATCCCGAACTGTCAATAATTCTTGTTGCGTTCTTAACCTGATTTTATCCAAAAAAATTTTGGAATCCTTGTGAAAAAAAAATAGCCGCGAAAATACGACGGAGCGCAGAAGCTCGCTAATACTTTTTTGACTGGGTATAGTATAGTATGGCAATAAATTTGACGAATATGAACGGCGCTACTTTTTTTTCGAGGCTCAAAAATGTTGTGAAGCCATTCTTATCCCGAACTGTCAATAATCTTTGCTTCGTACTTCATGAGACCTTATCCAAACAAATTTTGCAATCCTTGTAGAAAAAATAGCCGCGCGGTGCGACGGAGCGCAGAAGCCTCCTGGTCGGTTGAGGGTGGGGGAGGCGGACGTGGCAAAAACGCGAGACATCAAGACAAAGAGCCACGCGTCGGACATCGATTTCGCGGCCAAAAAGCATTATATTCTGCCTGTGGTCGAGGCCCCCGAGGCCCTTTTTCGCGCAGCTGCATTGACATGAAGACAAGCTGACAGCCCATAACTTTACTCACTCGCCGGCGGCAACACAAACCAGAAAGAGAAGAAGAAAATGCAACTCGCCAGGCGTGTTTCCCCTATCAACTCGACCTTTTTCTCGTGTTTTCTGAGCTTTTTGAGCACTTTTGGGGGTCGAGTTGAGGTGGAAGTTAGCGAAAAACAGAAAAAGTGGATGGAGTCGTGGATTTACAAAATATTTCTATAGAGGTCATGTAAAAAAATGCTTTGAAAACTCGACCTTTTTCTCGTGTTTTTCTGAGCTTTTTTTGAGCACTTTTGGGGGTCGAGTTGAGGTGGAAGTTTGCGAAAAAAACAAGAAAAAAATTGATAAAGTTATGGATTTACAGAATATTTCTATAGAGGTTTTTTTATAGAGGTCATGTATTTTTCCATAGAGGTCATGTAAAAAATGCGTATAATCTCGACCTTTTTTTCTCATGTTTTCTGAGCTTTTTGAGCACTTTCGGGGGTCGAGTTGAGGTGGAAGTTTGCGAAAAACAGAAAAAAAATTGATAAAGTCGTGAATTTTGCCAGAAAAATCAATATAATACATTAACAGGACATAATTTAACAGAAGATTATTGTAGCTCATTTATTAAAAATTGTAAAATCCGTAAGTTTTTAAAGAACTTTCAGAAAAATCAGAATAAATTTAGAATAGAAAAGCTTGAGAATTTCTTACAAGAAATGAAAGTTTTTTGAAATTCACTTTCTTTAATTCTTATCATCTTACTCAACTCTACAGAGTAAAAATTGAAAATTTCTAGTGTTTCACGATTACTGTAGATCACAAATTTGTCCCGCCGAATAAATGTCACAGAAAAAAGCTACCGTAAAAACAGCATTTTTTGTACTTCTGCTCTCCGAAACTGCAAAAGAGACAGCGAAAAACAAGGGTCTTGGAGCGAAGTTCGGTCAGAATTTGGTATACGGTCTTTTTTGCAAATTGAAAAACAGGAAAAGCTGGCACGGAATCGCCTTCTAAAGCCAGAAAAAAATTATCTATACTCATAAATAAGCATATCATTTTTTATTAAGGCCACCAACACGTTCTTTTGAGTATTCCTCAATCAATGCCACTTCTACTTTTTGAGGTTAAAAAAACTAGTTAACCCCCTCCCCCTGGAGTTAAACATCAACCATTCTCTTGAGATTTTCATAGTCGTTTTCTTAGAGTTCTGTATTTGCCCATGTATGACTATAACTGCTTCAAAACGAGATAAATTGATGACTTTTCCAGTGCCGTGTCCACGGGAGCTGATAGTGGAGAAGAAGCTGTCGCGGTCGGTTCTCGTTTCCTGGAGTCCGCCCGAAGAATCCTTCGTCGCCGTCTCGCAGTACCACGTCTGTGTCGACGCCGCCGTGAGGGCCATCGTTCCTGGATCTTTCAAGGTAACCCTTTTTTCTCACAGTTTTCGTATCTCATTGGTTTTTGATCTCAAAGTGATCTTCTACATTTTATTGGTCAAAACAAACAGTTTGAACTTTTTGATTTAAAATTGAGCATGTTTGAAATCGGGTCTTATTTAGTTCCGGCTTCATTGTCAAAATTTTTTTTTCTTTTCAAAATCTTTCTTATACTTATTATTTTGTTATGCCTGTAAATATTATTTTAAAAAACAACTTTGAAAAATTGAAAGAACGGTTGATATTGACGACTATATTCTACATAATCCACAGGCAAAGGAAGATTTTTGGAGCTCGCAAAATTGAAAAAAAAGCGAGTAAGATGCTTCAAAGATCTGTTTTTGCCTTTATTAGGAACTCTTTTTGAGGTACTTTTTCCTATCTTTTTATCTCATAAAATCAATCAAATAAATCTAATAAAATCTATCCTCAATTGGAACGCCAAAGTGGTCACTAAAATGGCGAATTTAAAGACCTTCATAGGTTCCTTTCAAGGGATCGCCTCAATTCACTAAAGGGGCTACTTCAAAAGCGGCCTTTCTAAGAGCTTCACTAAGTGGCCTCTCTAGGGGGCATGCTGTTGGTGTCTATACTTTTTTTCAATTTTTTAAACCGGAGCAAAAAGGTAAAAAAGACCGGAACCAATCGAGCCTATGGGTCAGAAGCTATGGGAACCACCCGATTTTTAGCCTTCTAAGAAGCTCTGGTTCTTTTTTAAAACTGTTCGTAGCAATTTATTCTGATATATAAAAAGTATGCTGATTTAGAGACAGAAAAAAATATTTTTCGCGTTTGAAAATCGAGGCTTTTTTGAAATTGTTTCTTATTTTTTTGATAGTTTCACGATATTTATCGGTTTTTGTTTTTTTAAGGTGTTAAGGTGTTAATTCATTAGGTGTATGGTTAGAGATTATCAGTATTTTCTAATAAGAAAAAAATTGATAAAAATAAATAGATCAGAAAGAAAAAAAGGATACCCAATCGTAAATATGATATGTGAAACATCTTTGGTTACGGTAATATATGCGTAGACCGAATTGAAACTAGTACTACCTCTTGATGTTCAAGTTTGCTTTTTTTCTACCCCCCCCTCCTAATTTTTTTGCAATTCAACATCTCCCCCTCAAATTTTTTTGCAATTCAAAATCTCTCCCCCTCCGGACTCATTGAGTTTTTTTCACTTGCCCATGTATGGTTACGGTCAAGACATTCACCATTTCCTCGTCTACGGCTTCTGATAGAATGATTCCAGTGTCGAGCCCTGGTGGAAGACGTGGCGTTGGAGGGATGCGTGAATCTGTCGGTGAGGGCCGTCTCCGAGCAGGGACACAGTCCTGACGCCGCCTGCACCGTCGCCATCGGTCATGGTCCGTTTTTCTTTTTTTCTCGGAGTTTTTGCTTTTGATGTATACGTGGGATCAGTTTTATCACCTGGAGGTAACCTTGAAACGCCCCCCTAGGTGACTTCTTCATTTGGAAAATTTATTCGGACTTTAAAGAAAATTCTCTAATTGTTCGATTTGCGTTCCAGCGATAGGCTACTTCTTCATAAAAAAAAACCCTTTTTTTTTAAAATTTCCTTCATAGGATTTATAGTTTTAGTAGCTACTTTAGGTAGTAAAATTAGTGGCCACTTTAGTGTCCTCTCAAGTAGTCCTTGGGGAGCCTCTAAAAGTGGCCACTAAAAATTTTTTTCCCAGATTTTTGGATTTATCAAGTTTTTTTAGCTGCTGCAAATTTTGGAATATGAATTTTGGTGTCTTCTATATAAATTTTTTTCTCATTCGCTCCAAAATTTAAAAATTTTTTTGACTTTTTTTCGATTTCCTCCAAGTTTTTTTAAGGTTTTTTTCTTATACTTTTTTTGGAGTCTTCAAATTTTTGTTTCACATTTATTTCAAAATTTTTCGAATCTTCGAGTTTTTTTCTGTTTCCTTCAAAATTTTTCAAGTTCGAACATTTTTTCAATTAGCTCAATTTTTTTACAAACATCCCGGTTCTTTTTTCCTAATTTTTCTTGAATTTTTTTGAACTTTTTAGTTATTTGATCTAATTTATTTTTTTCAATTTTTGAATTTTTTTAGATCTTCCTTTTTTTTCTGCCAAAATTTGTATGTAGGGCTTTTTTTGTTCTCTCTAAATTTTTTTAGAACTTTCGGAATTTTTGAATACTTTTTTTATCATGCTCTTAAAAATATTTTTAAATTTCAGATTTTTTTATTTCTTTTTAAAATTTTCAAGTATTCAGCTTTTTTTATATGCTTCAGTTTCTCGAATTTGCATTTTTTTCTTTTTCGATGATTTTTCAAAAATTTCGAATACTTAGGTTTATTATTTTTCGAGTAGAATTTTTTTGAATTTTTTTGATTTATTCTCTTATGATCAGCAAAAATTTCGGAGATTTCAGATTTTTTGCCAATTTTTTCAAATTCATACATGATTTGATACGTTTTGAAATCAATCAATATTTCATTTATTTTTTTTTAAGTCACAGATTTTTTCTTCCATGACTTTTCCCAATGGCAAACCCAGGTTTCCCACATATTTCCTCTGGACTCTGACGACGTCGGAGGAGAAGGAGGCGAGAGAGTTGTCAGTGACTAATTCATGGCGTTCTTGCCGATTTCCTGCCCCTGCCGTGAGGCCTTCGGAACAACGGGAAAAGTGTCCAAGAGTTGCCCGCCTCCCGGGGACCGCCCGTCTATTGATCCCCGTCGCTGAAAGAAAGGCCCGAAACGCCTCCGCAAAAAGGTAGAAGAAGAGGAGAAGCTGTCCAGTTGACTGGAGAGCGGAAAGAGCAGAGTGACCTTCCGATGGGATGATGAAAAAAACGCTCTTTTTTCTCTTTTTTTGGACTGAAACTTTCAGTTTTTAAAAAGAAGACAGGAGATAATAACCGATGAATAATTTTTAAAAAAATGCTAAAATTATTATAGATAAGTTTTTCCTTTTTCCATTCTTTTTCATTCTTGAAAAAAATTTGAAGAACGATGGATTTGACTCTTTTTCGGTGCATTTTTTTAGACGAATTGAAAAAGATGACAGTGGAGGAAACTATAATATTTGAACAGTATTACGAAATATTGTTGAACAAATTAAATACACAATTTTTTTCCGTCGATTTACAATGATTTTTTTAATAGTTTTGTGAAAAAATAAGCCGAAAAACGAGTTTTTTTCCCCTTTTTTTGGGCTTGAACTTGCAGTTTCAAAAAAAGACAGGAGATAAAAAAACAGATAAAGAATAAAAAGCTAAAAAAATTTATTATGAATTAAATTTCGTTCGGCCACATTTTTTTAAAAAAATTTGAAAAAAACTTTTATTTAAAAAAATTTTTTTGATGCATTCTCAGATAGTTTGAAAAAGATGAAAGTAGAGGAAACTATAATATTTGGACAGTATTGAAAAAAATATTGTTGAACAAATTAAATACACAATTTTTTTCCGTCGATTTACAATGATTTTTTTAATAGTTTTTGTGAAAAAAAATAAGCCGAAAAACGAGTTTTTTCCCTTTTTGGGCTTGAACTTGCAGTTTCAGAAAAAGAGAGAGATAAAAACCGATGAAGAATTTAAAAAAATGCTAAAAATTATTATAGATAAGTTTTTCTTTTTTTCCATTCTTTTTCATTCTTGAAAAAAATTTGAAGAACGATTTAAAAAAATTTGACTCTTTTTTTCGGTGCATTTTTAGACGAGATTGAAGAAAAATTAAAGTGGAGGAAACTATAATATTTGGACAGTATTGAAAAAAATATTGTTGAACAATTTAAATACACAATTTTTCCGTCGATTTACAATGATTTTTTAATAGTTTTGTGAAAAAAAAATAAGCCGAAAACGAGTTTTTTTCCCTTTTATACTGGACTTTGCAGTTTCAGAAGGATTAGATTACATCAAAGAAAATGGCAAAAGTTATTGCTTAGAGGGAAATGTCGAAAATTAGGATTGAAGATGGAATGTTTTTTGGAAAAATAGGTTTTTTTGAAAGTTAAGTGAGCAAAAATTCCGAAAAAAATGTGTCTATTTCAAGTTTTTTTGATGAAAATTTTTTTGCAAGAAAAAAATTTAGTGAGAGTTGAACTGTACAGAAAGTAGCAATCTCTTCATTTTTTTATCCTCAAAAGATTTTTTTCGAGCTTCACTTGTTCAAAGGATTTAAAATAAAGAATAACTAAACTTTTTTTAATTTTTCTTCATAATCTTTTTTTCTTTCAAAAAAACATTTTTTTCTTCAAGATTTTTTTCAAAAAAATAATTAGACTTCCTTCGACGCCTTAAAATGTCCTTTATCAGAAATTCCTTCAATTTATGAGAGGAAGATGAAGCACATATAAATGAGACATATAATATACCATTTATAGGACGTCGGAATGAGGGATAACGGACTTTTACCCGAAAAAAAGTGGCTCTGAAGCTCATGAGATCTCGCTGAGCTCAGCGAACTCCCATTTTGTCCATTTTTGAATGTTTCCCGTCTAGAAGAAGCTGAAACGCGTTGGAAAGATGATTGGGAGGAGATTTGAGGAATTTACGAGACTGGTCACGGTAGCTCAGTTTGCTGCTTCAACTTAGGCTTAAAATTTTTTGTTGCTCTTTTTTCTCACTGCTTGGTGTCAACAAATTTTTTGTGAAAGCGATTCTCTAGTTTTTAATTGAAGTTTATTTAGGGATTTTGTCCGAAGTAGAATACTTCAAATCAAAATAAGTTTTCCTCTTTTTCGTTCCTCCAGCGTAAGCCGTTTTGAGTCGGGCGCGCTTTTTTTTTGAAAAATAACTGCAATTGCCGTTCCACGGGCGACCAGAGGCTACCCAGTTGGCAGTCACAGTTTGAAAATAAGTTTCGAAAATTGAATTTTTATAATTAGCCTGAAATTTTTTTTTTTCAGTTTTTAAGTTCCAAAAGTTTTGAGACTCCTTTAGGGATCACTTGAGCTTTAGGGGTCAGATTCTGAACTTCTGTGGGGACTATCTGAATTTTATCCCTATAGGGAACATTTTCTTGTCCCCTTTTTTGACTGTAATCCCCTAAACCCTCTAGGGACCACAATGGTGTTCCTCAGAAACTTTAAAAAGTCGTCTTGGGGGTTTTTTTCCTCCCCTGCAGCAACGTAATATAAAAATGAAGTTGAAGAGGAATTTGCAGAAGCGCCGGTGGCCCCGCAACAGGTGCGCGTATGGTCCGTGACGCCGGTCTCGGCCTGCGTCCGTTGGTATCCGTCGAACAGCAACGCCGAGCACGTCGTCTCCCTGAACGCCGTCAAAGTCGGCGTCTGTCCGCCCACCGTCTTTCAGGTTTTATCTTCATTTCGAAACAGGAGACTTTGGAGCATGAATTTGGAGCGGCGAAGCGATTCGACAAAATAATATTTCCAGTTATAGTCTGTGTGCCACGACTTGGAGTTTCACCAAACGACATTCCGCTGTTCCGCTGCGCGCCTTTACGAACCTGGGCTTTCAAATTTTTTCTTTTATTGAGGTACTCTACTTTCATGTGCTCCCACAGAAATAACAATCGATTGAAAGCTTGACCTGGATTCGAAAGACGCTTCGCGTCCGCACGCAGCGGAACAGCGGAATGTCGTTTGGTGAAATTCCAAATCGTGGCACACAGACTTTAAAATGCGATATTTATGTCAGCATTTCTTTTTTTAAAAGGTGATTTTTCTGTTGGAGAAAAAAATTTAGAAGATTAAGAAAAAAAATCATAAATATTCTTCATTTCTCAACCTAGTTTGAAGCATCTAACTAACAATCCAAGCGTTTTTTTTTTTCATTATAAGCTTCAACTTAGCGGCGAACCGATTTGGCAAAAGATTCTGATAAATTTGAAAATATAGAGGAAGAAGGATCAAAATTAAAATCTCCAATTGTCTATTTATAAAATCCTTGAAACTTATTTTCAACTGTTAAAAAAAAGAACGTGGAATTTTTTTTTTTAATATTGTGTTTTTCAATGATTTTTTTCACCATTTTTTTCAAGATCCTTGTGTAATTTTTTTGAAATTTTTCACAGTTTTTCCCAATATCTAGTTTCCACTGGTTTATAAAATTCAATTAAATCTATTTTTTTAGTATAAAATGACCCAATTATCATAGAAAACGTGAAATTTCCTATTCAGAGATCGTGCCAAGAATAGGAATATTTGAAAGTTGATTTTTAGTGAAGCAGGTCTTTTTTTCGAAGCTTTTTCTGTCATAGGCTTTTTTTGTAATAAAATCGATTGATTTTTTTAAATCATTCAAATGTTTAAAAATAAACTTTCCAAGTAAAATAATAAAAAAATAAAAAAAGAACTAGATGAAGATTTAGGAATATCAAAAATTAATTTTTCAGTTTTTTAAATATTTTTTTCTTGAGGTCAGTTCAGTTCACATTTTTCTGTGATTTAATGTTTCATAAGGGCTTTTTTAAACTTTCTTATTTTTATGTTCTCGTTTTTTGGAAACTACTTTCTTTTAGTTCCATCCATGAATTTACTAGGAATTTTTTTTAAAAAAGAAAAAGCAATTTTTATTCATTGGAGCGCAAAAGCTCGTCTAATTATGGCTTTTTCGATTTTATTTTTTAAAAGGTGCGGCTCTTTGAATTTTTTTTTAGAAGGGAATCAAGGAATCCATGCATTTTTCCTGTGAAAAGCTCATTCTGCGAAAAATTTTGATGGCCACTATAGTAGTCAATATAGTGGCCACTCAAGGGGTTAAAAAAATTAGTGACCATTATAGAGGTCTCAGTGCTACTACTAGATTACTAAAAGTTTTAGTGGCCACTTTAGGGGTCAATGGACCAACATAACTGGTCCAATCTGTTTGTTTTAAATTCATCAGAGGTACTGGCAGGAATACTGCATGAAAAAAAACTACTCAAGTGGCCACTATAGAGATTTCCTATTTAGTGGCCACTGTAGTGTTCTCTCCAAGTAGTCCTTGGCGAGCCTCTATAGTGGCCACTAAATTTTCACAGTTCATTCACTTTTTCCCTTTTCCGTTTCTCTGGTGATATTATTGGGAAGTTTTTTTTATGGAGAGAATTGGATGGGACTTCTTTTCATTGGAGCGCAAAAGCTCGTATTATTGTGGCCTTTTTTCTGACCGATTTTATCGATTTATTTTTTGCAAAAAAGGAAAAGTTCCTTTTTTCTGCAAAAGAAGCCGAGTTCGAATTTAATTTTTTCATTTGCTTCTCTGTGGTCTCTCCCCCACACGAAGAACAAAAGTCTCGAGGCGGAGTCGACGGGTTATTGCAAGCCGAAAAAATTGCCCGGGGAATTCCTCAACGTGTTCCGTTGCTTCCTTCGCTCTCAGATGTTTTTTTTTTCTCTCGACATCAATGTTTCGTCCGTCGTTTTTGAATGATCAGTTTAGATGGATTAGGTTTTCGGATGACTCTGACTTGTCTGCGCCCTCTTTTCTCTCATCAGCAAGGTTATAAAATCGTGATAATGGTATTCAAACAAGAAAGAGTAGACGAGAGAGAGTGGAGCAGAGAAATGAGACTGGCTAAAGTTATGGCGATTGCAGTACAGTTTTCTGCGATACGCTATTATTAGAAACAACTTTTCTGATAAATTTGAAGAATAAGAGAAGGAAAAAAAATCAATTTTTAATATCTTCAATCGTCTATTTATAATATCCTTGAAACTTATTTTTCAATTGTTTTTTTAAAAAGTAGAACCTGAAAGTTTTTTTCCTTTTTTTAAAGACTTTTTTTCAGTTTTTTTGAATCCTTATGTAGTTTTTTTGACATTTTCACAATTTTTTTCCAACACCTTGTTTTTCAAATTAATTCACTCGTTTTATGAAATTTTTCTGGCTTAAAAAAATTTAATTTTTATCTTTTTTTCAACCAGTCGTATTTTACAAATTTTTCATCAGCTTTATCTCGACTTCTTCTCGACTTTTCAAAAATCAAAGTCACTATTTTTGTTTTAAATAATCAGCAATAAGTAGCTTTAAAATCATTTTGAATATTATGAATTTTGCCTGAAACTGGAATGTCTTGTTGAGTCCGCGAAACTCAAAAATAATAGTCAGAGAAAGCAAAAGATAACTAAATCTTGGAGAGTTAGAGATAAATTTCGAATTTCGCTGTTTCGAAATTTTTATTGAGTTACCGGTTTTTGTAATTTCCCCGTTCTGAAGTTTGATTTAAATTTTCTTGATACACTTAAGAGCACCAGAGTGGTCCCTACAGGGGTCGCGGAAAAAATTGCTCCCTTTAGGGGTAAAATTTTAGTGGTCCCCTTAGGGTTTCGGGATCTGATCCCTGTGCTTCTAAAGCTTGAGGGGTCCCTATAGAGGTTTTTCAACTTTTTTTCTGGTTTGAAAGTTGAAAAGACGAATAGGGACCACTAGAAGGATCCCATAGAGGGGTCACTAACTAAAACCCCTATAGTGGTCACTTCTGCAAGCTTCAGTGGCTTCTAGAGAGGAATCTTTCAAGAGCTTTTATAGAGATCACTTTGGCAAGCTTTAGGGGTTCCTGTAGGTGAGGTGAGGTGGTCACTCGAGGGGAATCTTTAAGAGCCCTATAGGGACCCCTTTGGGAAGCTTTAGGGGAGGTAAAGTGGCCCTTAGAGAGGAAACCTTCAAGAGCCCCTGTAGAGACCACTTTGCCAAGCTTTAGGTAAGGTAAAGTGGCCCTTAGAGAGGAAACCTTCAAGAGCCCCTATAGGGACCTCTCTGGAGCTTCTGAGTAACTTTTGAACATGGAAAAAATGTTCTATTTTGGCTGAATTTTTTTCCGTAGAAATCTTGGCTTTGTAGTCTTCTGAGCGCCGCTTTGTATTCTGACGAAGGTAATTTCCCGAAAAATTACCTTCATTTACCTGGATCTCATCCTTCCGTTTTCAATGTCGAAGCAAAAAAAGAGCAAAAAAACGAAAAAAAAAAACGGCGGCAGATGGGTGCTGTGCTAATCTTGGCCGGGGCGTCAATTGCCTTTCCGCCATTCGTCCATACTTTTATCGCAGCTTCTCCCCCCTCCTTCTTCGTCTTCTTCTTCTGCTTCTTCTCCCCATTTCCTGTCCTAACTTTTCCTATTTTCCCCGTCCCTTCCTTCCCATTCTTTCAGAGCTCTCCTCGCAGTTCGGGCAGGTGTCTGCCTGGCTTGTGCCCTTTCCGTTGAGCCGACACTCATTTGCATTTTACGAGGTCCTCCTCGAGACACTACTTTTACTCTTTCCATTTTTCTCCCTGCAGCTTTTTCCCCTCTCTGGTAATGCTAACCGGACGTTTCTGGAGAGTTCTAGGGATCACTTAAGAGTCCTGACGTCACTTAAGGGGTCACTTTAAATGATCAAAAGCATCCTGTTTGCGTTCTCACACCTCTGTCAATCAAACCGGACGTTTCTGAAGGCTTCTAGGGATCACTTAAGAGCCCTGACGGCACTAAAGTGGTCACTATAAATTACCAGAAGCATCCTGCTTGCGTTCTCACACCTCTGTCACGTTTCTGAAGAGTTCTAGGGATCATTTAAGGGTTCTGAAACAACTAAAAGGATCACTAGAAATATTCAGGAACTTGCGTTTTGCGTTCTCAAAACTCTGTCAGGCAAACCGGATGTTTCTGAAAGATTCTAGGGATCGCTTAAGGGCTCTAGCGCCACTAAAGAGATCACTAAAGTTATCGAAAACGCCCGCTTTGCGTTACTGAGGGGTAGTTATCTTGGATAGTTACAAATGTGGCCAGATATTTTGATAGATTTGCTAAATTCAAAGCTGTGCCGCACGTAAAATGACTCTAAGCGTTGCGGTTGCGTTGCGGTTCGACTTGAAGCTTTTCAGAATTTGGTTTTATGGGCAGAAATCCAGATTTTTCCTCAAAAATCGAAGAAATAGGGCCCGAGTAACATTCAAAAGACTAACTTTGAGCTCGCTTTAATATTATCTAATGTTATCTTGCGAAAGTCGTTTATTGTCGGACGCAACCGTATCGAAACCCGTTGAGAGATTCTTTGCCCCTACAAAAGAATGAATAGTCTTCTTTCACTCCAAGTTTAATTTAATCAATGATAAAAGTCTTTAAAATTTTTTTAAATTTAATATATTCAAATTTTCACCTTTTGTTTATTTAATCATGAATTAATTATCCATGATTTTGAGAGCTAAAATATCTGTAGTTTTTTTGCGAATTTCATTAATACTTAACAACCCATTTGGAGTCCATTTTTCACTTTTAGTAGGAAAATTAATTTTTGAAAAGCTTGTTGTGGTCAAGTTCTATTCAAAGAGGAGCGGAATTCTCTCAAATTTCGTTTTGAGTGATTTTTTTATTCATGAATTCAAAAACTTATGTTTAAAATTAACTATGAAAGAGAAATTCGAAATTGGCTGCAATTTTGATGAAAAAGTTGCATTAGAGTCACCTTATTTTTCATGAGAAAACAACTGGAAACACAACTATCCTCCTTTGCTGTTTCAAAATGAGATTAAATTATATTTCTGAGGACCTTGTTCAGTATTTCGTACTTCCAATTATGAAAAAAAAATATTATAATTTTTTTTCAATTTTTTTCCCCCAAAATTCTTGAAAAGGCAGTTATTGCTCGAGAATTAATTTTTTGTGCTCTGACTGAAATTTTTGTCCGTTT